AAATAGGGAAATATTATTTTACCCCCAAGGAACATAATGTCAAGAGAAGAACAAAAAAAAATTTTTTTGGTCCACTCTAATGTATAGTCTTAATATATTAGTTTAAATATTGTCGGGCATCACAATATTCTAAAATAAGCGTTTTTCATAAATACCAGGATCAATAACCTATTGACAAAATGTAAATAAAAATTAAGTTATACTTCTATGAATATTAAATTTTATTTATAGCTCAAATTTTTAATGGTTTTTCTTTCTTGCAACATATTTTACCCTTAACATTTTGTGATCCGTTAATTGCGTTATAATGACATGACACGTTTTCAAAAGATTTTAAATCAGGAAAAAAGTAGCGATCAAACATCACGCCTACGCTAGGTTGGAAACCGAATTGATTACAATGCCAATTTCCATTGTCCAACAGGAGGGATGCCATTTTAACATCAAACAATAAAAGCGCACGGTTCGCGGATCACGCATGAATAATGAATGGCGATTTTGGTAGTGAAGTTTTCTGTGCAAAGAGTGAATCAGAGGGTTAGAAAGCACCGTTTTTGTATGGTAATAGATCGGCACTGTAATGACGGTTTGCCATCAGATGATTGAAGGGGAACATCATTTGCATTCGTATAAGTATTCCACAGCATACCCTTGTTTTATCAAGTATACAAAAAATCTCTAAACACCAATCATCTGCCGGCAAATGGTGCGTTATTAATTTAACCGTAAACCTTGATCAATAAATGTTTGTTTTTGTACTTTTACGATATTTGTATTACTTTTGAAATTACATTTTAAAAGGTATCCCTGCGATGATGAATAGTAGCAGATGAAAAAGAAAATTTACTGATAAAACAATTTGTACAATTTTTCGCAATTGTCTTTTACTTCCATAAATCATTTATATAAAACTACGACGCGCAAAGAACCGAAGCAGCGTAACAACAACTTTTGAAATTGCATTTCATTGCAATATAGTACAGTTTTTTTATTTCAGGCATTTTTAAAGACAGACTATATAACTTGACTTACAAAAAAAAAATTTGTTCAATGATAATCATAATTACTTTTGAATTAATCATTTTCTTAAGGCAAAGTAGTTCATAACATTTGTCGATTTGGCTGTTCTGTTATAATTTATTATTTAAATAATAAATTATAACGTTATTTTTATTTATACGTGTATTGAATACTTGAGTACATTATTATTATACGAAATAACATTAGCAAAAATTATATTTTTAAACTCAATCGTGTCAACTTTAATAATCGAAAAAGTCTGCAAGATGTTTGACGTACCAATTTTTTTTTTTTTTTTGGGGGGGGGAATTACTTTTTTAACTTATAATCGATTTGTAAATCTTATCTTAAAAGTATGTTTTAATTTATTGACTCTAGACATTAAAAATAAAATGAAAAGCTCAAGATCGAAATAACAAACGCACAAAACAATTTGAAATTTAATCAATTTCAAATAATATGTTGACAAAAATATAACAATACTATGGTTGTAAGTACTAAACAACCAGGGCGATGTTGAAAAATATGGAGAACCTTGTCTAGCTCGTTAACGTCATTAGTGGTGGCAGGTTTAAATTCACATAACTGTGTGCAAGGACAATGCGAAGGGTCGCAAAAATCGTCATTTTTTCCTATTATGATGAAGTTAGGCCCGAAGGATATTGTTCACAAACAACGAGGGCGAGTGCGTGTGAGCTTACTCCTCACTCGACTCTGTGGGGGCACGATGCTGTTACCATACCCGTCCTGGTGACCAGGGACGTTACGCAGATGGCCCTTGAGTGCTTGTAATGACTGTCAGTCTATCCCATGACAAATGACACCGCCACTCTTGCCACCCAAATTATACGTCATATTATTATTATCTTGACTTTTACCTCGATCTCTTTTTTCGGCTACCGTGTATGGTTTTCGTATATGGTTCAAGAGCAAAGAAGGTGGTGGAGAAAACATACGTTTCTGACTAAACAATATAGCGAGATCCGCATATAAAATATGAAAAACGTAATAATAAATATACATATTATATTGCACACAATCGCTGCGCTGTGGTCATACATTTTCGGATATTACAATACCTTTGTATACAGTCACAAATATCTTACACTTGATATTTCTAGTTTTGTTTTCTTTGAGGCATTTGAAAAAAAAGTGTAGGCTAGTGTATCAACGACATTTTTTATTTTACAATATTACTGACATCAAACATCAGGTGATTTATCTTAATGGCGAAATCATACTCGCTGTAATACTACAAACACTAAACAGAAACCATCATGATGTTCATATTTTTCTAAAATCAATATTTATTGATTTATACCAATATTTGACGTACTATATACATAATAACAAATAGTAGTCAGCAGTGGTAGAGGAGTTAAACATAAAATAAGAAATTGTAAGGTCGCCATTAAAATTAAGCTGTTGTTAGATAATTGCATTGCGTTTTCCACCATTTTGTTCGAAAAGTCGATATAAAAGGCTTAAAATAAGTTTTAAGACTAATTCATTAAGTTTTATAGGTTGCTACCATCCATTAAATGTAGTCCAGTATGAGACAGTGCTTTATTTTTATCATTTTGCCCAGAAACAACTTGAAGAATATCAGCCTAGAGATGACTATAAAAAGTTATTAAACCATTGTATTATCTTTCTAGGACCGGGGTTCTTATCCTTTTCTGAATGATGGATCTCTTTATAATATAAAGCATAGCCACGGACCCCTTTAAGATAAAAAGTCTAACCACAGACTCCCTGATAATTTAATTACCGCGTTGATTAATAATGTACGTAATCTCATTTTGAAATTATATAATGTACCATATTAAATCATATTGCGTTGTTATCATTGAGTGCAGAATACGGGCGACAATTCATTATTTTATCGTTTTATTTTATTTATTCATATGGTTTGTCGTTACATCCAATATATAGTATATAGTAATGATAATAAGATAACATATAATAAAATGTATAGTATATAAGAGTAACAGTAGCTAAATATTGTTAAGTTAACAGACTAAGATATTTGGTATCAACGTTAGAGCTTCTTTGTCTGGAAGCCCTGACCTTTCGGATCAGGGCCAAACCTAACCGTTTTGGGATTAGGTTCAGTTGGGTTGATTTGAGTTGAGTTGAATACAATTGCATGTAACTAGGCCAGGAAATCGTTAGAAACGATAGTTTGGCCGCCAAATTTGGTCAGGAAACCTAACCGGTTGGTTTAGAGTTCTCCTTCTCAAAGTTGGGGTTTTAAAGAGTCTCCTTATCCTCGTCCGTTGGCCAAGTGCTAGCAGGTGGACCAAACTTGCCGACCCCGACTAATTTAAGTGAGAGCCAACTAGTACCTGGGACAGCTTAGCATGAATTTTGGGTAAATTTAAAAAAAATACATCATTATCATCACGTCATTATATAAGAGATACCAGATATGGATTATGGAGGTCATTCTGAAAATAAAGTCAAGAGTATCCACACTTCATGCAGATACATTAAGTTGCAGGATATACAACGATATATGTATAAGGATAGTCAAATGAATTTGTTAGGTAGGCACTTACTGACGAACCACGGTAATTGATTTATGAGAAGTGTTAAATATTGATACATGTTGATAAATGTTGCCAGTACATCGATTAAGGCCTGATATTATAATTATATGATTATTTCCGATCTATATAATCTCCTTGCGATATATGATTATAGTGTATTCTTGATCAGGACATATCCATGTATTGATGTACCTGCATGAAGTGTGGACACTCTTAACTGAGTCTACTCATTTACCAACAGTTTTTTAATTTTATTATTTAATCCATTTATGATTACCAACAATAATATCAAAGATGGATACATACAATATATCTGTTTTTATGAAAGAGATCCTCTTTCATAAAAACAAACGATAAATTTTGCTACTTCAAAGTTAAATTTTATAATTAAGAAATTCTGTTTAGTAAAAAGGCAACATGTTTGTGCTTGTGGGCTCTTTTGAAATAGTTGGCATAAATTACAAGTGTACTAGTTAACATTCCATCTGTTCTTGTTAAACTATTAAAAATTTAAACTATTATAATATATTATGTATATTTATTATTTAATTTTAACCTTATGATAAAAAAAGTTAATAAATCAGTTTTTTTATTCAACTAATAATAGTGTAAACATCATCTTATTATACTTATTAAGATTGGTCTTATCACACTCATAAGACTATTAAAACAAAGTATACAGCAGAGCGCGTCGAATTTGAAACTGCTATCTGTGTATTTACAGATGAAAGACGTTCCTTTGAGTGTTTAACCCAATTTCCTGTTCCTAAGCAATTAATCATGAAACGTTATGGTTGATGCCATTTATTCTCAAATTGTATAGCTCATGTATATGTATGTACATAATATATTATATGACTGTTCGGATAAATCTCCTGCTTAGTCATAGTAGAAATGAAATATGGTTAAATTGCACCGCTATAGGTATAAAATTATCCTTTAATCGATCCAAATAATTATAAATAAACATAAATTATGGTATTTTATTTAATGCTAAATTACAGTAAATAAACTAATAAAATATTTGAATTATTACTCTACGCCTACTACTATTTGTTTTTAATTGTTGATAGTATTTTAAAGTAATTTAAATAAAAAATATAAATATAATACGGTTTTATCGTCCTCTTTTATAAGAGTAACTTTTATTGTAACACTAAAAAAAGTAAAATCGTAATGAAAATATAAAAAACCAATCGGTGTTTAGCCATCATATACAAATTAAGCATTTCATCGATATTAAAAAATCATAATTCATGCATAACTACCAATTATTAATCTTAAAATCTCGTTACTTCTAAAAATGTTTTCATGTGCAATAATATCTAGTGACGCCAACTTGCTAGTATTTAATAAATATTTTAGGCATAATCGTTAAACTCTAATAAAAAACCTATGTTTAACATTTCAAATTTTTAATACTTACAGAACCTATAACAACCATTATTGGAGGTCCTGACATGTTCATCAATAAGGGAAGCACCATGAATTTAACTTGTATCATAAAACACAGCCCGGAACCACCGCCACTGATTTATTGGACACACGATTCGAAGGTAAGCTAATACCCTTAACCTATTTTGCTTAAATTTATTCATGAGATACAGTTACCAAAGAATAAATAGCTGCTTTTTTATATAACAATAAAAAATCTGCATAACAAAATATATCTCGTGTCATAAAAAAAAAACATTTAGAAGGTAAACCAAAGTTTATGAACAGAAAATAGTATATAATACACGTACTAGTATGTGATAAGACTTAAGAGTTAAAATACTATGTACCAGAATAGGGTTAACAATATTAGATACGTCAAAAGATTATAATGTTTTTCAAAAAAAAAAAAAACACTTAAAATATTACTCTTGTTATTAGTCGATTATGTTTTTCGTGTTTAGTGTATAATATGTAAGAATATCAAAATAAAATCAAAAAATCAATATTACATTATGGAAAATATATTAAAAATTCTTAATATAATAATTCTCAATGAGGTGTCTCTCTATATACACATATATATGGTTACTGAATTTATATTAACCCAAAAGTTAATGTAAATTAATAAAAACACTACTAAGCAGTAGTGCAAATTATTGCCTATAAGATAAAAACCGTATTTAAAACTGTACACTTTACAGTTTATAATTCCGGAAACTTTTTGACAATCGCATTGATAATGATTTGAGGACGCATATTTGCCGTTTGTGCTTTATCCTACTAAATCTAATTATGAATAACTCAACTTTTAATTACATATTCTACAAAAAATAAGTAGTACTTCCATTTATAATGTTATATGCATTTCCTTTTAGAAAATCAATACAATTTATACATCATTACTTGAATAAACAAGCGAACAAAAACGCGTTGACTTATTCTCACTTTTTTTCTACTACGTCATCGTGTTTCTTTAAGTATTAAAAAAGTCTTTGTTAAAGTAGGTAGTATATATATACGTATCAGAACATAAATAATGAAAGTTTCTTAAACAAAAATCGTATCCCAGTACTCTACAATGACAATGAACCTTAATTCTCTCTTTTTTTTTTATATAATACCGCACTCTCCTGCGTTTTTCCCTGCATTATTTAAGTTGAAGCAAAAATATCACAACTCCAAACTTTAGCCAGACATGTAACAAATAAAAACCAAAACCAAATGCTCGTAAAAAAAACGCATTTTTTTTCACCCCGTAATTTTTATGTAGGGAGAATTGTTTTTCATATTATTGTTTGTGCAGTAATGTGATTACAAAAGCAAAGGGTCCTGCTCATTTCGGCCTAGACGCACACTCTAACGAGTTTCGGTTAGCTGGTGCTGTACATATTCCCTGAATTTGTTTTCATTATTTATTTTTTATGTTCTCTATTTCTTTTTTTTTATCATCGGAATCCAATTGCCTCGAATTTCCTCTGGTTTGCAGCGAGCCGGAAAATAAACTGAAGTAGATTATCCCTCAAAAAAAAAAAAAATCAAACAATTCGATTACGTAATTTGGTTCTATAATAATTTTCCGAGCGATCGTTGGACGTTGGACGTTCAGTTTAACTTCCAATACAAATGGATGTACTGTGTACCATGTCAAAACTAAGTGCTCTAAGACATTTCTCACGAGACAACAACAAATGTCATTAGGTATTGTTTTTCAAAACTGTATTATTCATAAAAAACCAGTTTTTGATACATATGTATTTACAATTTTACGCCAAACTGCATTTGTACAACATATTATCTTAAAAATGTACAGTAACATGTTTAATGTCAAACTAAAATTAAAGCGATGGTGCTTATAAGATATTACTTATGTCCTTGGTAGCTATCAATGAATTATTTTACCTATGATTTCTGTTTTAATACAAGATAACAAAGACGGATTAGAAAATTTGTCACATTTTTTTTTAAAGTTGTAGATCCTAGGTACAGAGGTAGACTAACCAGGCGAGTCATGGCCTGTTAGGAGTCCGTTGGCCGATTAGCACCCATTCTGCCACTTCTTACTGACAAAAATATTTCTTTTGGTAAAAAAAAGTAGCACTATAATAATATTACCGAAATCTACATGTTTAAATAATCCAAGTTCTTACTGTCATTCTAATTTCCATACATACGTACAAAATTAACTTTTAATTTACTTATGTTGTCTCGCCGTGACTCGTTTTTACTTCTTTTATTTATTTTTAAATGACTTATGGGAAAAGCAATAAGATCTCGTAGAATTTCGGATTTCGATAACTTTTGTTTTATTTTTTGAAAGAAGAAGACTTTAAAAAAGTATTCCCTTAAATCTAGAATAAATAAATCTGTAAATTGCTTTATAACATTAATTTATTAATTTATATAATGTAGTATTATCAAATATAAAACTTCAAATGGAAATTTAATTAGTAAAAAAAAATAAACGTTCGTTACAATTTTATCTAAGAACACAGTAATAAAAAGTTTTAAATTGAATAAACTAATTATACAACTTCAACAAATGTGTAATTACACTAAAAATTATTTCACGTTGATACTTCAGAACCCGAATTGCCAGAGCGCTTACGTTAACAACTTTACTTTTATTTTAAAACATTGAATGAACGGTGGCATAGTGAGTAGCGACTGACTTTTGACTAGGGGCAATTAATATTATCTCAGCCCTAGTGATATTTTTATAGTTAGAGTGTTCAACATTTTACTTGAAAGCATTTTTTTTATGACACAGTTTTCTTAGCTAAATAAGTAAAATCTTTATTATAGGTATTAAACAATCAAAATACATTTTTAGTGTTTAAGATAAAATATTATTTCAAAAAGTATTTTTAGAGAGTAACTATTGTTCTCTCAATCTATATATTTTATTTTATTATTGAATGCAAAATTATATAATGATAATCACGACTGATTGATAAAAAGTAATTATTCAAAACTAGTTAAGTTATTAGCATTCAAAGTTATTGACGTGCTGAAAAGTGGTCTGTAATATTTTTTTTATCCACGCGTATTACTTGCCCGTTTGTAACTTTAAATGCAAATAACTCAAAAAGTATTTACGAGTATTCTTAAAATGGTTATCGCCCAGTCATTATTTTTATTACATTATTCTATAAAACTAAATATAGTGGTTGTTATTTATCATTAACACTTACCCTTCAAAACAAAGAGTTTACTTGAACTATAAAAATGTACTTAAGTCAATAAATATAATAAATATTTGTTAGCTTAAATTAGTTTATAGTAGAAAAAAGGATTGCAAAGTAATATTTTAATCATTCTGTAAATTATCATAGGAATTTAAATGTTTTCACAATACCACTATGAAGTTATAAACTATTTTAATGAAAAAACACTAACTATTTCTAGAATATAATATCATTTCTTAGTACAACCTAATTATTAATTTACAAAAAAAAATTTACTTCTAGAAATCCCAATAGTATTTCCTGTGAACTTTATACAATCAAAGAATTCCCAGAAAATATGTCTTTTTACTTCTTGCTTCCTTTTTCGGAATAATAAAGGGAACATAATTTTAAATATTCTGTTAAATTAAATAATTTTTTTACGACTGGACTACAATAAAATGTAATCAAATCAAAATGTTTTTAAGTAACTAGTATTACATGAAATACAACTTGCTGGCTGTTTAATTTTTTTTAATAGTATTAAAGGAATCGTAAACAATTCCATTTGGTGGTACAACACACATGGGATATACTATATTTATTATAGATATTTATTAATATTACTCAGTCATTGTTACATTAAATACAGCTAGACAACCATGGCAATAACCATTTAGATTAAGTGCATTTATCACTGGGTATTTAGACGTTGTTGAAATATTACCGTTTAAAGTACTCTTTACAAAAAGTTTTCAGACAACAACAATGGAATAATTATGAAATAATTTAAGTATGCGAGACACAAAATTTGAAAACCCATTGTCAGGCTTAAACATTACCTTTTGAATACATATATAATATAATACAATTTATACACATATATACTTAGGAGTTAAAACCTGACTTCGTTCAAGGTTGACTGAAGATAGACTCAGTAGTTTTATAAATGTGTATAATAAAGTGGATGATTTAAATCATATGATTGATATTTTTGGTAAAACTTAAAATAGACGGCTGGAATTTATGTTGTAAAATTGTTGTTTTTCTTTTTTGTTATAAAGTTCTCTGGAAATTATGACTTAGCCCCCCCCCCCTCCAACCAAGTCTCTGGAGCTGCCCCTGTGTACTTGTATTAAAAAATGTTGGTTGAAAAATGTTTAATGCACAGAGTCATAACATTCCACCGGGCACTGTAAGTTGTTTGTTATAAACAAAAGAAAAATATGCTTGATGCATAAGCAGCTCTGTAAACTTTTCCACTTTTCGATCTGTGGCAAAAGCTATATTTCTTCAGCTTCTTAACCTTAACTTGGCTACTCTTTCTGTCTTACAGCCCCTATATTTCTCTGACATAAGTTTTAGCACACAATGTGGTAAATCCCCCGTAGGCCAGTTACGCAATAACCTCGAACTGACTATTTCGACTGTTGAAGAAAGAATACACCGGCAATAAATTTCAAAAAAACTTTTTTCGTTCCTTTTTTGAATGCGGAGAATATAGTATATGGCTGTATTCGTTGATATTAGTAGGTATATCCGCGGTAGTCAGCAGAAATAATCTTTTTTCTTATCTTTTGTTAGACTATGGTTGCATAATATGTGTGAAAATAAAACCTGCACTATTATATCTGTGTATAAATGCACTCGTTCACTACTTCTTTTTTTTTGTCTTAAAGTTTGTATAAACTAAATAAATCACTCTTACGTTTGTTATCTTTCGATAAATTTCAACATGTTTTGATGCGAGCATTTCAAGCCAGTTAATAGATAATTAATGTACCACTTTTTCGAGAAAACATAGTTGCACAGTGTCATCTTGACTAGGGGGTGTGTTCTGCCGCGTCATAACATGTTGTAAAATTACGTCACGGATCATGTTCTTTGATTGATCGTGTAGAGACGTTGTAGTTTAATAGGTAAAACTTTTACAAAATTATCAAGTTAATTTTCAGCGCTGGTTAAGTCCCATTCAGGATCAATTATAAAACAGTATACAGGAATTGGTTTTTAGTTGTTCATATTATACAGCGGCCCGTATGGCTACTTATAAATTGGCTAGAAGTGTATAAAATAAAAAGCCAATAAATTGGGGTGGGTGCATAGTGGGGATGGAGCATATAAGAACGGGAGAGGCCATAGGTCAACAGGTCCATAGATCAATGGGTCATAGATCTATAAGGATTTTTTTAAACTAAAAGTGACGAAATCACATTCATATAAACGCTTCGATGCATATCCGTAGATATATCAAAAAACGTTTCAATAACGTGCTTAAAATTATATTTTTAGTATTTGGGTTGATCGTCCGTCTATAACAATTTGTTAGAGGAAAGAGTTTATGATATTTGTTTGGGTGGTCAACGTTTATCGGTTGTACTATGTCTTAAAAATATTCTATACAAATTTACAACTAATTGGACTATTTTTTAAAAAGTTATAGAACACCGTATTTTTAGGTTGAAAATATGTAAATTTTGTTGGTGTTTTTGTTTTTCTCCGTCAAGGTTTGAAATTTTGAAATTTGTTGACAAATGAAGTACCTTACAGGTACGATTTCTGATCTATAAAGTTCCTACACAAAGAAATCGGTTCAGTGGCCTAGAAGATATCGTGGGTACAGACACAAAAAAAAATTACTCATAATCTCATTATAAAACCATTACTTTTTCAGCTACGTACTGAAGATAAAAATTATAGGTAGCAATTTTTTATTTTATTTCAAAAAAGAAAAAATTAAACATTTTTCTAAAATTATCTATATACTCGTTACTATGGTTTAATTGAAAGTACATTTCCATGGATATATAACAATGAATAATTTTTATCTTAAATTAGTATTCCACCCCGGCCTTGTGTTAATTAGACACGCTACACCGCTCTATTCTTAGTAATACATATTATAATTACTTTCATTGCGTCAACGCTAACGTTATCATCAGGGTTAGGCAGACAAAAACATATTTATATAAGTGCCATAAGCTTTCATAACAAGTAGAGAAAATAAAGAAAACTAGGCTAGGACATACACATATGTTAAACTAAAATATTAGCCAGAAACTTGATATGTTTACTAGCCACCTTAGATACATAAAAATGTATCCCGTGGTGTTGCAGACTCGTACGCAAGCTGTTAAAATATAATATGTAACACCTATGTGAAAACCTTTCATAGAGCCTTGCAAATATTTGTTTAAATAATAATACCAAAACTAATACCCGATTTTGTTTTACAATTTTATATTGTACGCTTACAACTTATTATGTTTATACTTTACAACTTAGGATAATACTAAGTACGGAACTAATATTGAAAAACTTGATCACTTATTTTATTGGTCAGACTTTAAGTAATCGAGTTTTTAGCATGGAACATGCTGAACATGTGAGCTTTAGCCTCACAGCTCAAAAACGACACGAAATAGTCTACCTTACACACCCAGTGGATCACAGTCTGGTCCTTCTTTCCTTTCTTGTACATCGGCCTTATCTTGTCCTTGGCCTCGCTCTCGCTTATTCTCAGTTCTGGATTTTGCCTAGCTATCATGGTCGAAATATCATTGGGAAGCATGTCCGCGTCCATTCCATTAAAAATGCCATCGAAATAAAAACGAGTCGTCGTCGTCATGCAAACGTTTGGGCCAGAACATATAACTATGACTATACTTTCGTCATAAATCGCAAGGAGATTATAGATCAGAAATAATCACTATTCAGGAGCCAGCAGGCTAAAGCATGTTCCATGTTTTATAATTTTGGTTGTTAGGCTTTAAGTAGACTGTAGCTTTTTTTTTCTTATAAAACACCAATTGAAAAATATACATTAAAACCATACTTTGAATGTACAATGCTTACTACTTTGCTTACAATGTGAAGAGTGTGCTAAATGTTATGTAGATCAAACAAAAAGAAATATTGGGGTTAGGATCGCGTTCAAATTAATTTTACCTGTTGGTTTAATATGGTAAATATATCGTGTAATACATAATAATCTATCGTACTATTAGGTTTATACCGTAAACTTTAACTTATTACTCTATATTTTAGGAAACGAAGTATGCCTTTACAAACAATTTAGTACGAAGCCTTTAGCCTTAGTAATAATTTCCAATCAACATTTCAACAAGTAGTTCATGCGTAAAAATGTTTGTATTTTCCATTTAATTGAATACTAATCGATGATTTTAAACTATATTGATGTAGAACATCAAAGTCTGACGCTAAACATTAAAATGTGTTTGAAACCATAATTGAATATCATATATAGAACAGAATACCATGGCCACCAATATATAAAAACATTTTAAAAGTTTATCAAATCTTCTAAATTAGTAGTTGTTTCAAACCCGTATTGTTCTAACTTCAAATTGTGATATGACAATTGACAAATACATTACATTGATGATATTACATTAATCAAATCGCGATGTATCATATTTTTATTTAGACCTCTTCGTTCGATAAATGATGTACATAATTAATTGTAAACCGGGTTTCCCTATAATCTCGTCCCTCGTTGGTCTTCCGTAACTGAGATTTTACAATCGCAAAAATTATCACCAATCAATATGGTCGTTATGGACGAGGGAACAGTTTAATGGATGTCTACTACCAGACTGGAAGGAAACATTACCGATGAGAAAATTAAATTTCCACGACTGGCCTGCTGTCATGAAGTTACGGAAATACCGTGTATAGTTTCCACGAAGACCGTGGAATCGAGTTGAGTGTGAGAAATCATTTGGGGTAGAATGTTGGTAAGGTGTGCTACAAGCGTGCGCGGCTTCGTAGGAAATTTGCCCCCGGCAATTCTCCTAAATATCACGTACAAGCAGTAAGCAAAATCGCTGCCAAGGGAGAAAACCGCTATTTACGCCGCTGCGGCCTGAGTAATAATATGATTATCAACTACTTGGTTCTCTATGTGTGTGTGTGTGACCGCATCAGAGAGGAATAGAGAAGATTACAAGGCGAGCACAAACCTCCTGATTTAATGCGTATTAGTCGGCGAAACGATTACGACTAGATTTCAAAACGTGTCTGCGACTTCATTGTGGTGGCAATGGTAGTCTCGCCATCTTAAGATAACCGAAAATGACCGTAAAAATAAAAGCCTTTTCCGGATAACCGAATATAATTATTTCTAAAGAGCTTTTCACGTTGTAAGCCGCATCATACGAATGCTTAAACGACGTTTCAACGCGGCATCAATATATTATAATATTACAAAACGCTACAATGAAAGGCCGAAAGCTTAACGAATCAAAATAATATGTTATAAAGTCCTGTTTGCGTTTTGTTATTAGTATACAATTCTTCACTTCCATAATCATAATGCTTCAGTTCTGCAACGACCGAGAGGAAAGAAATCTGAATATTCCATAAATTGTTAATTACTTATAATAATAATTTAATACGATTTCATAATATTATGTATACTGATAACTACGTATTATAAGGGATGGGTTAGGTTAGAATAATAATTATGAGAAAATCGGCAATTATTTCAAGGTCACTGTGGAATGATTTATAAACTATTCGAGAAAATTTTAATTAATTTCTTTTTTACGTCTTATATTCAAATAATAAAGGCGATAATTTATATTATTATAAAACCGGATTTACATTTCCCGCTTGTTTGATTGTAACGACCAAACTTAGGGTTATTCTTTTTGTTTCCCGTGACAATATCGACGCATGACATTTCTCTCCAACTTATACTTTTAGAATCTTATTGTAAGACATTTAAAAAAACATAAATATATATGTATATATATACGGTCATTCTCTATTGAAACCCAACATTTTATTTTTATTAAATGTCTCCACGGTATAAGTATTTTTTGAAAACTAGATAACGTATTATACAATAAAATAAAATTGTTTGTGCAGCATTAAACACTGTCTATAAAAGCATGGACCTCGCAGTTTGCTTTTATTTATCGTTGTCTTAATTTCAGGAAATTAACTATGATTCGGTTAGAGGCGGCGTGAGCGTAATCACAGAGAAAGGCGAAGTAACCACCAGTTATCTTCTCGTGCAAAGGGCAACCAACACAGATTCAGGAAAGTACACATGCCATCCGAGCAACGCTAATCCTCACACGGTCGTTGTGCATGTTCTCAACGGTAAATATATTTTAAAATATGTTAAGTTTTCAAAACTAAAAAAATAAAAAAACACTGTGATTTATAAAAATTATCAACTCGTGTAAAAGTTCATATTCGCCACCTAAAATTATATCCATTTAATTTAATTACATTGAATATCAGAAATTATTTGTATAAATTGTTTTTATTTTAAACATAGCCTACATCATTTAACATATTTTTTTACATCTGCCCATAAATACACATGTTCCCAATTCTAATTAATTTAATGACATAATTACTAACTCTTGATTTTAAAGACCAGCGAGTTAGGCAGAAACTTTTCAACAATAGAATCTTTCGCGCGAGTAAGTTGGCTACATAGAGCAATTGCTTTAATTGTTCAGCATTGTTAGTGAAATAATGCATTCTTAATTTATAAAACGCCAAAGTTATAAATCATTTATTTTATACGAGGAAAAAGCGTAATAAAATGTAAATTGTTCAAATACAATTTAGACCTATTAATGAACAATGGTGTATATTTTATAAGCTTTTCGTGTCTGTAGCCTGTAGCTTACATGACATTTTTTATAAAAAAAAGTATTATTTAGAAGAAAGAAATGATTATAATACAATTTTATTCTGTTTCCCGCTGTTTCTCATAAAATTCAATTCGCATATGAAATGTATGAGATGTATATTTTTCATTTATAATATATTTATAAAATGGTTGTTTATCATTCCGTCTACTAATACGTAATAATAATTTATAAGTACAAATTTAATAAAATAATCTACAACCACTCAATATGTTATTATAAATAAATAAATAGGTAAATATTTTATTTGTTCACAGGAGAACACCCAGCTGCTATGCAAAAAGGATCTAAACTGAGTCTAAAATCTTCGTTATCACTTCTAAGCGTCTGCCTAGTTCTTTTCATCAGCACGTGATTTATATCCCCGTTAAGCTATGAAATTAAATTGTAAAATACAAGATATTTAAAATATATATTTATATATATATATATAATAAAATACATTTGCGTGTAAATATTACCTATACATATTACATATAATATTATGTACCTAATTACGTACACGCATGCTAATCAAATAAAGTTACATACACTTTTAAACAAATACAAATATAAATATGTATGTATTTTAATTAATAAATATTAGCACACTTATGTATAGTAGATACATTATATATTATAATGTGCTGTAAGTAACACTATATATTTCTATGTGTCCAGCGTACTAAACGGCATAGGTAAACGGCATGTGTCAATAAAATTATAACTTACATGAATCTTCTGGTTAATTATTGAAGCTTCGATAATTTTACAAATAATACAAAAAAAAAATATTTATATATATATACTAGCTAGAGAGCAGCTCTTCAGTACTCATAAGTTCGAATCCCATCTGAGCTTTTTTTATGATTTATGTCTATATATATATGTATAAATTATAAATCCTGTAATTAACTAAATTGTATATAATTATTAATCTTTGTGAATATGAGACTCCCCCCCTTAGTTTATTTTTTAACAAAACTTTTTTTTATACCTAGATTGTTTTTCATGTATACTTAAATTGTTTATCAAGACCGAAGCAACCACATATTATTTACAAACATAATTGCCAACCAGATATGCATACAATTTTACCTAAAAATCAAATTTATGTCTAGATATAGGTCTAAGCATTTTGAACTAGGTTAAATCTACTGTCGTTCGTAATAACGTGATACCAGCTACATACATTTCACAGTACCAAGTACTGTTAAACATTTTAACTAAAACCCGTTAAGCTTTATAATTTCTAAGTAGATAAACTATCAATGTTTGAAATGTTACAGTTCACATTACAGCTCCATACATTATATTGCCATATTCTAAAATTGAGTACCCTGTGTTTATAATATTTACATACTTAACGTAAAATAGGTAGAAGGAAAAATCTCTTTTATTAAAAAGAACAAAAGGTGACTGCCCAACATACAGATTCCCTAATAACACAGTAATTAAATTAATCATCACAGTCATTAATATATCATAGTTAAATAATATAATGGTAATGTAATTTTAAAGGATAAATTAAAATTGTTAAAAAAAAATTCAATGAATTGGTTAAGAATATATAAAAGATTCCACTTTTTAAACAAACAAAAGATAAAATACTAATGTTAATAATTAAAAAATATAATAAATGTCATCACATTTAATATGGGTCAATTATGTAAATTCAATAATAATTCCAGATAGCTAAGCATAAAAAATAAAAATAATATTTTACTCGTATGAACTCTAATATCTAAAAAATAACATTTTTACTATACTTTAAAAAACTTTTTAAATTTATTTGAACAACTACACCACTTATTTGTCGTAATATTAAAATATATTATTTGTAAGCAACATAAGAAACTCAAATTTAATAACTTATCTAATTCATTCTAATAGATGCAATGTTTCTATTTTGGTTTAAAAAATAATAACAATAGATCCCTTCAAATATTCCTGTCGAATAGATTTCTACATAAATACTTATGCTTCACCCTTATGCTTAATCACAATACTTAAACAATCACATATGTCTAAAAAGATATATAAACATGTTTAAAATAATTTACCTATAATTACACAAATTATTTTACGGGTATAAATTGTATATGGTTTTGTTTAAATTGTATTTTTTTTTATTCTAACCCACTTAAACTATTTGTAATTTGTTTATTGACGTTTAAGAATAAACTACATTTTATTGTTGATTTAAAATAATTTTCACTTACAGAAAACACAATAAAAATGTGTAATTTTTAATTTTGATTATTAAAAATATTGTTTTTAACTTTTATAAGAACCTGCTGTAAATTGGTTATTTGTTAGTTATTACTATTGTCACTTTAAAAAACTGTGTAGGAAATCAAATAATAATAATTATCACATAATATATTATGCTTCATCATTTATGTTTTAAAAAATAAGTATAAATACTCAAAAAAATATAAATGTATAAAATATATGTATGTAAAAAAAAATCAATCTATACTTATTGGAAATTTCGTAAATGTATAAGAAAATGTATAATATTGCAAAACAGTTAATATCTAGGTATTAGTTAATACCTCCTTACTTTGTTAGACAATATAATTAATTTAAAAATAGTTTCACTGTAATATGAAATTATTATACCATAATATTATATTAATTCAAGTTATTTCATTACCTATACTAATATTTGTTATATGTATAATACATTTTTTACATATTTGAATTTAACTATATAAAAAAGCATAAGTAAAGTTATGAAGTTGTACAAAAAATTATTAACCTTATATGTATAAATAAAAATACATAAGCATGGGCAGTTAGTGCCTAGAATCAAATGTTTATAATGTTAACATTACAATGAAGGCATTATGAATATCGTGTTATTTTTTTTTGTTTACAATTTTTGAAAATTGAAAACATTTATAGGATTAAATTTTTAAAGCTAATTTGTTTTATCTTTGCTTACGATGTATTTAACCATTGTATACCTGTATAGTTAACCAACATTTTGTTAAGTTTTTCTGATTTTAAACAGTTTTTATGTATACATATTTAAGAGTAAACGTTAACGTTACCTATCTGACTACTTGTAATTAATTTGATGTTCAATAAACATTATTTTATTCTGACATGCGATGTTCTTATAACTTTCAGTTTTATACTATAGCAGTTATATTAAGACAGTACGCAATTATATGCAAGAGCATTGATTTTAAAGTACATTATTTATTTTTAAATCAATAGTGCTAGGGTTATAATAGTTTACGTACTATAACAGTTTTATATAACTGCTAATGAATCAAATGTGAAGAATAAATAAAATATTTAATTATACAAATCCGACGTCCACTAACGAGATTAGCTTCACATTTCAGTAACTGCTGATGTAGGAAAATCTCCACAATTATTTCAACTGACTAATTATTAGTTGACAACTGAGCATTTAAACCAATAGCTGAAAACTAGCCCTTAAATAATCCGGTATTATTAGTTAATGTTTTTTTAATAGAAATGTAAGAGCTAATCAGTTAATCACCCTAAATACTTTTTTTTAACGATAGATGAGGCGATTAAAATGTATTAAATTTATCTGAAGTGTAGCGGACCATCTGACACAAATTACAGCAAGTAAACAATACAACAAAATTGTGTTTTAAAGTACTAACAAAGTAAACTTATACAATAATAATAAAACAAAAAACATAGTATAATTTACAAAAATAATGTAAAAATTAGTTTCAAGTAGAGGTATTTAACCTTTTATAGAACATTGAAATAAATAATGTAATAATTCAATGCTTCTTTTGCTTAAAATAACTTATAACTAAATTTATTGTTTATTGGCATACATTTTCTGTAATCATAAATAATCATTTTTATTTCTAATAATATTCTACAATCAAGTTTTTATTTTTAATAAGTTATTTTTTTTTTATATTATAAACTGTATTAAAATGTATTAATGTAAAATGTTTAATGAATGAATAATATCTAAAATGTTGAGACACGGTTATGCACGATACAGTTGCAAACTACTATTATTACATTACTATTACATTTTTCTGATTTTAAGAAAAACACATCTGAAACATGAAACTCCGACAATCGTTTCTGCTCTAAATGGAATTTTTTAATCGATTTTTTTTAAATATATTTTTAATTTTAATGGTACACATGTTGTTTCTACACAAAAATATATTTTTGAACACTCTACAAGAACACACTTTAACAAGTTGACTGGCTTGAGTATCATATTCAACTCTCAAAAACCCAAAGATCTAATATAGCTTGCCAGTCAACTAGTTTAAGTCAAAACCGTTAAACTACAATGTTATATTTCAGTTCCCAGCCACTTATGAAGCTCTGCAAAAAATTAACCGATTTAACAATATTTCTCAGACACATTTTTGCATCTTTGTAACTTTATGATGTAACAGAAGAAGAAAAACATCGGAGGGGGGGAGTATTACATCTTTTTGGGTCATTCATATTAAAGACCTTCTATGTGTACTTCTTAAACACACGCACAAGTCAATGACAAAAAACAATGACACGTGTCTATCCAAATCGAACGATGCTTCGAATATTTTGAGTTGTTCTCTGGTTTAAACGATTACATGTGACATGATATGTGCAAATTTCCTAATACAAACAAAATAAATGTTTTCAAATGTGAAATATTTTACAAGTTTGACAAAATCGAATTAACATTGAATGTTTCCAAAAAATTCTTTTAGCAACGACGAGTTCTACGACACTGCAATAGCTGTGAAAAATCTGTCTAGATGTCTACCACCAACATAGTGTTTTGTCAAAAGATCCTACCAAAGTATTTCTTGATAAAACAAATATAGCTGCGATAACGCCATTAATTTATAAAGTTTGATTATTTATTTGCAATCAAAAAATATTCATAAGCTTATTCATTATTATACAATATTATTGTTAATAACGTTTGATGTTATTAAACTATAAGATTCCCAGAACAGCAGCACTGTGTTCGATGGTTTGCTTTCTAAAATCCATTCAATTCAACAATACAATGTTTTCGACAAGTTAAATCTCTTATTCACTACTCCCTAGTGTTATAAGCCGACCATGAAAGACAGGTTAACTTTGTAACTTATTGTTAAACATAAAATTGTTATCACGCTTCGTCGTTGTCTAATGACTCCGCTAAGGCAATCAAAATTACTCTGGCGTGCTACTGAAGTGTGCGAATCCAGCCTCTCAAGCCTTTACAAATTTAAATATAATAGTCAGATGACAGATGCCCTACTTCAAACTAAAACGGGCTTTCCAATAGAAATTCGTTCTCAATATTATTGAACTTTATCTATAAGGCGTCGAGATTATGTAGGCGTTACAAGTAAGAGGGATCATATTATGAGGGTGTCACGCCGCTTTTCTTTGAGCACAAAACATGTCCCTTGTACGTGTCTCAAAAACTGAGTTTTAGTGTAGAGAACAAAATCAAAAAATTAAAATCAGGACCGGATCTAGCCTATAAAAACGTGGGAGGTGAATGTTTTAGTTATGGACTATGTAAAGAAATCCCCCTCTCCGATCTTAGTTGTCTCCCTGTAGGCGGTAATGATTAAAAGTTTGTCAACATATTTATATTGGCGAGTTTCTATCAAATATTTTCAACGAAGATTTTTTATCTTTTGAAAAATACAATATTCAAAGTATTTTAATATGGTGTGATAACATATAAAGTGCATAGGGCCAGAAAAGTATAACCAACAAAAAATAAATTTCGTTTTATCGAATTAAAATTTTAGAATAACATAATAGGTATTTCAAAACCAAACTGATCCAAATCTAAAAAAAATTGACCCACTAATTGGCAGACCTTAATTTTTTTTTTGGAATTGGCATTTTAAAAAATTATAATTTTCTTTTTCTTGAAACAATGGATCTGAGGATTAATCTTTGCTGGCGATATACGCCTTATATACTGTAACTGGTGTTGTTTATATTAATAGTAGTTGTCGGTTTTAGTTATTTGAGAAATCGCTCTATGGACATAGCCCTGATGTTACCGACATTATGCATTTCGTTTCTTTCTTTCTCCAGTTTATTTTTAATTGAACGACCACTAAGATAGAGACAATTAATGTTAGGTTTGCCTTAATTATAGTAACTGATTCAGAAAATAAAGAAAGCTAAATTAAAATTTATCCGGCATTTTAAATTAGCTATTTGATTGTTCATTAAAGAGAACTGAAGACTAAACACAACAATTGTGTTCAAAAAGTGGTAAGTACTATCATAAACCAAACAAAAGTAATCAATCTAGATGGAGTAGGTGCTAAAACTAACATTAAGTTCTACAGGTGCTCGTCTAGTTTCTCACTAAAAGCCTTAAGGTCGTGTTTACACTGGCCACTGTTAACCTTATGAGTACAATGTGAACAAACCACAAATCACAATACACGAGTGCCTTTAAAATAAATATTTAATATACGACATAATATACGAGCCAGAATACACAAATACTTGGTTGTCTTGGAAGGGAAAAATAATGGAAATACATAACAACTTCTAATACCTACGTCTCCAAACATGTAAATGATGTTAAATATTATTTTTAGGGGTATTTCTATACATACTATTCTGAAAAGCGACAATATGTTATATGACACCAAAACAATTGAAATAAAAGCTAAAGGCTAAATCGTATAAAATGTCTCACTTGAACGGTTTAGTTACACAGTACTCTACAAGTGTAACATATTCTCAGATCTTCTCTACGTTTTAATTAATATACTTATCACGAAAACTATACATTTATACAATAATATAACTTATAATAACATACTAATATAATAAAATATTGCCAACCACTGGCCGTGTACATTTAAAACCGAGAGGCAACCACACCGTTGACAATTCGACATAATTGGGCCATCATACATAATTGTTGAGATATAATATATTATATCATAAAATGTCTAAAATCTTTATTTAAAAATACAATTTCAACTGCCATAATCGAACATACCTATTCAACGAACAAAATTGTAATTAAAAAATATTGTTAACAATTTTGATTTGATAGGTTATCACTTTTAAAATTACGCAAATCCGTATTACATAATAAGAAAGAAAATCAATTTTTTCGTCATTGCCACGGAAACCATTAATTCAGCGGTTAAGATATTAGACAGTCTTGACGAGAGGTAGGAGGAGTTAACGGTTTAAAAACTCTTGGCTGACAGGGGCTTATGTTAGCGGCTGCACTGTCAGGGTGATGAATTGAAGTGTTTTCTATTGCTCCAAAGCCCATTTCCACCACACTAGTAGATTCACTATAACCCACATCTCGTGCACTCCTCTCGGTAGCTTGTAATTTATCATACTTTATTTTTATTATTACTTTCTGACCCCCTTAACTCCTCCACGTAGAGGTTTACCGACCAAATGACGTATCTCTTTATTTTTATTTCGCCATTCATAGGTCCTTCAACACTCTCATTGATCTATTACCACTGATTTAATCGACGTCAGCGAAATACAGCGTGGCGTCGTACTAAAATTGCTGTAGGAACATAACTACTACACACCTCGTATTTGACATGGTACGGTCGATACCATATTATTACTGCGGTTATATTCGTTTATTAAGTGTGTGTTCTATTCCAAAAGTAGACTAATAATTGGTAAGAGGTCATACCTAAAACAATAAGTACCCCGTTTTCGGAACATCGATAACACAAAAATTGAAGACTTTGACTTTTGAAAGAAATATACCTACTCATTATTCAACACCAAATGCTTACCTTTAAAAAATCATCTCATAATTTTCAGTCCCTTTTGGTTTGGTCCCAGACTCGACAACGATGTGACCCCTCTTTTAAATTAGAATTTTATAAGACATTTACTTTATTTTTAATAATTTATTTTATTTTGCTTCCTCAGAGAAGAAGTTGCGGTTTCCTGGAAAAGGCACTACGATGCCTTTAACAAACGGCAAACCTGACAATAAGTGCAATTATTATTAGTACACCTAAATAGTAAAGTACTGTAATCTATGTAATATTATACTGCCATTTCTATAACGTACTGCATATTTACAAAAAACCTTGTCCTGGTACTCGTCGTATTGTTTTATCGTTATATTTGAAATATAATTCGCAAACCCGCGTTACTCGTCCACAAAACCTCTCTCTTGTATACATAATATTTAGATTTTCGCGGGTATTCGGGTTATCATTACCATAATATGTTGCCATTGTTACCACTAGGAGCGCTGCTGAACTTTTACCCGTGTCGGCCATGTTATAGACAGCTGTTTCGCGGTCTAGGCGGCAACGGGCATAAGCCATTGGGCAACCATAATAATATTATTATCTTAAATTTTGTTTGGTTCGGTCTCCTTAATCCTTATCTCTAGTCGATGTTTTTGTGGGTACTTGTGTTATCAAAATCAACTTATGTGTTATTTTAGAAAAACAGTTCCTACTTCATTTAAGTATCACCATTAGTAATTTTAATATGTCTTTAAATCTTGACCTAATAATCGTTTTAACTATGTCGAAAGAACTTTAGAAATGGAAAAAATATCGTATGTACTCTTGATAATCTTATGCAATTTATTCTCTTTAATTACATGTTTAAATATAGTACGGCCAAGAGGTGTTCCATTTGAAAGTAAGTATTATACCTAAATATTTACTATCCCGTGTGATGGATTTTAAACATTTTGACGGATTTTTGAAATTAAAGTACACTTCACAATTTTGATCTGGGACGTGTACGCTGTTTATTTTTTAATTTTCATATTCTCTTTAATTGTTTTATTTTACTTATATCTATTAACAAATCTAGGTATGTTAAACAAAGTATTATAATTTTATAAATAATGTACTATTAACATAGTCATCATCTATTTATAATAATTTATATTTTATAGGAGCTTTTTATTTTTTTACAGGAGCTTCCTTGTATAGACCAGAAAAGGACTTTTCATGTTTTGATGGAAGTATTGTGATTCCGTTTTCATTTGTAAATGATGACTACTGTGATTGTCTAGATTCAAGTGATGAACCGGGTACCTCGGCATGTCCTAATGGCACATTCTATTGTACAAATGCTGGACATACATCTCTTGTCATACCATCATCAAGAGTAAACGATGGAATTTGTGGTATGAAGTCATTAAAAATAGATACGTAATCCCATGTTAAGTCATTTTTTTTTATTAATGGTTCTAAAAGTTTAACTTTTTGATATCATTGATCCAAGTTTAGAATAGACTGCCTTGATGCATATTACCCAAACCAAATTTAATATGTGTAGGTTGATTAATAAGAACAAAGTACTTTGTTTCTTGAACCTAGCATGGGCTATAGCGAAATACCCCAATTGGTCACCCATTTAGGATCAAGCAGCAACGGACGTAGTTGTATATTGCCTGAGATTACTATTTTTGACTTTGCCACAACATAATAATTGTTTTATTGATAGCTGGTTTACTAAATTTACTCTATACCTAAACTTAAATTTTAGATTGTTGTGATGGTTCAGATGAATGGGCTTTTGATCAGAAAAAAAGTCCATGTGGCAGTACTTGTGAACAACTTGGACGTGCAGCTAGAGTAGAAGCAGAAAGAGTTCAACAAATGTATGTGGCTGGAAACGAAATTCGCGCTCAACTTATAGGTAAAGCAAAAGAACAACGTGCTGAAAAACAAGTAATTTGCCATTATATTTTTTTAAATAATAATTTAATGTTTAGTCAATAAAAAATAATAATATATCTAGACTCATTTATTTATTTGTTTATTGTATTTTTAAACGGGTAATACTCAATTACAAATATGAGAAACATAGATAAAGTGTACATAAACATAGAATTTACACAAAAATAAAAGTATACAATTAACATAACAGCTGACAAATAAAATGGATTTCAACAACACAAAATAATAGATAAAGATAATTTAAAATGTTAAATCTATATACTGTTTGCAAACATACGAAGCTTAATTTTTTTTTTTAATTTAAACTTAATCTGTAAACAGTCGACCCAACTTATATATCATTTTTTTAAATAGCCACCTCTACCATACTTACTTGGTTACTAGCAAGTTTACAGCCAGCAATAATTGCAACATACCAAATCCAAATTTGGAGTGTCTTATTGTATAAGACAGTCAGGTTATGACATTCAGACGTTCAGAATGATTTTAAAAAATATTTGTGATTATATTTTCACAACTATTATACTCCATTTTTATTTTGTTCACAGAATAAAATATCTGATCTGCTCCAGCAAAAACATGACGCTGAAGTAATTAGAAATCAGACAATGAAAGAAAAAGAGGAAGCTGCAAATATAGAAAAAACTGTACTTAATACATATCATCTAGTTGAGGAATTAACAAAAAAACATCAAGATGAAGCAAAACAAGAGAAAGATAAAATTGAAGCACAAAACGCATTTAACTCGATAGACACAAATAAAAACAATATGTGTGTACTATAACTATGTTCTAAAAAACACTTAAGCTACACTTGTGGTTATATATAGTCAAGAAAAAAATAATGAAATAAATATTTCATTATTTTATTTCTTAAATATAACTATGTTACTATTTTTATTATTTTATCAAGTATTTTATTATAAGTATTTCATGTTTTGTATGAATATTTTTGTTTGATTTTTTAGAATTGATGAAGATGAAGTAGGTGCTTACAGTACATTTGATCAAAATAAAGATGGTACAATTTCGCAAGATGAAAAAGATGCAAGTTAATAATTACTTTTTTTTTTTTAATTGTTCCTAATGTCTAAACAATTGTGTATATTACTTTAGTATATTATGCAAAATAAAAAAAAACTTAGTTTAAACGATTTCATGTCGACTGGGTGGACACGTCTAAAAAAATTAATAATATTCAGTTCATTCACAAACGAGCAATCCGAAAAGTCTATTGAAAGAATTGATGACAAACGAGTCGATGATGAAACTTCAAATGACGGTGTTGAACATTTAGATATTGATCATTCTATAGATAAGCCACAGTACACTAAAAATATACAACTTATCATTGAGAGTATTACTTAAATTTTATTTTCTAATCTATTGAGTTATTAAGCTAAACAATTATTTTAGAAGCTAGAAAAGCTCGTGAATCATTTGAAGAGGCTGATAGAAGAATCAGAGACATACAACGAGAAATATCCCACTTACAGGAATCATTAACAAAAGATTATGGACCAGAAGATGAATTTGCAACTTTAGATGGAGAATGTTATGAATTTGCTGATCGTGATTATGTGTACAAATTATGTCTATTTGATCAAGTGTGTTGACTTCAGAAAATTGAATTGTATTTTTTTATTTTAATGTATTTTATTTTACACTACAAATAATAGGTTACTCAACGCCCAAAAAATGGCGGTTCTGAAGTAAGGCTGGGAGCATGGAATAAGTGGATTGGAGAACCAAAATATCATACCATGTTATATGATAGAGGTCAGTCGTGTTGGAACGGTCCTCCACGGTCTACTCATGTAAAATAAATTAATATACTATTTATTAGCATTATTTAAATGATGTAATGCCTAATAACCATGACTTCTGTAATAGGTTCATTTAATTTGTGGTTTGGAACCAGCTATAATATCGGCATCAGAACCTAATCGTTGTGAATATGCCATGGATTTTGTTGTACCGAGTGCATGTACCCAACCTGACGAAAAAACCCAAGTTTCTGAACATGATGAACTTTAGTATAAATTTTAAGTTGGAACCCTAAGCAATATGTTTTTTTTTTAATCATGCAATATGTTTTTTCTTACAGAAGAGCATGTATTTTTATGAGTTGAGCAATTTGATGTTGATAATTTGTTAATTATGATATACTATGATTTAATCTCTTTGTTTGAATTACTTTATTATTATTAAATCTTAATTTATTTGTCATCTATTAACAAGATTTAGAATCACAACAGAAATGTATTTTTTTTTTTAAATTGGCAGTACAAAAATGTCGTATAGTATTTTTTTTTTTTTCAATAAAAAAAGACTTTAAACTTAAATGGAAAACTATATATTTGAGTAACTTTTAAAGGTTAGAGCAACTTGTAGATAATTGTATTATGTATGAATAGCAAGTAATCAGTCGCCAAAAATGTCCATTGACAGTCGCCGTTATTATCATGTACGGCGAACAAAACAAAAAAAAACGTCTTAACAAAATGCTACTTTTTAAGGCTGTTTATACGTTAGTTTTCATTACTTTTGAACTAGAATTGGTGTGCTCTTTAAAAATGATATGGTAATAATTGCGTTTTGTGTTCGGTCGGTGCCCGGTGGTTCGTGTTAACTGTTATTGTCTCAACTCAAAATTAAAAGTTAAAACAGTACATTTATGTCGTATACAATTTTCTATTGACACCCAATACCCAGTACCCACCGATATATCAAGTACCTACACTAAACCATTCTTTATTCTATGCACTAAGTAAAACAAAAATCGTCTTAACAAAATGCTACTTTTTAAGTGGTTTTTTCTACTTATCAGATACATCGCGATAAAAATATAAAATACATAGACAATAAATACACGTATGATGTCTATTTTGTCATGAGATACTATATAATAATTTATACCAAAATAGATAAATCAGAATATACATTGATAAGTGATAACTGATAACAATAATATTACATCACATATGATAAAAGCACAGACTAAATGAGACCGCTAGTATAACAGCTATAGATTTTAATATATAATATATTATTATAATTAAAATTTCATGACAATAAAATATTTTGAAGTCATAAAATAATACATGTCCGTTATAAACAAATATGTATCAAATACTTGTAATATTAATTATTAATGCACTGGATTCGCAGTCTAATTATAATATTTTTTTATAGTTATGAAGTTTATTATAGACATTTAGACATCATGATTAATATTCTATAACTAATTATTATATTTCACTTTTTCATTCTTCAAAAATGTTTTATTTAATAGCTTGAAATGGAAATATGTTTCATTTATGTAACGTCTCTACATTTTTTAATCACTCTAATCTGTTGTGCAGATGTGGGAATAAAAGGGATTGCATTAAAAAGTAAGGACTTAAAATAATTTTCGAAAATTGTTTAATTTCGTTTTTTAAACGTTTTATTTGTGAATAATACTATTATTCGAACAGATGTTATTATTTTAAACATAACTTGCTTTTGGTATCTGACTATCAGCAGCTAATTATTATTATAGCAATTAGCAATATTTTTTGCAAAGGGGATGTTCATTCTACAGACACAAAATGTACTTCTTTAATATCATGTATAGTAGTCCAAAAACTTGTATTAGGTAGGTAGGTATTAGTTGAATGGAATTTTTTTTTTTTTGTTACCTTGTCAAAATTGTGATGATATGTGCTACCTAAAATGAAAAATGTAAAATACAAAATTAATAGATATCAAATAGAGTAATTATTATAGGAGAGGTAGAACTTGAAATTGTTAGTACTGCATTTACTGAATTTAAAAATAAAGGGTGTCTCGCAAAGATTCGACAAATGAAATAATGAAAATAAAAATGTGTTCTAGTGAATATTTTTTTTTTAATTTATTTATATTCATTATTGCTGTAAACACTATAAACACTACAATTTGTATTGCTCGTACTGTTATACTTTTTTTAATTATTTTTTTTTTGTAACATTATTTTTTTAATTCAAGATAGCCATTTTAATAAGAATACCTAATTTGCTGAACATTTTTACTGGTCAACAACAAGTTTTGGATAATTACGTTTAAAGATATTAAAGTTTAAAATTTAAGACTGGAGTTGGAGTGCGGTAATTTTTTTTGCCGACCATTTAAAATGTCCAGCAAATAATTCTTAATAAAATGGCTATCTTGAATTTAAAAATATTTACTAGAACCAAAGTTATTCCATTTGTCTTTTTGATACCCTGATATCATATATAATGTATATATGTAATATGTTTTAAAATGTATAAGGCGCATAGCTCCAGAAAAGCTTAACCTTAAAAAAATTAAATTTTTAGTTTCATTATACATTAAACATTTTAGAATAATACGATGTTTCAAAACCAAATAAACAAATGTAGGTATGTCTGTCCCTTAAAAGTTAAACTCATAATTTATAACTTATGTCAAATGAGCTTTAAAGTTTATTTTCCATATAGTTGTGGTTAAATTTTGAACAAAACTATAATTTTTTAATACCTTGTTAGTGTTAATTTTATCAAAGATCAAATTGTTAGCAATGTTAGCAAAGGGCTTTTAGTGATTTAGCGCTCACAAAAAACTCAGATGTATCCCAGAAAATTCTTCTTTATTTTAACAAAGTAAAACAAACGTACAAAATATGTTGGGAAACTTTGTAATAAGATCTTCCTTGATAATGTATTTTAACTTTTTATTTTGTATTATAAATTAATTTTACAGATGCTCAATTTTACATCCAAAATAAAGATTTTTCGTGTTTGGATGGCAGTAATGTTATTCCATATAGTTACATTAATGACGATTATTGTGACTGCCTCGATGCAAGTGATGAACCAGGTACTTCCGCTTGCCCAAATGGTACATTCTATTGTGTAAACGTAGGACATAAACCACTAACCTTACCATCATCACGTGTAAATGACGGAATTTGTGGTATTTATTGTTTTGTTATTAAATTAATTGTCATGTATGTAAATATAATGCAATACTTTCTTGTATTTTTAATATTATGTTAAACTAATAATTAACAAATAATTGTTTAGATTGCTGTGATGGTTCTGATGAATGGCGTAAAAGTGAAATAACGCAATACTGTGAAAACACTTGTCAAATGCTTGGTAATGCTGCTAAGGAGGAGGCAAAAAAAATTGAACTGATATTTGTTAAAGGATTTGAAATAAGAACAAAACTTGTTATTAAAGGCAAACAACTTAAAACTGACAAACAAGTAATTATTTATTTTTGAAAAATTATCCAAAAGATTAACAGTTTTACATCGTCTTAGTTATACATTTAACTAGGAAGATAATGGGATTATTGTAAACTATATAATCTTCATATGTGTCAATTCAAGTCTATCATTTATTGCTAAGGTTTCGGACTCATTAAACGTAACTATGACTATCACTCTGAAGATAGACTCTGACATAAATCAGCAACAAATCAAAGAGATGGATACATTCGAAGATTATAAAGTTAATAATGTTTCAATCCATAAAATCTTTAATTCATTGTTAGCAGCAGTAATATTTGATCAATATTCCAATTTTGTTATTATTAAATAACTTAAAGCTTAACGTTGTTAACAAGTTTTTCATAGTGTTTCCCAGTGTGTAATCAATATTTTAAGTATTGTCTCCTTAAATTAATGCCATTAGATATATAGGTAGTCCCCGCCATATGAATATAGCAAAATTTAATAATAACAGAATGGATGCAACAAATACATGGTTAATATAGGTTTGCGTCCAAAATTAGGCTGCCAAAAAAGTAAATGTCATAGATTTATCTATGCAAATCCAAACCTACCTACCAGTTTTTATAGTATTTTTTTTACATCTGAAATTCTTAGCTGTAACTGAATTATGTATTTCTGACTATGCTTGATAAATTTCAGATTTATATTTTTAATCTAGTCATGCTATTAAATAGAACAACTTCACTAGAAATCTTAACTTTAAACTTTGATTAGTCATGTAAAATTACCTATTATCATTTACATAATTAGTATAGTACCTAATTTCAATTAATATTCTGCAGTGTGCAGTGTGTTATTACGCATAACAGGGGTTAAAGGTAGAAATTAAATTCAAAATCAGTCAATAACTTTTTAGATAGGTAAATTACAAAAAAATATATATAATTATTACTAAGCAACAATGACGTAAAGTATATATTTTATTTATATTACTATAGTATTCAGTTCTATTTACACTTTTACTATTTGACTTTTTATTTATATTGGTAATAAAATAATAAGTAATTTTTTTAACTGTTAATATTATGGAGAAATATAACTGTAAGTTTGTAAATTGCCAAGAAAACAAAGCTAAACCAAACTTGATCAGATATGTTTGTCCTGAAATACCTATGGAACATAAATCTGAACAAAAATCGTCTTATGGAAAATATTCTGTTGAAGTTAAGTCAATTACCGATGATAGACTAAAAAGAAAAACATGTATGAATTCCTGTTTAAAGTACGGAGGCTATGTTAATTTAGAAACCACTCAGTATTCTAGTTATAGACCACAGAGAAACTCCTATATGCGTGTAGTTGCCACAAAAGTATGTGATACAGAAAATTTACTTGGACAGGGGGCTATGGATTTTAATACTACGCAAAACATGGATTTTAAACAAATTAAAATGAAAAAATTAAGTTAGTACCCCTTGTAGTATCTCAAAGTAATCTTCTTAAATAATTATGCAATGATACTAAATTATTATAATAGGTACATCATCTAAGCCATCATGTCATATGTTCCCATCGAAAATGCCTTTGGAAGCTGACTCTACTTTTTATGTATCATATAAACCTCCAGTAATACACAAAACCAACAAAGAAAAAGAACCACTTCCAAAAGAAATATATTTGAAACCAATACAAAAAATGGATATGACTACAACAACTAATGACAGCTATAAAAACTGGATTGGCTCACCACATATTTTAAAGAAAGCTAGAAAAAACACCAACTGTTTTGTTAAAATTCCTTGCAATCTTCAAACTACTTACCACTATTACTACCATGATCCTGCAATGTATAGTAAATATATAACTGACCAATGCATTCAAAAGTGTTGTCAACAAACATAAATATTTTAAATCTTACAACCAGTTTTATTTATTTATGTTTTAAACACATCTAATGATAGAAAAGTTTAAAAAAAATACACTTATAAAAATAAAAAAATGTTTTACATTGTTCTATAAAGAATTCAACATTTTTTTGCTATTAGTTTTATGTTGGTTAATTAATTGGTATTTTAATATTAGTTATCTTGTATTGTTGACGACCTATAGACAGCCCATAACTTAATGAATGACAGTTTGGAAGTAAGCTGCCAGTAGTTATTGCCCAACTGGATTTAAAAAGAGAAGGATCATTCAAAATAATGTTTAGACGCCTATTAGAAATAAAACAATATTTTTTAACATATAATATTTTTAAAATATACACAATATAACTTTGCCTGGTACAATATAATTCTCTAGTTATTTAATCTCAGCATAAAATTGTTGAACTTCAATCTAAAGAAAGAGTGGCTCAAGATTCAAAAAATGAAGCGCAACATAATAAAGAGATAGCTGAAAAAATAGAAAAAATAACAATAAAAAAATATGGATTGATACCTATAGGACAAAAATCTAATAATGAAAAATCAAAAGATGAAATTGAAGTGGCTGACGTATTTAATACTATTGATATCAACAAAAATAATAAGTGAGACGTCCCATTAATTTAATTGGTATGTGAGTTTTACATATATATGATAAATTTAGAATTGAAAAAGAAGAAATGAATAGTTTTATCACATTTGATCTATACAAGGATAGTTTAATACCTCAAGATGATATAAATGTAAGTAAATAGAACAAACATATTTATAAATAATCTATAATATAACATTGTTTTAGTATTTTATGGATGATAAAAAAGAACTCACTTATGTAGAGTTTTCAACTATTTCATGGAACCGTTTGAAGCTAATGATTTTTAATGATAAATCAACGTTTCCTATTCAAGACAAATCTGTAAAAGCTAAACCAAGCAATGTTTTTTCAAAGCAAAATGCAAGTTTTAAAAGATTCCATAAATCATTGTATGATGAAATAAAATCAATATTTAATGGTATAATAACAGTTAATTAGTTTTTATTTAGTTAGTGATTTCATAGCATTTTACAGACATAGTTTTAATCATCCAACTGTTTATAAAAGCAAGTTAAGATAACTTTTTTTTTTTTTATTAAGGATTTGGCTTCAACATTAGTTATGACTAATGTTGGCGTTTGCATGTATTTACAAGTTTTTAGATATTTACAATTATGATGTGTATTTATTTTATAGGGCTTTTTTTAAATTAATGTTATCTGTAAATTGTATTATTTTGGTTATGTTCTGGATGTTGTTAGCTAGCGCTTCTTTGATCTTGCTTGGAATTCCATACTGGGTGTGCTTTTCTTCGAATTCTTTGCATTCTTCGATTATGTGTTTGATTGTGGACTTTTGGTGTTTTATCGATTTTTAAAGATAATTTATCATTAATAAATTATGATTTTGAATTTCTAATATTAAGTTCTTAGTAATTTTTTAAGGGGTAAAATAAAGGGGAAATTTGACAATAATTCTTGTTTTAATTATGGTTACTTATTTTCGTTAGTGTAATCTTATTGCAATTAAGAATGAAATTTCAAACATTAGAACTCTATATAGACTGTCGATTCTTCATGTTTTAAACAAAAAAAATTATGAAAATCTGATTATAATGTGTCAACTTTTTTCCTGTAAGGTATGTTTTTTTAAGCATAAAAACATACTGGCACCGGATGCCTATATATATTTACAACTATATTGAACTTAAAAGTGAAAATAAAACTATGATCTACTTAAAATTTAAACTTATTGTTTAGTGTTTACAATATAAATGTTTTAAATAAATATGTGTTTTCAAAATTATTTACATAGATTAGTATTTTTATAGTATTATGTTGTTTAGTTTGCTAAAAGATAGAAATAAGCAATATTTTTGGAATTATTTTACACTTTAAACAACATTGGTTTGCTTTTTAGAAGCTGAAAACGCTCGTAAATCATTTGAAGAAGCTGGTAAAAGACTTAGAGTTATACAAAAGGAACTATATGATATTAAAGAATTTTTAAAAAAAGATTATGGTCCTGATGATGAATTTGCAATATTATATGAAAAATGTTTTGAATTCCATGACACGCAATACATTTATAAATTATGCCTTTTCAGTCATGTAAGTTTCTTAAAAAGTGTTTTCTGTTTAATTATTCACCATTAACCACAACAACTATATAATATTAATACAGGTAACTCAACAATCAAAAACTGATAAAAGTTTTATTAGTTTGGGTACTTGGAAAAGTTGGAATAATCTACCAAAATATAATAAAATGTTATACGATAAAGGAGAAGATTGCTGGAATGGCCCCCAACGTTCTACTGAGGTACCTAGTAATTAAATTGTCGGATCATCATATGTATTATATGTTATTGTAGTTTGGTATTATTTGAGTAAATGACTTAAAAAATGTTATTATATAATTGCAATTTTAACCTACATTACAAACCGTGACCACAAATAAAATATTGTATACATCTTTTAATTTTGTAAAGTAGGTACAAAACATTTTCAGCTGTTTTATTGGTTGGCACTCGCCGATTGTTAGTTTGTTATGAAGGCCAAAATTGCCACTCTCTCAGAGAAATGTCCAGGCAAAAGCCGAAATATTTTAATTTGTCTAGACATATTGAGTATTTGCGGATTGACTGTGCGTTTTTGGCTATTGTGCAATTTTGGCTTTTACTTTTAACATGATATTTTTTTATTTTGCAGGTGCATTTGAGTTGCGGTTTAATACCTTCTTTTATATCTGTTTCGGAACCAAATCGCTGTAAATATGTCATGGAATTTATACTTCCTGCAGCTTGTACAAGACTACAAAACATTAGGCATTCAGAGGCTATAGAATTAGAACACGATCCTCAAGAATTGTGATTTAATTGATGTACAAATGTATTTTATTGTAAATGTTGTATCGAATCTATAAACTATCAACTGTATCTATAGACATTGTTTTTATTTATATATTCTCTAAAAAATGTATTTCTACTTACATTTTTATCATAATGAATTAACATTAAATATATCCAATTACGTTAGAACCATTTATTTATAACTGTTGTTAACCATCTGTAGATCAAAAATCTAAGCAATTTGTTGTCTTTTATTTTAATCTAGAAAATGCAATACCAATTGTTATGTGCATTACATAATGATTGTACATTATCGAGTTTCTTTTCAAGAACTAATACTTTAAGCACTTATTGAAGGTTAATAATATTAATATATATATATATATATATAATATATTCAGTAGGTGTAAATTAGTATAAAAATAGAACAGTGGAATTGTAACATTGCATTCCAAGAATGTCGGGATTCACATCAAAAGTATTTAGACAGGTTTTGTTTGTAGTTGACACAAAATAGTTTAATATTATTTCTTATAGACAAATCTGCTAAGTCCTAACATATTAGAAATGTGAATGTATAATGATACGTGATAACTATACACGAGTATCATTAAAAACAAGATTATAAATGTCAGCAAGAAGTAGGTAGGATTAGTGTTATATAACACAAAATTATTAAAAATATTTAACTAAATCATGTTATGCAGTTACTATCTATTTATGAAAGAAATATATTCAGTCGAAATGTAATAAATGAGATTAACGAGGTTAGAAAATAGATGACAATTCACATATTATGGAAACAAGAATTATAGCATCATAATATCATAAGACTTTTAAAATAAATAAATTAAGCTATTTATAATGTTTTAATTGAACATAGTTTTAGTTAGTTAGTATTAGGTAGTAAGAACATTATACGTTTAATCCACTTAAAAAAAAAATTCTTTGAATTAGGGCTTAAAGATTATTTATTTAAATATTTATAATTAATTTGGGATATTATTTTCTCACCATAAATTTTGCATATTTTAATCATTTACAGAAAATAATAGCAAAAATATTAATTGATGCGATTACAGTTATAATTATTTATATAAAAAAATGAAAACTAAAAAATTAATCAATACTTTAAAGTGTATAATAATTTGTAACTATTACCCACTTACATTCCAATAAGACATTTAAAATTTGTAGTTATATATAATGCAATGAATGAAAATAATTTCTGATCACCAGACAGAAGTAAAAAAAAAGCGAAAAATAGTTTAACAGAAGTTATAACATCATTTTTATATTGACCAAATTTAAAAATTAAAAATGTAAAACGATACATAAGTTTTATTTATATTAATAATTAAATAAAAAAAAAAAAATATTGCGCTTCGATGACTTTAAATAATGTTTAAGTAAAAAAAAAAAAAAAACAAAAAACAAAAAAATAATGTACATAAACCTGCATTTTCTTGATCAACAGATAATTTGATCGATAATATTGTTTATTTGATGTTGAACAACAAATGCAAATACCTATTAACTAAAATTAAAAAAAAAAATAATAATAATAATATAATAATAATAATAATAAATAGTAGTAAAGCCTATGCACAAATCAATAGCTCCTATGAATACTGGAAGCACGATTCTGTGTAAAATAACTGGGTCAGGAGACTATTTTAGATAATTGAATAACACTAAGTATTTTTTTTTTTTTAATTTTATTAGTACTAGGTACGATGATAAAAATAGCAAAATCAAAATCGGATCTTAAAACAAGATGTCAGCTTGTTGAATAGGTATGTTCTTTAAAACATTACTTTCTAATGATCGAGCTCCAAAAATGATTTTTGTTTTGTTTTCCAAAGAAATATATTCAATACATGCAATACATATAACGATATTATAAATTATGAGAACACACTAGCCTTTGCCTAGAGTGTGTTGACATATTTAATTACAATATGATACGGACACTCGTATCATATTTTTTGATGATTTTTATTAATTATTATTAAATTTAAATAAAAAATTCCGTTTTTTCAATTTTATTCAGAACAGGTAACAATGCTTGCGTTTCCTTCGGGGTTTTGCTTTGCGTTTCTCTCGCAGCCTTTGTTCTTTCTGTAAAATTATGTTTTATGAAAGTTAACAAAAATACTTTTTTTTTAAATTATTCTTTACATACGTCTTTCCTAATTTCTCTGACCAGAGTGTAGAATGCATCGTCAACACCTTGTCTCGTTTTGGCAGATGTCTCGATGAACGGCACACCGTATTGTTTAGCTAAATCAGATGCTCCTTTTACATCTATTGCTCTACTTTGCAGATCACATTTATTACCCACCACTAAAAATGAAAAATTTTCTTTAAAAATTACAAACATTTGTACATTAGTATTTTGCTAAAACTAAATTACAGTTGATATTCGAGAAGGCGTGGCCGAGTGGGTAAGGCGGCAGTGTGTTAGTGCACACTGTCGCTAGTTCAACACTCGGTCACAGGCATTTCGACTGTATGGCAAAAATATCATGCGCCATCTGGTGACCGAACTAGGCTAGAATTGGGCCTACTCCGAGTCAAAAATGCCATACGTGCCAACCAGTTGATATTAATTGTTAAAAGATAGTTTTAACATGGTTAGAAAAGTATTATAATGACTAAAAAATACCGATAAACATATTTTTTTATTTATATTTCAGATTTACTAAACCTTCCCAAATAAGCAATTCTTGTATGTAGTGGGGGGCAGACATCTGTTTCACATTATTGTGAAATTATTGTGAAACAGTAATAAAATAATAAAATAAATTGTTGTATATAAGTGTTATAAATTCAAAAGAAATTTTGGTGGCAACCTTAAGGCATAAACTTTGTTCAACAATAATCGAATATTACAAATTTTTGAACTGAATAAAATAAACTTGATCATTTTGTTTAATAAATGAACTTAGAAAAAAAAACCTAAGTCCGATATTTATTAAATAACTAATAATTTGTACTTGTATTACAGTATGGTTTATAACAAAAATATTAGTCAATCAATTTTAACTTCAATGCAATGATAATAAATAAATGTATGTAAAAATTGATATATTATCCCAGTAGCGTAACTGAGACTAAAGCGCCCAGAAACAAGACGTTTTATTTGTGCCTTATATTACATGTTCACGTGTGTAAGTAAACCGTACAAAAACGCCCTATAATAGAATGCACCCAGAGGCAGCTGCCCCCCTTGCACCTGCGTTAGCTACACCACTGTATTATCCTACAGGAATTATACAATTGAAATGTTATTAATAACTGAAATACTTACAAACCATGGGGACATCTTCAGCATCTTTTACTCGTTTTATCTGCTCCCTGTAGTTACTAATGTCTTCAAATGATTTTGTATTATTTATAGCAAATACAAGAAGAAAACCTTCACCAGTTCTCATGTATTGATCTCGCATAGCACTAGATAAAATAATAATGTTTTCCATAAATATCTTATAGACAAAATGTGTAGTAAAACTTTAAGTATACCTGTATTCCTCTTGACCCGCCGTGTCCAAAATATCAAGTAGACACGTTTCTCCATCAATTACTACTTGCTTACGATAAGAATCCTCTGAAAATTTTTAATTATTAAAAGGTTGATATTATTTTTTATACCAAGTTAAAGAAATTTGTATTGCCATGCCTACATTTAAGATAGTCAAAAATAATACATTTTTGTTTAAAAAAAAACATCAGCAAAACGAGTAGAGAGCCATCAGAAACTTTAAAGGAATTATGACTATAAATAAAAAAACTTTAAAAGAAAACGCTGAGGCAATATTGTGTTTATAATCAATATGTCAGTATTATTTTTATTTTGCCTGAAAAGCAAAAAGGTTGGCAACATATTTATAAAAAAACTATATTACATAATGTTAAACTTAGATTTATCTTCATTAAAAAATCTACAAAAAAAAAATTATAATAATGATGATAGTAACTAAGAAATAAAGAAATTCCCCACCTCTTTTGGGATAAAAGTTAATATTTAGATTAAATTTACAAACATAGAACATGTCATATACTTTCTTAACGACCTAATTTCGGACGCCCACTGCACCTTGCTATAGCTTTAACATAACATTATGAATTCAGGCCCTTATTGCCACATTTCCCTGCCTCGGCTGATTTACTAAAATTGAAGATTGTACATCAAGCGTTGTTTTGGGTAAAGTAAGACTCGATGACAACAACCAACCCACTTTTAGTAAACAGTTGCCAGTTACTAATAATATTTAATATGTTCGTGGATGCAACCCTAAAAAGTTTATGGCATAGTCTATCTAGATTCATATATAGTCAGTAGTCAGTAGTAGTAAACTACTAGATACTAGACATTACTATACTAATTTCTAGAGCATTTTTCTTGAAAGGAAACTGGTTGAAAAGTACCTTTGTAAAATGGTTTTAGTATAAAATATCACAAGTTTTAGTTATTTTAAGGTTTTTTTTTTAAATTTAAAAGGGATAGATTGAATTTATAGATATTTTTTTATAATTTAAATTAAAATGTAAATTGACAAAAAGTATTTTATGACTATAACTCAAAACCTGAGAATATATTTTTTGTACAACTCACCAATTGTAGGATCATACTCGTCCACAAAGCTATAAAAGAAAAAGAGTACATTTATAAAAATGATAAATGTATGTATATTGTAAATTTACATAATTTGAAGATAGATATAAACTTACTGGTTTTGTATCAACTGTATTGTTAAGGCACTTTTACCGACGCCGCCAGCTGTAAATAAAAACAATGAGTACATTAGGAAATTGTACATATCATACTCCAAATTTTAGTTGTCTATACAGAGGTGTTCTAAACACCCCCTGTATGACCTTGGTGAATTTGGGATGACAAGAAATTATTACTGGTTTTTCCACTCGATACTTAACTAATTAGGGATTTTAATAAGTTCCATAATTCTATAAAATAACTTAAATTACTACTCGAGTACTGAAGAATGAAAACACCCCACTTACCTAGTTAACTAGATTTTCATCACATACCTAATTAAAGGTTAATATTAGATTAAATTTAATAAATAACTGTTAAAATACAATATTATAATAGAATGCAATAAGATATAATAAATTATAAAGTAATTTTTAAACGTTATAATTTGCAATGTACCTGATATGGATGACTCAGTAATTAATAAGTTATAAAGTATAACAATGATTGATTTCTATAATATATTTTTTTTTAATTTGACTACCAACATCCAATCGGCATCTAAAGATACAATAGGTAAGCTTTTTTACACAATTTCATTTGTTTTTTTGGAACAAGTAACATATAAAGAGTACCGTTTGAAATGACATAATCGAAACTCCTCTAACTTTAAGGTAAACACAATAGCCGATGTGGAATTCTGTCATAGTACTTCAGTATTTTGCATAATGATTATAACATCGAACAGATAATTGATATGTTTTGAGAAAACAATATTAATAAGGATAATTTTTATTTCTTTTCTGCTACTGTTACTCAATCACAAATCTATAAATTAGAATTTGAAGAACATAATTTTCCCACTGGTCGAGGGGCGATACATGTTAAATGTACACAACACAGGAAACCATGTCTGGTTTACATTGAATCACGGAACTATATTCATTTTGTACTTACCACCGACGACGACCAGTTTGTATTCAGTCATTTTTTTGGTATCAGCGTCGTGTTCGACGTCTGTTGTGTCTCGTCAGCACAAGACAAAGGGCGCAACGGTATACCGGTCGGAGTTTACACGTTCGGTCGAAGACGAAACAGTTGTCAAATTTGTGCCACACACACTACCCCGAACATAAGCCGTAACGCAGTGCAATTAGCAAAAAAAAAAGATACTTATACTATAATACATACATGAATAATAATAATAAAAAAAAAAAGGAGAATTTTAATTTTTTCTTTTTCTTGTCTTTTTTTTTATTATTCCCTAAAGGGGCGTGACATTTATTTATTTATTTTTTGTTTACAGCACAGCCATCTTTTGTACGGCGTACACAGCCTGTCCAACTGTCCGCAACAACTATGCGTCACCAACCCTGTCCGGTTCGCCACTTAAAACGAACACCGATCAATTGGTCCTACGAAATATAGACAGACAATATGAGATAAGGATAAGGTACGCAAAAACGGGGAAAATATAATATTACATCGAAAAATTCGACACGAGCACGACGGAACGATGACTAAGAATATTGGTTGTCATTTGCCACTGAATACATATCTAGTAGGCAGTAGCCTGTAACCGAACTCGTAAGGTAGCGGCGAGGAGTTGAGATTTGGGATTGGGAGCCGCCGGGAGGTGGCCGCCGCGCCGCGCACTGTTATTACAACCGTGCAGTCACCGCACTGCGTGTCACACTGGCTGACGCCTGACTGTACGCTGATAACCTTTACTCATTAGACAGAACTCTGTAGACTGTAGTCTACTATTCTGTATATTTTAACAATGTTCATAGTATTTATGAGATAAGTTGATAACAACCGGATAAAAGACCCATTATTTAGTTCTGTCGTTACCCATTTATATAAAGTATTAATTATTATAGATATGGCATAAAAAAAACATTTACCTCGTATTACTACTAACTGCTATCGAGAATACAGACTTTGTAAGTATAAGTTTTTTAAATTGTTGGTTAATAACCCATTCTTTTATTACTAACAAAGCTGTTAATCGTTGAACCATTTTGGAATTGTGATCCCGCTACCTGCAATTACGACGTTTTGTGCATGATACAGTCGACAGATTCGAACGACACTATGGGTGGACCTAAGGAAGGCGTTCAAAAACAAATACAACAAGATTGGGCAAACAGAGAGTATATAGAAGTGATCACTGGCAGCATAAAAAAAATCACTGATTTTCTCAACTCATTTGGTAAGTTACATTTTGTTAGGTACACCTATAATAAGAATTAATGTTTTTATACATTTTTGCATAAGTAGATTTTAAAAATGTATACATATTTCATATTTGCCCTAAGTTAAATTGGAGCATTGGAAACTAATTGTCTGGTATTAATTTGGAGTAGGTAGAAAACTTGTTGATATGCTTGGAGATCAAATGATAAGCGTGGTGAAGAAAGTTAAGTAATTGTAATAACTATGCAAGCAAATTAAGGAGTCAAAGACAATATAGTAATTAAAATAATGTGTAGTTAGATAAGGTAGGAGAAAGTAACGAGGGGGTTGTGTGACAGAATTTTTGGTTTTAACTGGCCATACCTAATTGTTCCTATTATTTTTCTTAGGTTTTTTTAATTTTAAAATTAGTTTATATTTATTAACAAAATCATTACTTGTTAAATTAAGAAAAATATTTTATTTATTATAACAATTTCATATAGATAATGTACAATATTGTTTAGTATTGTATTTTAAAATGGTATTATCTCTGTTATCTATCAATACAGACGTTTCCATGACATCCGATTTAAAATACTCAAGAACTTTGGATAAAAGTGTTGTTTATAAACGATAACTGTTTGATCATTGATTGTTACTATGGCTGCAATAAAAGGTTTAATACATTTTTTAATGTACAATAATAGCATGAATTGATAGCTTGCCAAAAGTATTCTTATAAATTGTAAGATTATTTACTAATAAATTAAACTTAATATCATAAAAGTAAGCATGAAGGTAATGTACTGTACAGATGTTGATAGATCTGTTGTCTTAAGTAATTTTGAAAAAAGGGGCTGGTTACATGTTGGTCCTGATGACGACTGGAATTTCTATTGGGCTGGCATACAAACTTGTCGCAGTTTATTTAGTATTGACAGTGGATATCGAATGCATGATAATCAAATGATCAATCATTTTCCAAATCATTATGAACTTAGTCGTAAAGATATGCTGGTCAAAAATATTAAACGTTATAGAAGAGAGCTTGAACGAGAAGGAAGTCCTCTAGCTCGGCGTCTGGATGGAAAATACTTATACTTGGACTTTATTCCAGTTACATTTGTATTGCCAGCAGACTACAATTTGTTTGTCGAGGAATATCGCAAAGTTGGACCAAGTACTTGGATCATGAAACCTGTTGGAAAGTCACAAGGAACTGGAATTTTTCTTATTAATAAGCTATCTAAATTGAAGAAATGGTCCAGAGAAGGCAAAAATAATAATTTCAATACATCATCAATTAAAGAATCTTATGTAATTTCTAAATATATTGACAACCCTTTATTAATTGGTGGTAAAAAATTTGATCTCCGTTTATATGTTTTAGTTACATCTTTTCGACCGTTAAAAGCATATTTATTTAAGTCTGGCTTTTGTCGTTTTTGTACAGTTAAGTATAATACGAGTATCGGGGAAATAGAAAATTTGTTCGTTCATTTAACAAATGTTTCTGTTCAGAAGCAAGGTGAAGAGTATAATAGTATACACGGGGGTAAATTAAGCATTCAAAATCTAAGATTATTTTTAGAAAGCACTAGAGGTAAAGCCACTACTGATGCACTCTTTGATAATATTATATGGTTAATAGTTCATTCATTAAAATCAGTTAGTTACATAATGGCAAATGATCGTCATTGCTTTGAGTGTTATGGCTATGATATAATAATCGATGATAATTTAAAACCTTGGTTAATAGAAGTCAATGCTTCACCCTCATTAACGTCAACTACAGTTAATGATCGAATTTTAAAATATAAGTTGATTGACAATATGCTAAGTGTAGTTTTACCACCTAATGGTATCCCCGACGTGCGTTGGAATAAATGTCCTACTTTAGAAGCAATGGGAAACTTTGAACTATTAATTGATGAAGATTTGGCTTCTAAAGATAAAATAGTATCTAATAAAATTGATCACAAAGAAAGAATGAAACGAAAAAATTAATTAGAATAAACACTTATTGAACACTTATTATATAACTTTGTAAATATTAAGCATAAAATTTCCATACTCTTTTTGGATAAGTTTTAATATTAATTAATGTTGCACATTGCACCCTATCACAAATCACAAACTAAACAAGCTATTAAAAATGTTTTGTTGTAGATATGTCATGTAGATCCAGATTAGCTATTTTAAATGAAAAACTAACCACGTTAGAACGAAGAATTGAATATTTAGAAGCAAGGGTAAGTTTAAAATTATTATTTCAATTTAAATAGAGGAATGATCATGATAAATTTTTAGGTAACTAAAGGAGAAACCCTGTCATGAGCTCATACATTTCTTTTTTTTTGATACTGTATTAAATATAATATAATATTGATAATATACTTTTATGTTAATATACTTTTTACATTTTTAATCAAGTATTGTTTGCAATACCAAATTGCCTATATCTTATGCCTTAAAAAGAGTTGTTAAGTATTAAAATTTAAGTTTATTATTTTTAATTTATTTATTATACTTTCTTATAATGTTTTAGTATTCTTAATTAAGTTTTTTAGTCATTGTATTGTAATAAATAGTTTGAGTGACAAACATAATTCAAATTGATGAATTATTATTCATTATTTCAGATTTTTATGTACATAAAAGTTTAGAACTTCTTAAATAGATCATAGTATAAAAATGAATTTCATATTAATATGAAAAAGACAATATGGATGGCGCTGTGGTGACACTCTGCCCTGAAATTTTTGCTGCTTTTGTCACTGATCATTGCCACCTGGTCTTTAGCAGCGGACCATGTCATATTCTCTACTACAAACATAAAACCTAACCTATAAACAAGGTTATAGCCACAATTATTGTCAAGGCTTAAAAAAAAAAAAAATGAACATTTTTATGATTGTTAAATGTATTAGTAACAAGTAATAAAACGTATCAATATTATTAGAAGTACAATTAGTAGATTTTATCTATTACCATTGACTATAAATAATAAGTTAAAGTTAACAACAGTAGCAGTTAATTTAATTGGAAGTGAAAACTGTCAGTTAGCTTAACTGGTACTCCATAAACAAATTAAACTTTAATGTTAAAACTAATGATATTACACTAGTTAATAACATAAATTGATTCATATCATAAATATAAACGCATCATCGAGGAAGCATGATTCTTTTTTTTTTTTATACATAACTATTCCAGCTGAACAAAACCTATCCCAACAGTTAACAGATATACTAACTACAAGAAAATTTACATGTTTAAAAGTTAAAACAATGTATGTATACAGTAGAACCTCGATTATCTAAACCTCCGTCTCCCAAACCTTCTATTATTCAAACTGCAATTGGCATATCCAAATTTCAATTAATAAAAAAAAAAACTAGTTCGAACATCAAAATGTAGAAAAAGAAAAGAACTTGTACAAGTACTGTTGTATGAATTATAGTTATATTATCCTATCTGACAGAATGTTTTACGCAATTACTTCTCATAAAACGTTTATGTAACATAGCAACTCAAAAACCACGTAGCAGTTATATGTTTTTCAAATTAAAAATGGATAGTTTATCTCTAAAAAAAAACTATTTATGTCAGGAGTTTGAAGCTTACATTTTTTTATATTTTATGTAAATAATTATTTTTAAATATTATGAAATAATTAAACATATATGTAAGTTAATATACGTGTATTGATTTCTCCATTTTCGTTAAATTTTCGTAAAGCATTTCATCTATCCAAACTTTTCCCCATCTGAACAATTAGGTGGTCCCAATTAGTTTGGATAATCGATGTTCTGCTGTACAGAAAATATGCCATTTAGGACAACATGCATTTATAAGCCATAATTTGTTGTAATCAAAACATTAAAAAAGTGAATCTTAGTACCTGCATATTTATATTATATGTAGATATTATTTATTAGCCCCACTGATAATAGTGAATTGGTATAAACATAATCAACATGCTTATGATTTTTAATATTTGTGTTAATTTTAATACTATTTATAGAATAAATAAACATAAAAATCAAAGTATTACTTTTAATTACAAAAATTGATTATAGCAAAAAAATAGCGAGAGATATAACCTAAACAAATAAATGTAACAAAAGTGTGAATTATAACATAAATATCAGAATAATTTTTTTCTTTTACTAAAACTTAAGATTTTAGAAAAAAACAATTTTTTAATTAAAAGCTTTAGTACAATAATCTTATAATTGTAAAAATATTATAATTGTGATGATACTATGTGAATAAATATAAATAAAAACCTATTAAATTGTAAAACTACAAAAGATGTATATATTGACTATTTTACTCTAGATATCAATTATAAAATAAATACTAATATAATAAAATAAAATGAATTTTGTTTTAAACAAAAATTAAACATGCATAGATAAACCATGTCAAATTCTTTATTGACCATTTGATTTAGACCGAAATACATTAGCTTTGTTCATTGTCAAAACATGGTTTATTTATGTATGCCCAATCAATGTTATAAGTAAATTATCATTATAGGATAGCGTACACTACAGGCATAGAAGTCTACCATTCCAGCCTCCTTAAAAAAAAAAATTATCGTTTAAATCTAACTTTTGAAGTAAAACTTTCAAAAACACATTCGACCTCCTGAAATATGTCATGCTTACTCTAGCAATCATATTTTGGTAATTTATTAAGTTCTATATACTGTGATCACTACTAAAGTTTGTAACGGAAATCAGTTAAATAACTTGTTTGCTTTCTATTTAAACTATATTTACATTATACATAAGTAATTGTAATATAGTTTTAAAGGTTTTTAGTTTTCAATATTTAAATGCCACATGGAGTGATTTCTTTAAGAGGCCAGGTAACCAATTTCTTATCTGGGTTTTAATTATGGTGACATAAGTAGTTCATATGTATAGTAATGATATATATATTTTTTAAATATATATGATGAAATATATTATAAATTATAATTGGTTAGTAGTAGATATTAATTTGGTATCTTTATTATTAAGATATAACAGGAAAGCTAATACCATATTTTGTTCCCCAAAATACATTTTCGTACATTAGGAGGAAATAAGCCTATTTTTTTAAGTAAAATTAAAGGTACATTATGCTATTTTTAGCAGTAATATTATTAAATGTTAGAATAATACATAATGTATTCCTTAAAATCGAGTATGTGGAACTGGATTTCTTAAAATAAGAGCACTCTCAGCTGACATTATGGGTAGCTTATTTTCACTATGATAATTGACTAAATGACTAACACTTTCGAATATGCGATCTTTTGTTCTTACTGCTCCTTCAGGATCGATTAATAGTAAATGTTTTTTAACATCTCCTTGTAAACCAGTCAAAACATATTGCCCAGGAGATCCCTGTGACTCTCTCACTAAAAAGTCGCCATCCTAAAATTAAAATAATATGTCAACAAAATATAAATATTACTAAATAAATTATAGCTTAATGTCTTCCGCTTACACTACAATATATAATAATTGTACATAATATAACTATTAGATTAAAACTTACATGCTTTAATAAGGTTTCAGCATGTTGTCTCGTAATACTCCCATGAAACCAAATTTCATCTTGAAGTTTGGGAACCGTGACTGGTATTGGCTCATTATCCACAAAAGGCTCTGTTGAAATAATAAAATAATTGTACTAAAAAAAAATCATAAAATTAACCTACAACAATCATAATTTCAACAAATCAAGCTGCAAAATTATTTATTTTCTTAGGTTAAATTTAAATTTCTTGATTTTTTTTAAACATGCTATATAAAATATACAAATGTATAACAAAAACTCAAATATTTTCTTTTTTTGATAAATAGACTAGGTATTATAAAAAAAACTTACGCATATCAAATACGTCTCGTGGTTGAGAGTTTTGGTTTTTATTGCCTACTACAAAATCATTGACATAGTTATGAGCTAGATGTGGTGCTAGAGGTGGAGGTGCTTCACAGTTTAAATCTATTAAGTTATTGGAAACCAATCGCTCTGAAAAATAAAAACAAAATGTTATAACAATTAAAAGTGTGTACAATATTGATAGTTATATACCCCTTGTTCGATGATCATGATTTGAGGGAAGAGGTGGTACTGGAGGAGGTCCAGAATCTGGAGGTGACTTCCCAGGTAAGTCATTATAATATTCACGTTCATCTCGTGTACTTGAACTCATAACAGAAGCTGGCTTAGTCAAAAACTGTTTAAAACGTAAATCAAATGCTTGACCAATAGTAGTGATTACATCTTGAGCCAATTCACCTTCTCCACATTCTAATACATAACATGCTCTCCAGTCTTTTATATCTTTTGCTACAAAAGCAACAAAATCTATTGTGTCCTAAAGATTAATTAGACATGTTTTTTTAAAAATAAAATCCCCATAAAAATTAATAATACAAACAAATAACTTACAGTATCACCTCCCGATGCAAATGATATTCTTGGCATGTCATGAGTTGAAATTACTGCATGTGTATCTCGTAACTTTAATGTCAAGCAAGTACTTGATATAGATAAGGTTACATTAGATCCCGCATGGTCCATTATTGGATGATCACCTATAAGTCTTAACATTTTTTTGTCTACCTAGAATATTAAATTGTGGGTTAGACCAAAGTGAATTAGTACATATAACTGAAAAGTTCTACTACCTTCCTTTTTTTGTCAGCAGTTTTTAGGCCTGCAGCTTCACAAACTTTATTAATACATTCTCTACAATTAAAAAAAACAATAGAATTAATATTATAAATAAAACATCGAAGAATTAAGATAGTTAAAACATATTTATATAATTCCCAATATTTATTCATTAAGAACTATAGTAGCAAATTATTGTAAGCTGATCATAAAATTAAATTTACCATGAAGTTTTTTTAGCCGTTAGAGGTAATTTTCATTGTTTTTTGTATGCTCATTTAACAAAATTAATTTTCTAATTATGCAGAAAGCTCATAAATTTACTTAATACATCATATATATTATACTTATAATTATTTTACAAGAAAATTAAAGTATAAGTAGCATTGAAAAACTTACAAGAATCAGAACCTTTTTTATTTAATATCTTTTGTTATTATACATTGTCATAATGTTCAATGTTTATGTATGGTAATTGGTAGGCAGAATATGCATTAGCATTGTTCTACACACAGACAATAACCAACTCTGTTTTAAAAATAAGGTATAGTTTCATAATTTAGACATAAATCTATAATAACATTAGTGTATTTACAATTTTCTTCTAGGCTGTAATATGCAACAAAAAATTTCCCCCTGGCTACCTTATGTAATTCTTGCTCTCTTTAAGCAAGTTTGTGTACTGGTGTTTGTTTGTTAACAACATTGTTTGTTGTTTTCAACTTTCAATTAGGAAAAATTTATTTAGTATCTATTTTTAAATGTTTGATTTTTAAGAAAAGCAATTATTAATATTTACGTTGCTATACTTTCAACATAAAAATATAGTATTAAACCTACTGTTATAATGAAATAGTTTATTTGTGGCATTTAATCATTAACTTCTACTTAAAAAAAAGAGTATTTTATTAAATAAATATGTTATTAATAAATAATAATGTATTTATAAAAATGATAAATTTTACAATGGATATAAATACCTACTATGCAAAAACTAACCTAATAATAATTGATTGGCCTTCTTAGAATAAATTATAACAATAATTAAAAGAGAAATTCAAAAATAATAACCCAACTCACCCCTGAGGATAACCTCTTAAATAGTGAAATTGGAGTACTAACAAAACAATTTGATTATAAAATATGTAGATAAATATATAAGATAATATATAATAATAGGGGGAAAAATAGTAATTAGTAGTTAGTAATGAGTATAAATAGATAAATCTATTCACATCAAATATTCCATAAGAACTATAAGTTGTTTTTGTTATAGCTCAACCATACATTAATCTTTTTTTGTATTTAATATAAGATTACCAGCTAATAGTATGAATTGGAACTCTATTTAATAGGTTTAAACCTACTTGTGAAAAACATCGGGTTATCTTCTTATTAGAATATTCTAAATTTTAAAACTAGTATTAGTTTGTGATTTAATATCAATATAATTTAAATTCTTATAAAAACCCTAATTAATGAATTATAAGTTAAAGAACTATTGTTTTTTCAAGCACTTAATATGTTATTCATTAAATATTAATTTAACTTACTTAGCGACTAGGAACCTTGTCTCAAAATCTAAACTCTTCATTGATGTTAATACCTCAAGACATCCAATATACTGAAATATTTATTATTTAGTATTAAATCATTTATTTATAATCATGGTGTTTTTTTTTTGTCATAGACAAAATTGTATGATCTTATAATCTATATTGTCAATTAGAGTAGAAAGAGATTGAACTTTAAAATTTAGAAGGGATAAGAAAGTAAAATAATTAAGTCTGTAGCCTGAGTCTGATAGCAGCTGTAAAGTTGGGTAGCTCCTAGGTATATTCGGCAAAGCGGCACAGAGTAGTCCCAAGAGAAATGTTTGTGTCTAAATAGAGATGCTGTGAGGTCTGAAGAATAAAACCAAGGTCAGAACTTTAAACCATTTTGTAACAAATCTCTTCAATATTTTTGATTGGAATGAGATTGCTAGTGAGTATAAAGACCCAAATCACTAAAGGCAATTACATTTTTCAAAGGCGAGTACAGGACATAGAACAAAATTATTTATTTTATTTAAGTGTCAAGAGGTAAAATGATATCTCAATTGCAAAAATATATTGAAATTTAAAGGAAAATCTTACATTCCAAAATAAAAAGGGAGAATTTATTTTAGGTCAGAAATTGTATAGCCTTGTTTTGCTCTTTGATGCTATACAATCTATTAACTTTTCCAAAGAAAAATATAAAACTAATTAACATTATTTGTACTGATAACCCAATAATAATAAATAAACTAATTACTCGAACTTCATAGCAAACACTACTTCTTGTTATAACAGTATCTGGATGTAGCCAACCTCGAGAAGGTTGATTCATAAAACTACCCCATGAATCCGGCATTTTGATTAAAAAAAAATATAGTTTTGAGTTTCTGAAACTATAAAAAGTTTTTAAAAATAAGTATGTTAAACAACATCAATAATACTAAATAAATAAGTAACAAACAACAATTATATGTTAGGTAATAGATACACAATAAAGAGATTATGAAATAGGTACTTTCTGATTTACCTAAATTTTATTGCTCATAGATAAAACTATTTTTTTTTATAGATTTCATTTCCATAATTAAAACTTACATTTAATACACTTTTAAAAACAAATAATACCACAAAACTAGTCGAAAATATTAGTCAACATCTGTAGGTATTTAATGACTAATTCACTAATGTTACTTGTTAGACGTTTGACATAACTTAGTGGAGAGGGTAATTTCATTCAGTGATAAAAAAATAAAAAGTGATAAACCCCATTAACATTTTGATAGATGATAAAAACAGATCTTATTATCATATTATTTTTATAATTTATCTTTGAAGTTTGAATAATAATTCTGTTAAGAGAAATAAGTTTTCTCTACTTATTTAATATTTATGAATTAATCATTTATTGTGTCTTTATTTTTGTTGGAGGTTTTTCGTTTTACAGTAATACTTGGTTTTCACTTTTCTAATCTAATTCCCAATTACCTAAGATTCGATATCGATAGTCTGATGTGTATTAAACTGTTAAATGTGTTAGACTATTAAACTATTATTTTGATTGTTTAACTATTATGTAGTTTTTAGCTGTAGGTACATTTATAGTTAGATAATAGATATCTTCCAAGAAGAAAAGGAATAGAAACAAAAGAAATGCTAAACTGATTATACATTTTTAGTCATGAAATATCTTTCGGAACAGAAATAATAAATAAATATTACTACCTATTTTATAAAAAAAAAATTGGGTAATTGGTAATACGAGAATGTTTCATAAAAATAGTATTTTATCTATTTTCGTGAAATCTTCAATTTTATTTAGAAAAAAATATAATTTCCAATCATTTCCAAAAAGTCATGTCAGTTCAACATTTAACGAATGGATATTAATGTTTTTTAAAACACATCCTCCTTACAATAAGTTTGTGTTAAAGCCAACTACACTAGTAAATAATGATTTAGAGGCAAGAACATTGGATAAAGCTCCAATATCACTAAAATGTAATACAAATAATGAATTACTCAACAAATTCTCATCTACAAGCTCATTATCAACAATTAATGAAATTGACAAAGAACTTGAAAATCGTATTGATGTTATGACAATTGAACAAATAATGCAGTTGATGGATTCTTGTTTGACTTCAAAAAATAAGTTATCCAAAAATTCTAAAGCGTTTAAAAGATGTCTTCAAATAATGAATGAAAATTGGTTTAGAAGGCCTGATTTAAATTGTTATCAAACTGTACAATTGATGTATTATGCTAGTATTTATAAACATAAAGCATATAACACGATTAGTTTTGGTTTGCAGAAAATAATGAATGAATTAAGTTATGTGAAAAAATTTAGTAATGAAGAACTAAGTGTTTTGGCTGTTGCTACTTATAAGACTGGAGTTAAAGTTAATGACAAACTTTTAAGATTATTTGTCTATAGACTAGAAAAAAAACTAGACGAGCTTTTACAAAAACCTATACTTTTTATATCTTTACTTAAACCATTAAAAAAAGCCAAGTACCATGATCCTACACTAATAAAAACGCTAACTACCTCCCTTAAATGTGATGGTAGTAATCTAGTAATAAAAGATTTTACTTCCAGCGTTCATTTACTTTCATACTTAGCTGATTCCAATTGTGGTGATATAAAAAATTTACAAAAACTTATTGACTCAATTGAAAATTCAATGGTAAACTATATTAAATACAAAGTTAATTAAAAAAAACAAGAGTTTAAATTATAAATTGAATTATTTTTTTCAGATTCAAGATAATATGAAAAATTATCGAATAAAGGATTTAACCAATTTTCTATTTTCAGTTAGTTATTTAGGAATAACTCTAAGTAACCATATTGTAGAAATAATAGACAGTTACTTGTATGAAGTTTTTAATACTAAAGATAAATGTATTAAATATTCCAATATGTTAATCAGTGTTTGTTTATCTATGTGGATGCTGAAATGGACATCTTCCAAGTTAATACAATTTGTATTTTCCCAAGTACCTATTTCTGCACTAAGATGTATGAAATTAATAAAGTATCAATAATAATAAAAAATTCATATGCATGATCATATACATTTATTTGTAATGTTACGTTTATATTTTGTAGCGCCAAATATTCATAAACAAAATAATAGGCTTGATCTTTTGTTAACATCGGTTTCCATTGAAAAGCCAGAGCTCCTGCAACATTGTAAATTTATTGAAACAATAGAGAATATGCCAAAACCTTGTAGCCATATAAATGAGCGACCTTTATTACTAAACGTTTTTAAGAACTTACAAGAGTTATCCAAGGATTTAAAGTTTTCAAGTATAGAGTACAACTTTAGCATACCAAATCTAAAAATACTAGGAATTAAAATTATAAATAATAACAAGTAAATATTTTATTACTAATACCAATTATTATTATCTCATATAATTATTTAACCTTATTGTGTTGTTTTGAGGAATAAAATATATGTTGAAGTATTGGACAGTTGTACTTGCCTTGCTAATACAGGAATTCCTAACGGTACAATGAAATTAAAGCTCCGATTAGAATCAAAATTGAACTTCACTGTTATTACTGTAAGACGAAAGGCAACATGTTTTATGATATAGTATTTTTCATAATTTATAATTTATTTAGGTGAATCATATGGATAATGTTCTACAAAATTCAAAATCGTTGAAGATTTATTTGGAATCATTATTATTAAAACAATTTAATATTGTGTAGCTAACTATTTTAATCAGTAAAATGTTGTTACTTATTTTTTTTTTTTTTTTTAGTTTTGATCCAAAGCTAAAAAGGCTTTTATATTATATAATATATTTATAGTTTTTTGATTATAGTTATATTTTACACAAATATTTACATTTTTGTTAATTATGTTAGAAACAATATACCATACATAGAATATCTAATTATTGGTTTTTAATTGAGAGAAAAAATGAAAATGACACATATTTTAATAAAAAGACAGTTAATTAATATAGATAAGGACAAAATGTCTGAGAAATTTTGGTGCTCATCACTTGGATGAATGTCGGACTTGTGACTTTTTGAAGCATCATGTACAAATTTGGTGGACTAGTTCAAGGTATACCATGCAATTTTCCAGTAGAGCGCAATACAAAATTGTGACCCAGCCTAAGTCAAGTACCAATGTGTATAGCTATTTAGCTCCCTATGTTCTATTAATCAAAACAAAACTTTGAAATTTTTATTAATTGTATAGAAAAAAGCCTGTATAGTGGATTGGGACGGGGGAAATGAGACGGCGAGGTCTATATGATTTATTTTAACTGAAAGTTATAAAATCACTTTCAAATAAACACTTTAATGCAAATCTGTGATGGTATAATTACAAATATTGATAAAAGCTTTGTATGTTATGACAATGATGTTTAAAACTGTATTTTTAGTATTAGAGTTTTTCGTCTTCACTACACAATCCACCTCTACATTTCACTATGGTTTTTAGCTCTCCCAATAAGAACGTAAACCAAGTTACGCTACCTAATATTCCTTAAAGTTCATATTGGCTACTAGGTATAGGTAGTAAGTAAATATTATTTGCTCTCGTCTATGCCTACCTCGGTGACCCCTACGGTACCACTATTATTTTTTTTTATTATATAATAAATTCACCATGTAAGTATAACTAAAATTATGAGTTCTTGATATTTTTTTAGCAATATTATAAGTGTTTTTAATTTCTTGGTAAATTATAATTTATATACCAACATAATCTATTTTTCCCTATATATTATGCATTATGCTATGAGGTACTTCTATTGTTTATTAAGAAATGGTCGTCAGAATCGTACATTTGCACGTGGTGAGGCCGATGACTATACGTGTTTTGACGTAGAATCTCCCTTATATTATAATTTATAACATTTTAAAATGGAAAATATTATTTTCATTTTATTATATATATGTATAATATTTGATTTTGAATAATTATTGATTTATAGAATTATCGATAGTGACATAATTCTGGAAAGATGGCGTGAAGAGGTGTTGGCGGCAAAAACTCTTGGAGAGTTTTAAAAGTCAAAAGAAGAAGAACAATATTCAGAAATCCATTACGATTTATGCCTTTTGCCTACCGGCTACCATTAAACGCCGATGTTGTATTATGCATCTTGTCGGCAGTCTGTGGTAAGATGTTAATGCTGAAAAGCACCAACTAAGAATACTATGATACTATCTTAGTTCGTGCTAAAAAGTACGAAAACACGATTTTTTGTTGTCTATAGTATCTACTGACTAGAGATGATAACATTTTATTATTTATCAACATAACCTAAATGAACATTTTTTTATGTTGCTGTCGGTGTCGTTTAACGTTTTATGTTGAATTGATTGCTTGTATTTAAATGTAAGTTATAACTAATAACTTGTAATTTTCAAAATTATCTTTTTATAAATACCTACAAAAGTTATGTATTAAAGTATAAAATCATTAACATTATAGAAAGAAAATAAGACGAGATCCCTCAACTACTATGGATGATTTTGGCGCCGATTTGTTTGATGAGTTTGAAAAGCCGACTGTCAGCTCGGTGACTCCATTAGCAAGCAAAGCAATTAATGGAAATCAACAGGATTCTATAGATAAGTATGTGTTGTAGTACAATAGATCATATTTTTTATATTGAAAAGTCTATATTTTGTTCTTTAATAGTTCTACTAAAAGACCTTTGCAACTTTCTGATGACGAAGAAGACAATTTAAAGAAGCCTAAAAATCCAGACGATCTTTTCTTTTCACAAAAGTAAGCACTGTTTACACATTTGGTGTAAGAAATGTTTTCAGCATAATTTATTGTTGAATTTAATACTAAATGGTTTAAATCTCATATGAAATATTAAATTTCATTCTTAAAAACAATTACTAGGATGTTTTTAAATAATAAAATTAATTGATCTATTCCAAAGTCGAATAGTCAATAGTTTAAATGAATACTGTCACCTTATATGGTCGGCATTCTATCTATAACTTATAGTTGATTAAAAAATTGATTTGTATTTGTTATTTTACTTCAATCTATCTCATTAAATTATAACTGACTGATTTTACATAGATTCTAAAAATTTTATTCTTAGAATAAAAAATAATTTAGGTGTATCATGCTAAATATATTAATGTATTAAACCAAGAACCCTGGTTTCTGAAGTATCCGTGTTATTGAATTAAAATATTTATCCAGTTTAAATAATACAACTATTAAATAATGTATAATAATATATAATGTGACCATCCATAGTCTAATGTCTAAAAGGTAATAGTGAGCGCTAATACACTGCAGTGTACCGTCTTACTCTCTTGGCCACTTATCTTCCATAATTATAGTATTTATTTGTATTACGTTTTTCCAAAGATTGTTTTGTAATTTGTTTGTATTTGTACAATTCAGATTTATTAATTATTATTATATCAGAATATATATAAGTCTAACTTGAAGAACTTACCTAAATCTTAACCTTAACACAAATAGTAATAATAAGTAGTGTAGTTATTTGTTTGTATAGTAATAAAAAAAATATCTGTCCAAACTATTTTAATTAATTAATATTTATTTTGTTTCTTTTAAAGCTTTGAATCATCAGTCCCTAGAATAAAAATTTTTGCTGTAGAAGCTCTAGATGGGGAATCATGCATTCACGAAATAGCAATTCCTCCACATTTTGATTATGTACCATTAGATCGAAAAACCACTAAGACTCCAGCTAAAGTATATGAATTTGAATTGGACCCCTTCCAAAAAGAAGCAATTTCTTGCATTGAAGGAAACCAAACTGTACTTGTATCAGCACATACTTCAGCTGGTAAAACTGTTGTAGCTGAGTAAGTATTCAATAGTTAAATACTTATTAAGTATCTATTAAATACTTATGTTTATTTTGTGCAACCACAGATACAGTATAGCTTTGTCATTGAGAGAATCTAAACGTGTTATTTATACTACTCCTATTAAAGCTCTTAGTAATCAAAAATACAGAGAATTTCATGAAGAGTTTGCAGATGTTGGTTTGATTACTGGCGATGTTACAATTAACCCAACAGCGAGTTGTTTAATTATGACTACTGAAGTAAACACACTCTTAGTTATCTGTTATTACATACATTTTATCTATACAATTTAACAATATAATAACACCAACCAATTTAGATTCTTCGTTGCATGTTATACCGAGGGTCAGAAGTTTTAAAGGAAGTAGGATGGGTAATTTTTGACGAAATCCATTACATGCGTGACAAGGAACGTGGTTATGTTTGGGAAGAAACATTGATTTTATTACCAGACAATGTACGTATGGTTTTTTTGTCAGCTACGATACCAAATGCCAGACAATTTGCCGAATGGGTAGCTCATTTGCATAATCAACCATGCCATGTCGTCTACACAGAGTACAGACCTACTCCTTTGCAACATTACATTTATCCAACTGGGGGAGATGGCTTGCATCTTATTGTCGATGAGCACGTAAGCTAAATATTAAAAGCAGTCAACATTTTGTATCTTAATAGTTAATATTTTATTAATTCTGTTCAGAATAAATTCCGTGAAGACAATTTTGCAATGGCTATGAATGTTTTATCAGCTAATACGCAACCAATAAAAAACTACGGACAACAAAATAGACCAACCGTGAATAATCCAGAAAATGAATCTCACTGTTTTAAATTAGTGAGAACAATTATGGAGCGTAGTTTTGCACCAGTAATTGTTTTCTCGTTTAGTAAAAAAGACTGTGAGTTATATGCAATGCAAATGGCCAAATTAGATTTTACATCAGGTAAATTATTATTTTCGTATCCTATAAAATGTATTTGTATTTTAAAATATTGTAAATATTTATTTTGTAAAATAAATGCTGCTCTCACCAATTTGGCTTAAAATTTAAGTATTATTAAGCCTGTAGACTAGTTTTATATTTAATATATAATTTTTAAGCTAATTTGGGTAGAATGACCATTAGTAATTTACCATTCATAAATTAAAATTTTGATTATTATTAGATGTCGAAAAAGGATTAATTGATAAATTGTTTGAAAATGCAACTAAAGTATTAAGTGAAGATGATCGTAAGTTACCAGCAGTTATAAATATTGTGCCTTTAATAAGACGAGGAATTGGTATTCATCATGGAGGTAAAAAAACATATTTTGTGAATTATTCCAACCGTTGTATTAATATTATTTTTTAACAATAGGTCTTTTACCTATATTAAAAGAAACCATTGAAATCCTGTTTGGTGAAGGATTATTAAAATGTCTTTTTGCTACTGAAACATTTGCTATGGGCTTAAACATGCCTGCTAGAACAGTGTTATTTACGGCTTGTCGCAAGTTTGATGGAAAAGAAAGACGATTTGTATGTGTTTGTTAATCAACTATTAAATTAGGTACTTATTAATTGTATATAATATGTATATTTTAATCAGATAACATCAGGAGAGTACATACAGATGTCTGGTAGAGCAGGAAGACGAGGTTTGGATGATAAAGGAATAGTTATGTTAATAATTGATGAAAAAGTCAGTCCAGACACTGTTAGGAATATTATTCAAGGGAAGCCTGATCCTATAAATTCAGCATTTCACTTAACTTATAATATGGTATTAAATCTAATGCGTGTAGAAGAAATCAACCCTGAGTATATGTTGGAAAGAAGTTTTTTTCAATTTCAGAATCAGGCATCTATACCAGAGCTAACAGAAAGTATGTAATAGTTATCATTTTAGTCTTAGTGGTATATAAGTTCTTGTTTATTTATGAAAAATGGTTTATTGACAATAGAGATATAAAATTCCAAGTTTAAGTGAAATATGTATATATTAACTATTTATAGCTTTTGTCTATTCTAAAATAATTTTTAATTTTGGTAGAAGTGAAAGAGTTATCAGATAAAAAGAAAACTATAGCTATTCAAAATGAATTTGATGTCAGATCATATTACTTAATACGTCAACAACTTGATTTATTAGCAGATCAGTATCATAAGCTTTTTACAAATCCAACACACCTTATACCTTTTTGTAATCCAGGCAGACTTGTTAAGGTAAGTGAATTAATTATTATAATTTACAAATATATATTTAAAAGAAAAAAGAAATAAAATCAATGATCCACATATTATAAATTATGTGGTGATACTAAATAAATTATTATAACTTTTTCCTAGGGAAATTACTCTATTACCTGTTAAATTAAAGTGGTTAAAAATAAAAAATAAGTTATTTAATATTTACTACTTTTTTTTCAAATAAATAGATGTTTAGTTTTTTGCAAAAAACTATAAATAATTCTGTAGTGCTCAGGTAAAAGGTCTTTTATTAAAAATAACTAATTTTGGTAAAATAAAATTTAAACTTTGAATAAAACTTGACAAAATATTTGTATTCAAATAACTTTAACAATAAACATAAAATGTGTATCTAGTTATATAAAATTATTTTACATGAAAAAAATATTTTTAAAAAACAATTTGTCCCTTATTATATTAACCCTAGTTTCATAATTTTTGAACTTAAGACCTTTTACCCGAGCACTACAAAATTATTTATAGTTTCTTGTAATTTATTTATTTAAAAAAAAGTAAATATATAAATATTCAGACTCCTCATATGTGTATTAATGGCAGTTAGCATAAACAATTAAAATAAATTAGAGTTTAACAATACTATAATAATTATAAGCTAAACTATACTTAAATGTAACAACAAACTGCAGAAAACTGTCATTAGTAGCATTGTGTAATTTTGGGTATAAAATATAACTTTTTAAAACAAGGTTGTTTTTCTTTTATATTATTTAAAATTATATTTTATATTATTATGCATATTAGTTACCTAATATTGTAATATGTCTAATAGCTTGTTTATTATAACAATAAAATGAAAATAAAAATATTTTTTTGAGAATTAATTGAATTTTGTTAATTTCAGATTAAAAAGAATGACTTAGAGTTTGATTGGGGTGTAATTTTAAATTATAAAACTGTAACAAAAAGCAAACATGAAGGTGGTGGTATAGCTGAAGCAATTATTAGCGTACTTTTAAATTTAGAAAATTCTATTGAGAAAGACGAAGAAAACCCTATACCTTGCCCACCGGGAAAACAAGGAGAACCTGAAGTTGTTCTCATTAAGCATCATATGATACAAGATTTAAGTTCATTGCGATTAAACAATTTACCAAATGATTTAAGATCCCGTGATTCAAGAATGTCTCTGTACAATAATGTCAAAGTAAATTTTCAAATTTAACCATAGTTTAATTCAAGTTCTTTATAATTTAAAATATCTGACAATTTAAATGGTTAATAACTTATTATTCAGGAAGTACTTCAAAGGTGCCAGACTGATGTGCCTGTGTTAGATCCTCTCAGTGATATGAAAATAAAAGATCCAGAATTTGATAAGATAGTAGAACAGATTGAAAAATTTGAGGGTAGATTGTTTGCACATCCATTACACGATAATGAAAATATTGATGAACTCTATGCCCAATATTCAGAAAAAGACAAAGTAAAACTAATTTAAAACTTTTTATATATTTTAAGGTCTAAAAATGTATATTTATATTAATATTAGATAGACAAAGAGCTCCTGAATGCTAAATCAGAATTAAAGAAGGCAATGTCATTGATGCAAATGGATGATCTCAAATGCCGTAAACGTATCCTAAAGCGTATGGGTTATTGTACTGCTGCTGAAGTAATTGAAACTAAAGGAAGAATAGCATGTGAACTTAGCAGGTGAAATTTTCACTATAAGTATAAAACCAAAATATTATTAATCATTATTGTATGTTTAGTGCTGATGAGTTATTAATGACAGAATTAGTGTTCAATGGTGTATTTAATGAGTTATCAGTACCTCAATCAGTTGCATTACTTAGTTGTTTTGTTTGTGATGAAAAAAGTAATGAAATCCCAGCAAAAACTGCTGAACTTGCTGGGCCTCTAAAAAAAATGCAGGTAAATAAACTCTAAACAAGTATTCATATGAATTGTTTTGGTTAAAATAATGGTTATTTTGTGTAAGTAAACTTAATATATACCGATTTTGTTATTGATTATTTATATTTGTCAGGAACTCGCTAGAAAAATAGCTAAAGTTTGTAAAGAAGCCAAGTTAGAAATCAATGAAGATGCTTATGTAGAAGGTTTCAAACCATTTTTGATGGATGTTTGTTATGAGTGGTGTCGGGGTGCTTCATTTTACCAAATATGTCAAATGACTGATATATTTGAAGGTTTGTAACACAATATTTTATTAAATGTAAAAGAATCTTCATAAAATAAAATAAACTGTTTTCAGGAAGTATAATCAGGGCGATGAGACGATTAGAAGAAATATTGAGACAGCTAATTCAAGCATCAAAAAGTATTGGAAACACTGATCTAGAAATTAAGTTTAGTGAAGCTATTAAAAATGTTAAAAGAGATATTGTATTTGCAGCCAGCCTCTACTTATAAATTAAAACGTATTGTTTTAAAAACAGTATAACTCTAGACCGGACATTTTTATTGGTCAATACATTTATAAGCAACATAATGACTTACTGTTTTACATTAATGACTTAACAACACAATATCTTAGATGTACAACCATTTTTTAAATTTTTAACTTGTCGTTATAAAAATTATAAAGTGTAATACTTTGTAAAACTGTTTTAATTTGTTTTGTTTAAGAAATACAAGGTTATCCTAATTTTATGTTATAGTAAAGTTAAAATTAATTTTTTGTTTTTTATATTTTGTGATCAAAAATTAAATATAATAGCTAAAACATATTTTTTAGCAGTAGTTAAAAAAAAAAAAATTGTAAAATTCAAACAAGTAAATACCAATGTTTAAGTTTTAATCCCCCATTAAAAGCAGAATGAAGTAATGAAAATAATGACTACCAGTCGATAACCAGTTTTGTGTTAATACTTTTGATGTTATTACCTGGATATAAATAACACTACAGTGTACCTCACACTTAGCATTGATTACATTAATCAATATTATAAATTATTATTAATTATATTAATGCCCCTAGTCTATATTTTAATAATCTTAATTTGGATAACCTTGTATTTTTAACTAGACCACTGATGGTTAAATTCTTATTTCTTTGTCGATTTTACTAATTTCAACATTGACACTGACATCCAGAAAATGGTCAAATGGAGTTAAAGCTTGGACAATCCCATTAGGAGTGCCCAAATCAAGATTACTCTTTTTTTTATTTTCACATTCAAACGATCGAGCCAATTTACTAGAGTATTCAATTAGGATTCAGGAATACTTTCGGGTGGGTCATACATTGAAAAAGTCTACACTTTTCCACCTGACACGAAGGCACACCACTACTAAATGCAAATTTTTTTAGGACCTAAGAAATGAAAGAGACATTTAACCTACTATTACGCAGTACCGCATAATGTAGTGTACATATAAAGTACAACCAGTTTAATCTTAACTTAAGTACAAAATTGTTTTATTCCAATATGAAATATTATGTGAATGATAAGGCAAATGCAGCATATTAGTAACAATGAGACAACAATGCTTGGATAGAGGGCGTTACAAGCTATATAATATTATATATGTATGTAAATAATTAATAATTAAATTTTCAACTGTAAGTATTTTACTACTATTTTTGCTTTAAGCCTATAATGGATTGAATAAAATATATTTTACCTAGTCAAATCGTTTCAATTAAAAAAATGGACGTAAAAAGTTTACTTAATCTGTTCAATACTAAGCAAAAAAGTTGTTTCACAGTATTCGCATACTGAATTAAATACGCATTAGTGTTTATTATAAAGTTGTACCTTGCTTCACCTATACAAACGTGCAAGACGTGGTTTTTTTACCATAACTTATAACTTTTCACTTTTAAGCGATTTTAAGTTGGTTATAATTTATTTACTACCTAATAATCAATTTATTTACCCACGTAAAAGTGTGTTCCAGTGAAAGGATTAATTGGGTCAGGACGGTCACTGATTTGGAGGAAGTACTTACTGAATACACTTGAAAGCGATCAAATCACTGTTCGAATTGTGTAAAATGAAGTTTGGAAGGCAATTAAATATTTAAAATATGCGTTCCAAATGTATAGGTGTTAATCACAGCCCTTGGAGTTGGAAGCCTCACCCCCATGCCCCCTTATCCGTTCTCGTTTGTTCGAGATGACTGCTACTTTCTACTTTCCAAATATATAATGGAACCTAATTTTAATTTTTAAGCTTAATTTTTGTTGTTAAATATGTTAAGTTTTGTTTATAGTTTATAAGTTGCTGTTGAGTTGTGTGTTTAATGTTTTCTTCATTTGTGTACAAATATGCATGTATATATATGTAAAAAGGGCCCAGCCCGTATACAATAAATAATAATAATAAATAAATAAATATATATATATATATATTCATCATCTCACAGGCCACAGCGAATGTTTCAATTTTGATTTATGAATCACCAAAAAAGCATGTTGCAATAGACTAGTCCCGAGTCAAAATAAATAGGTATAATTCAGATTTTAAAATGAAAATTACAACGGGAGTTTTTTATTTTGAATGTTCAATTCCCTAACTAGGTACTCAGTATAGTGGTAGAGTGGTCGTTATCTGCCTGAGTAGGGTTAGAAGGTGTGGATTAAGATTGACGACAGAACTGTTTGGCCGCAGTTATTTGTTTTCCTTTTTTTTTTTTTGGTAACCTCCCTAAAAGAAATTCATTATGCAAGCGTTGGCCCGACGCCCAGTCAACCTGAAGTCTGAACAAAACGAAACGAGGCAGGTATTTTTAAAGGAGTATCTGGAAGGCAATGATCCGAAGCAAAATCACGAACCGTTTATAATATTAAAATATAATAATAATAATGTAGGCTATGGCGACGTTAGCATTTATGTGGACCCGGAAGCAGTGTGATTGTATATCTACACACTATTTAAAATGATGTCGAAGGACTGCGATCAACGCAAACACCACGGCGCGGCGTTATTAAATAGCTCTTTCCGCACAAAAGATGATGGAAAAACATTTACGAAGGGTTAAAGTATGGTTGTCGCGTTTTAATCACGTTTTTTTCATTACGTATTATTATTTTCCTCCATAATAGCTGTCACCCCGAACCGCATAGTGATCATAATATCATATACATAAATATTACATAAGAATTCCTATACAGAGTTCAATTTGTCGTCACAGTCGTGTTGGAGGGCGGTCGGCGAGGTAGAAGAGAGAACACGAGCGGAGTGTAGTTTCATCTCGACACTCGGCGGACAGGTTGGATGAGGATACTGGGTGTCCGCTTTCCCGGAGGCAATAGAGGAGGCGGCGGGCTCCCATCTGTCTGCAGAATCAATATAATAAAATGAAACTCTCGGCAATCCCCGAGGGCGGGCGCAGGCGTACGGCGTCAGCGTATTACGCCGGTGCCGCGGCACGCCGGGTTCCCATATAATATTATACTTTTACTACGCGTACACTACACACACACACGCGCGCCCGCGCACTCACCAAATCTCGTACGGCGAGTTACGCGATGGACGAACGCTCCTCCGCCACCGCCGCCGCCGCTGACGACGACGACGTGTCGCTTACGGACGAGTGTAACGACCGCCGGTGTAACCGTCGTAACCGCCGACACCGTTAAGTGCCACTGGAATAGCGCGAAAATAATTTTAGCAAACGTAACGTTTTTGTGTGTATGTGCGCGTTCTCAGTTCTCACCGTACGGGATTAACCGCATGACTTGTCCCTGTTGACCGACGCACAAATCCATTCCATCATGTTCGGTGATTCGCGTTACCCCGTCGCAGCCACCACGTTGGTTTTTCTGGCGGCCGTCGCTTTGGCACCGTTGTTTTTGCACGTCGTCCGAGCCCAGGCCGAGGATATACCACACAACGAGTGAGTTAAAGCCTACATACTTAAACATTATCGTTGTGTAATTGAAATATAACCCATATCTGACGAAACCATAAAACGCAAATAATTACTGACAACTTAAAGGCGAACGGAAAATATTGCAGTATCAAATCTAGTACAATATAGTTCCTATGTGTATTTATAAAACTAAGTGTGAAACAAAGACAAAATCCTCCCTTAGACGAGGAAACGTTGTAGATAGATTCTGTCGTGTCTCGAGTTTAAATTTTAGCAGTCGTTTAATTATATAAAGATTAAACTAGTTTCAAGAATTAGTAGGTACCTATGGAGGAAACGCTTCGATACGAATCTGTTATGACTTACGAGTTATCCATAGGTAGCGAAAGTATAGTAGGGGTATCTTTCTCAGGATTTTGATTGACGTCATAAGGGGGTATTATATCTATCGATTATCTTTTGAAATTTCAAATTGTTGACTACCTAAATTATAGATAAATCTGTCAAAATTGTTTGGAAAAATGTGGGTTAACTTTTTCGAGATTTTCTTAGCTATAAAAGGGAATAGCTGGTTATATTTGTTAACATTCCCCACTTATAGGTACAACGGGATGACTTCAAAAATGTGGAGTGACTTCGAACTAATCAGTTTTACCAACAAAAATTGATTATAAAAATATGCGCAAAAAAATATATTATGGAAAACTCGTCGTATTCAAAATTTCTCATGGTTGCTAAAAAAGAAAATACATTTAAGTACAGGAAAAAATACAATTAACATATTTAATAACATTTAATTATCGAAAAAACATTAACAGCATTTTAAAATATTGTTTAACTTATTAGTTATCCAACATAGGTATTAGTAATACCTTATAACTTATATGGCTAATAGCTGATATCTAATTAAATAAATGAAATTTGATATTTTTTTCAATATTAAAACCCAATTTTTTTACATAAAAAAAGCAAAAAATCTGTTTCCTACATGACCTAGTAAAGTTGCCAAAAACTCGTACATCTTTAAGGAATTGATATCTACGGGTAAATTTTAAGTGACACTTTTTATTACATTTAGTTTTATACAAATAGTAATTTTATCACTTGTATATATTAATCTATTATACTATACACAAGTCCAAACTCTTATCTACTTAAATATCAAGACATCGAGCCGTATCACGACCACGCCCCACGTTCTTGTAAATCTATTGAGGTGAGTGTTTCCCTGTAAACATAGGTTAAATAAACTGTAAATAGGCAATGTTAAGTAACTATACGCGACAGTATTTTACACGCAATTCTGGATTTCACTGTTTTGGTTGGGTTGGTGTAGGTGTGAAGCACGTGACTCGTGAGGTGGGGCAGTAGCGTATCTAGGATATTTTCATCTTTATGCAGATTTAACAGCCTTGCCTGTTCAATATAAACATATATTCATATTATTATATACATGTTGCACGTAAACAAAATTTTGGATTCTCAACTACAAAACAAAGTCTAATTTTCTTGAGGACAGTGAAAGAATATTGAGTACTTCATCAGGTGTGACTGTTATATTTTTGAGTACTGATAGGGCCCTGAGGGGGGGGGTACAACCCCCATATCCGTAAATACGCCACTGAGGTGAGGACATGGCATGATTGCCGCATGGGTGGTCACCCATCCGGGATCAAGCAGTGACTGCTGAGTGGTCCACTGCGCCACACCTTACCCGACCGACAAGCCACAATGTCTTGTCGCATAGTGTTTCATTTATCATCACCTTCTTGTCAATTGTACTTAACAAACCCACTTGGCATCTGACCTAACTACTATTAATGAAAAATGAATTCAATTGTATAGTGTACTTAAGCAATTCCGCATATTGAACATTATAAAGTAAATAATGCATACTATTAACTGTATTACAAGTTAGAAGATAGAGTACTATTTAATTTTGAAAGTAAAATGAACCCCGTAAGTGGAAAAGCAAAACTTATTGAAATTTATTTTTATAATAATGTGAAATACATATAAACACTATTAACAAATGAGAATATATTTGTAAAACACGTGACATTTTTCGACTAATTAAAAAGAAGTATGCCTACGATATTTTTGAGAAGCACGATTCAGCCATATTACAGAGTGTGGGAAATTAGCATTTGTATGTACCTATTGTTCCAATTGTATGCAGCCATACACAATTAAGGTTATTCTTACCTCCATTCTACCATTTGTGTCTTGGCCAAACGCACATCTTTCCACATCACCTTGAAATAAAACTCTTTGGCAGTAAAGAATGATTTTACTCAGACAAACTGAATTTCATCATTCAAGAATAAAATACTCATTAGTCATTAAGCTTTAAAAAAAAACGTTTTTAAGTTACTTAAAACGTTAGAGTAAAGAGAAATATATATTTAACAATGCTATAAAAGGGAAAGATTTCGTCTTTTTCCACTTCAACTTTTGACTCCCTTTCGGCTTTCTTCCAATCACTTTCTACACAATTCGAATATCTGTATATTACATAATACAAATTACGAAGTATTGATTAAAAAAAATCCGTAAACTGTGTCAAAAAAAAAAACTACTGAGTATTAAGATAATATTTTTTTATCTGTTTATTGTAATTTCTTAAAATATGTTTCTCGACACTATAAACGTTGAATTTTTATTTTCCTAGGCTATTATGATGATGCTAATTTTTTTCCTTTATTGGTAATACAAACAATGATCAAATAATATGTTTGTGAGCACTTGAGATAATCGTATAATCAATATAATATAATAAGTAATAATTAGTAGTTATATAAATTAAAAACACATTACATGCCTTGTGAATACTTAAAATGTATTTTAGGAACGGTATTCAAAGAAGGGCTAAAGTTGGAAATGTCTCAGGGAAGGCAGACTTGAGATGAGCTCAATACTGCATAAAATGATCAAAAATAGTTTTTAATGTTTAAGTTAAACACATTTTTTTAATGGTTAAGATTAAGGGGTGACTTTAAAAGATCAGTTGGCAACTAACATTTTTAACATGCTTATTAAAAGCAGAATAATATAATAAATAAAAATAATGATTGGTCTATAACTAAATTTTATTATTCCAGTCTTGAGTTATTCACATTTAAAATATGGACTATGGTTGAGGTAGATTATAATGTTGTTTATATCTACACCTGTCCTAAATTTAAAATGGTAAAGACTCCAAAATTATTTATTAAAAACTGGTTATCGACCAGTCTGTATTTTAATTACACTATACTGCGTTTAATAATTTATTCAAATATATATATGTGGCTATTTCACTTAATATAACAATTACACTTTTCTCTTTATTTTTTTTTTTGTGGGTATTAGGAAATACATTTTAGTAGATAGATTGTGTATTTTAGCTTGATAAACATTTTAATAATAAATAATAATACATTGGGAACTAAGTCGACTACCACAACAAAAATGGTAGTAACTCGATTTTTTTTTTTAGCTTTGATGCGGAGCTAAAAAGTTATTTTTTAAAACTAATACTAATATACTGATACTATATACTGATATACTGATACTATACTATGTACTATACTAAACTGCTACTACACGTTTTCTTTAGTGCCTCCAAAAAATAATTGAACCAAGAAGTTCTGAAGAACACGATTGCAATAGTGCCGTTTTCGCTGGTAATAAAAAAAATGCGAGATATCAGTTTCATAAAAAAAAAAAATTTTAAATCTAGTTGCTACCATTTATGTTTGCGTATTTCATTAAAACAACGTGTGTATGGTGTAGTATTGTACATAGTTATGATGATTAAATAGAAAATGCTTTGAATAGACTAGATGTGTGGTTAGAAGGTCAATACATTTGAGGGGGGGTTGCCGGGTGGGTGAAGACGCGGGTGTGGGCAAAATCTAAAGCTGGATACAGGCTTATAGTCAGTGTAGTGTGCGCCATTAATTTTATCTTGAATTTGATCCCCGGCGGTTTTCCAAAAGGGCATTTATTTGTGTACCACCACCGTCGCTCCCGTATAATGAACGAAATCGGTAAAATATTACCCTGTAACCGCTCGGGGGCAACAGATGCCATTACGAAACCCGTAATAAAATTTTATCTTTTACGTCGGGAGGGTATTAGTGATACTAGTAATAGTTGTAGTGGTAGCAATAGAAGTGGCGGTAGTGCGGTATAGTTGTATCACCCTTTATTATAACTATATATTGTATTGTTACCACTAAATAGTGACAATGCTGCCGTTCGACGTACACATAAACTGTCATCGTGTACTGCTGTATTATTAACGGTACAAGAATTTTTTTTTTCATTTTACTTCTACATGAAAATTATTTCTAATAAAGGATAAAATACAATTATCGTACATAGATTTTTTTTTAATTTAAAAATTTGCGACCATTCCCCAAGGAAATTGATTACTGAGTGGTTTTTTTATTTTCGGCTTCAAATTTGAACTAAAGGGAGACACTTGAGGTGTGCTACTGACGGTTACCTGAATTTGAGAAGAATTGTTTTACTAAGAAAAATCTAAATAGAAGGGCTTCGGAGTCTTAACCTCCTGAAATAATTAGTGCTAAATATGTTTGCTACCAAATATTTGAACTCCGTTTGACTTGATCCCTAATCCAAGTTTCACTCATAAATTTAATAAAAATTGATAAAAGTTAATATTATAAATGCAAATATACACATTTTTTATGCATCTCAACTTATATTGAATTAATAAATGAGCTAATAAAATATTAGTTTAAAAATGATTAGTTTTTATATCTCTAAACTCTGAGCTTATGATAACATATAAACGTTAATCTGTTTTTTTCTTACTTTATGGTTAATATGTTGAAAATTATATGCTATTATTACTTAATGCTAACAGGGGTTGAGAGTTTAAGAAGCACTTTCTTTACAATTTTTTTCATGTCATCTCTCTTCTAAAATTGTAACCGAATGTTGAAGTCACACAATTAGTAAGGTTTAATTAGGTTTTCTGCTTTACAGGCCTTCAGACTTTTTGCAACTTTTAGTCCACTTTTTTGTCTACCCTTTATAAATCTTATTTTACTTTATATTATTACCGCTAATGCGATTATGTCGAGGCGCTATCCAGATACATCCCTAACAACTAACAAGTATATTTCAAAGGAACACTCATTTTAACATGTGGTAAATTTATTTTAAACACCTAAAATTTAAGGATCATATTATTTTGTTTGACTTCTTGTACAATATTCCTAGATCTACATTTTCTTTCTTTTATATTCCCAGTAACTTCATTTCAGACGGGTCCATATATTTTTTTCTCAACATTTTCTCCAAAATAAACAACTTCTCCTCATATCTACTTGAGTGGTGGACTACGTTTCATAAGCATTTCTTTCTTTCAGAGGCAGCTTCAGAGACTTGGTTAGGAGGGGGGAGCTAACCAGTAGAGTTGCTAATACTTGTATTAATGTTCAAATGGTTAGAAACATAATACCTTCATCACAGTGCATGTATTACAATATATAATTTTTTTTAAATACGGGCGGGGGGGGCGGCCCCTAGTCCCCCCCTGGACCGCCTCTGCTTTCTATCTAATTTCTTTATGATGTACTATGTAAAAAAAATTAAAAAAGGATTATGGTATAATTTAACAAAAAATTATCTAACGGTAGAAACATTTGGCAGGATATTTGTTAGGTACCTATTATTCTTCCTAACATTGTCAGTATTTAGAAAAATCACTTAAACTATTTCTATTTTCTCTACGCCTATATTGTAATTATAATTCACAACTAATTTAAAAAATGTATAGTATTAATTATTATAAAGCAGTTTAAGGAAAAGCATGCTGTACCTATATTATTTCCAAGGACTGTCCAAGTAAATCAATAAACAACAAACTTCTTTCGTAATCCCTCGGAATTTTTAATTAAAATCACCAAATTAACATTAAATTAGAGACGTCACGCCACGTGATCGTAAATTGTATAACGTATAACGCTATTTTATACCATGTTCTCTATATGATATTACCATGAGTTGTATTGACTCAACTCTTATAACTACTTCCGTATGTGCATTTAAATTTAATGAATAAATAAAAATAAAATATTGTTTACTTTGGTATCTTATAATTAAAAGTTGTAAAACTTATTTTGAATAAATCTTATGTTTTGAGTGTCCAACATTTTAGATTCCAGTAGGTAGTTAAGATGTAAAATACAATTTTAATTTATACTTTATATCAGGGGCGGATAGGCCCACCGGGACACCGAGATTTTCCCGGTGGGCCGCTACTTATATTGACGAAGATGGGCCGATGAAAAATATTGTTATTGACGATATTGTACAATGTACATACATACAAATAAAATAGTTAATAAATACAATAATACTAAAATCTATATTTAAATCTACAATTATAAATAATTGTCAATTAAGTGATCTGTTGGAATATTTTTTCGAAAAAAAAATTTGATAATTCGATTTCAAAGTGCGCCACTGGTATAGTGGTATAGTAAAATAATATAATAATACCATTATATAGTGATATAGTAAAATCATAATTTATATTTTTTCTTAACAAAAAAAAAAGAGGTTTTGTTGGATCTTGGATATGATCTTGCGGGCCTTTAGATTTTATTTTTCCCGGGCTGGTCAGATCATGCCTATCTGCCCCTGCGTAATATGTACGTTTGGTAAGTCCATTGATATATTATACAAATTACGTACATATAAAATTTAGTTAAACTTATTATTTGGAAATAATTATAAGTTAAGAGAAAGTTATACTCCTTTTTTTTTTATGGATTCAGTATAAACAATTTTTGGCTAAATCTTATTTTAATGATCCAACTATTGTACATACTTTTACTATTTTAATCCAAAATTAGGACTCGTTGTACATGGATACATTATTGATTATTCTGTAATAGCGCCGACGTTTTCCATTAATTGTTTTCTAACCTAAACATACCTATGAAGAATACGTTTTATCCTGTCTAGATTGTTGATTTTAACGAAATCTGATGGCATTATTAAGTGAAGGCGTATTCGCTTTTCAATATAATCTGTATTTAGCTTTTACTAATTGATGCTGAAAACAATTTTTTTGCATTTTTAAAATAGTTGAACTTTTTTTAAGTCTTTTTTATCTTAACCTATATATTATGAAGTGAATGTGATGCGTAGTTCGAAGAACTCCAATTAAATTTAAAAAAAAAATACTACTTTTGTTTTGTTAGGTATATGAGTTAGACAGTAGGTTTACACTGTGCAAAGTTATAATAACATTAACACAATTATTTATATAATATATTTATATTTATGTACACACAAAGAGAGAGAGAGAGAGAGTTGTGTAATTTATTTTTACATTAAAAATAAGATTGGGAGGTAATACTGATCGAAAACAAACTTAACGATATAAAATTGATGGCGGGGAAAGGGTGGACGGTTGCGACTGTCCGGTGCAGGTCGCTTACACCCTGCACTCACCTTTTGTGAAAAACTAAACTTTTCCCCTACTTTGGTCGTTGCCACCGAGGGAGGTCATTGCCGACCAAAATCCGGGGGCCTGTAAACCGATCGATATGGCAGCGGGAGACACTAGCGCCTTCGGCCGTGCGACGGCCGGTCCGAGTCGACTCCCCCTTCCGAAACGGGATGTATTTGCACGCATGTATACCGATATAGTAATGAGAAAGAGTGAACGTTCCAGAGATTACGCTAAGGGGTCGCGACGACGGGGGAATAGAAGACAGTGGGAAAGAAAAAAGAGATTACTTCGTACAGATGAGTGCTACTTATCCCCTGGGTTATATCTTTATTCTTTATATATAAACACACATATACATACATATATATATATATATGCGTTCATCACCGCATACCCCTCCCTCTAGACGTTAAACCTCCCTTCTGACCTCACCCGTGCTTCTGGCGTATCGTCAGGATGATTAATGCCTCTTCCTATACATTATAGTCTATCAGCGGCGGCACGGCGGCTACCGAACTATCTGCCTGTATATAATATATAATATACAACCACGTTTTGTTTTTACTGATGATACTGCTACATGCCCAAGCTGTCCGTATAATTGAACAAAGAGAACGATTATTTCAACCAAAGAAAAATAAATAATCGTTTTAGTTTTTATTTTCTGCGTGTTAAAGCGGCAGAAACTTTAAAAAAAGGCCTCGCATACAGGCCACATAGGGGCTTAGTTTAAATACACACAGATGAACTTCACTGTATAGTGTTTTACGACAGCGCGCGTACTATTGACGCCGGACGGTGTGTAATGAAACAATTAAAACACACTTGACTCGCGAGCGCCATTGTAATAATCACGACCGTTATGAAGATTCAGTAATGAAGTGCAAAGAAAATATAAGAATTTATTTTTTAGTGTATGATGTTGTATATAGTAAGAGCATTTCTTTTTTTTTTTAGCTTAATTTTTTTCTAAAACATTATAGACTTTTGAAGTTTTTTGTGTCGGCTATTAACTGACGGTTATATTCAATTGTTAAAAATATTTCAGTATAATAATAATATGTCACGGGTCACCATACAGATAATTCGGGATTCTGTTTATACCTAGTCTTACAAAAAATATAAGGTCAAGGGAGGGATCTATCCCCCCCCCCCCGTAAATACGCCACTGACCACACGGTTCGGTAAATTTCCATTACTTTGTGGTACTCTTGTCATTTTATGAGACTGGATATACTACTTTTCTTATGAGTTGTCATTGCTTATTGTAGTCGGGGGATCCCATTTACATAAGTCACCCACGAAGTGCGTATGACGTATAATATGGATTCGTGTAAATGATCACAAGCATGGGTAGTTTACCGTGAATAATAACAGTCATATGAATAGCCAACAATATTATAAACTATGCTAAAAAACGTTTGTATATGCTATTTTTTAACACTTGTGTGTTTTTATTTATAGAGTGAAAAATTGGGCATTGAAATTCGGTGTCGACCTGTGGGAGTTTGGCAGACAAATAACAAACATGCACGAAATACAAAAAGTGAGTGTGCCAAATGTCCAAAGATACCACGGATATTTTATTTAAATATATATATGTATATGTATATATTCGTAGCATATTATGTAATAATTGTTCTGAATGCAATATACATAATATTAGAACTGATGATAATATAATGCAGCAACTACAACAACGAACGTCACATACTCAACCACCCAAACAACATTCAAAGTGCACTAAAAGAGAACAACGTGAAAACATTAAAAAATATATTAAATCAATAAACCTATGCAATAAACTGTAAAGTACAATATTGTATTACAAAAATGTAAATGTAAACTACAGGCTAATGACCTAGCAGTCTAAGCCTTATGTCAATTAAAAAAAAAAAATTGTCTGATTCTGGAAAACTTTTTTTTTACATATTGAGCAAAATATGATTTTTGCTCGGAACTTTATCCGGACCCTTATTCAGTAGTTCTTTATATATAATTTGATGGCTTGTGAATTGTGATTGGTCAATTAAATTCCAATGAACCATTAAAGTATTAAATTTATTAACTTTCGAATTACACGTTGGTAATTCATAAATAATTTATCTCCATTCATTTAAAAATAATTAGAAATTATTACTTTTACAGAATAATCCAAAAAAATTATAAAAACAATATTTTAACTTAGTTATCATAAAAGAATTTGAGGCTTCTAATTTTAACGGCTTATAACTTTTATGAAATGTATTTACATTTTCTTAACAATGGTATGTTTCTATAGGCATGATAATAAAGTGTGTGTGGATTTAAATTTTATAATTTGACTAAGAAGTTCTGGTTCTATTAGATATGTTGAAATGTGCTGATTAATTTGTAGATAAAAGAAGAATCAGGATCTGGCTTTTAGCCAATGCCACATCTCGGACTTAAATTGTACAATCCTTGTTAACAATAATATTGTATAAAGAGATACATTTAGGGATATAATTATAAATATCATTATTATTAATATAATTAAATGATGTTTTATAGAAATATCGGGAAAGAGAAGCAAAAGTACGAAGAAAAGATGGACTTTTACTCATTCGGGACTTGGCGGCCGAAGTAAAGAACTTGATGGACATTAAAACCAACTCTGTTTTAGTAAGTTATTTTGTATATATTATATGTTTTAAACCCCTTAACAATTCTTAGTAACCATATAATTTGTATTTTTTTGTATTCTTGTTTCATTAACTAAAAATGGCGTATTTAATGTCATTGTCGTCAATGCTTTAATTGTATAATATTTCAAGGAATTATGTGTGCTTCCTAATGTGTGGGCTATTTCAACAAACATTAATTAACCCTTTAGTGTAATGGTGGGTCGGAACATGCAATTAAGACAAGGAAACCTTCTGCATGGGCGTGTTAGCCAAGGGTCATAAAAATAATCTTTCCTGTACCATCTTTCTCTCTCGCATACAAACTGAAGAACACCATGTGTATATTTTTGATACCGGGTATTTTGGCACCGAAAAAGCAGGACTGAGTAAGGAAGACACTGTCACACACACAGTGCACAACTCCGTGTTGTCGGGAATTTAATTAACAGGATTCGTGACTGAAAATGAGAACCGTGCTCGCCGTTTTAACACCCGTAATAACAAAACCCTCTTCCTGCCACCACCCCAACCGTTTGACAGATGTTATTATAGAGCATTTCACACAGACCTAAAATCTCTCGTTTCTTTACCATTTAATTTGCATAAGTCGTTTTACCGCCTCCCCATTTCGAAAACTCTTATGATTTGTACAATAAACATATTATTACTATACGCTTGCATTTTGCATTAATTATACCTCGACGACACAGACCCAAATAAGTAATAATAATTATCATAATAAGAACCGCAATTATACCGTTGTCGCAGAGTTCCCGCCTATTCTATGGCAATGCAAACGTCCCACCCATAGGACATAACTGTAGAATTTTGCATTTGCTTCCAATAATTCATCTTGCAATAAATTCACCATCATTAACAAGTTATGATAGTCGGAGCATATATAGTGCCGTATCCAAAAGTTGAAAAATATATTGATGTTTCTATAATTTGAAACAATGTTGTGCAATCAAATATATTGAAATAACGAATTATATCAGTGTACTTTACAAAGTACAATGTTTAGTTTATAAATAACAGTAGTATTAGTGCATTAGAAACCATGTATCGAATTAAACTTTTCATTTATATTGTAATTCCACTGTCGTTAGCGCTGAAGATGACAACATTGTTGGCGAAATACGAACCTATACGCGGAGAGTGTATTGTTTTATGGTTAAGGGTGTTTTAAATATTATTTTATTATATTATATAACCATAAGTCGCTCAAGTTTTTCCTAGATTAACATGGTGTCCGGGCCTTTCGAGTATAAGAGCGAGTTAAATAAACTCATGCAAACAAAGACAAAGATACGGTTAATTGGGGCAAATATGTATTTTCTTAAGAAAACTATAACTATAAGTTATATATAGATTTATATATTATATAGAATATATTTTGACATGCATAATGCTAGTTTTGTAGGATTGGTAGAAGGTTGGTGAGGGCGTTATTCTACTCTATACGACATGTCATTTATATAATTACTAGTCACTATGTCTTTGTGGACTTTGGAGTTTAGATCACCGCGTTTATGCTTACGTACGTGCAGACTGGTAAATGTATTTCAGACTAGAGGATTAGTAATAAAAAAAAAGGCACCAAGCCTAAGAAGAACTATATATTTAATTTTCCAGTTCACATATCTCATTTTCCTCAAATAATATTTTCAAATAACATGGCATAATTTGTTTCTAATAAAAAAAATTGTTTTTCAATAATTAATGGTGTAAAGCTTATTTTAAGATAGGTCTATTCTCGTGCCGCACTCTGTATATATAAAATAATAAATATATGAATAATAATATTATAAATATAGTCTTAAATGCTACACAAAGAGAAATAACCATGAAATCTGTACCACAACAAACATGATATATGCATTACCAATTACCATATACCCACAGGTCAATGAATGAATAGAGTTTTGTGTGTTTATTGCAGAACCACAAAACCTTTACCGCTGCATTAAGTTAAAAGAATTATTCGCTACCGAGTTTCGTTCGTTGTTTTAAAGGGGTTTCTGATTTATTTCTGTCTCGAAAGTTTTGCCTCTATTTAGAAACTTTTTTCATTCTTAACCTCAACTCGGTCTCGCCGTCGAGACAATATTTCTACACGCTTAAATGATATTTATACCACAAGAACTTGAGTTGGAAATTAATAAAAAAGAATCTAGTGTCTAGAAATTCTAGTCGTAACATTTTTCGCCGCCATTAGTTGCCAAAAAGACGCAATGCTTTAAACTTATACAAAATATTTTTCCGTATTGTTTATTGTGACGGTTTATGAATGTCGTAAATATATTTTTTCAGAGATTAATGGAAGCAAGTGAACAATCCGCATTGTCCCAACAAGACGCATCGATTAAAAGCGATCGATACGTGAATGATGAATTTGGAGACTACAGAAGTCTCGGATCTGTAGACCGATACGATCAGTGTGCGTTTAATACTACCGCTAACTGCGTACTATTGCAAAGCTCCTATTTAGATCAGAGTAAGTTTTTTGAAATTTTATTAAAGATTAATAATATAAGGCTTTACATCGGGGCGATGTGGCGCAGTGGACACCTCAGCTGCCGCGTGGCACTTGAGGTTAAGCTGTGTCCATTGCTGCTTGATGCCGGATGGGTGACCATCCGGGATTTTTAGCAGCGACCCATACCATTAACCCCGGTATGCATGGCAGAAATGCATTGCAATCAGACAACCGAAATGGCATCAGTTAGCTATAGCTATAGCCACTTTGGTTTCTTAGCATAGATATCCAATTTTTCATTATCCATAATTTTCTGACTTTTGTTACTTGTTTGATAGCAACATGTAACCGTTACAATTGGAGCACAACTAAAGAATAACACCATTTCGCTTAAACAATTTACTATCGTTTACGCTACGAACAAATTTGTTGGTCGAGTTATTTGCTCTGGAACTTTTTAAAACAAATAGCCTATTTGTTTTAAAATAAGGTCAAATTAAGTTTTTTTATCATTAGGTACTTATAAGTTATATAATTTAAAATTAAAAAAATTGGATGTATAATCGTTGGATTCTTTATTAATTAATATTTATGTTGACAAATTCAAATTTTCTTATAAAAATTACTGATTAAGTGAAATTGTTTAATAAAATCAAAAACATTTGTTTGACAAAGGTATACAATTATTTCATTTATTTTTTTATAAGAAACTTTGAATCTTAACTTATATTACATGTTATTAATTCTCAAGCAATAACTAATACAACAAACAAATGCGTACTAAATGTTATAGAATAATTATTTATAATAATGCTATAGTTGTAATTCTTATACAAATATATAAATATATAAATAATTGACCGTGTTGTGAGAGTCTTTTGGTTCATATAGAGTTGTTTGCTTAACCTCCTCAAATTTCGATTGACGATATCACGAAAAAAACTTATTCACGCGTACATGGTATCTCAGCTTCTTACAAAGTTTTACCACTTGACTTTTTATTCATTAAAACTATTAATCAGGTGAATGAAACCAATTTAACCATATTTTGCGAAAATTGTCACTACATGGTACCAAAAAATGAAAATATTTCTAAAATGTTTTTTAACAAAATATATTATAATAGTCAATTGTCGATAACTTAATAATTATAAGGCAACAATAACTGTATTAACTTTAGTAGACAGTGTAGTAAATATTTTCCTTTGAAATATCTGTACTATTAAAAGAGTAATTTGTAGTAGGTTAAGTTGCTTTATAAGATAAAATATATTTAGGAATTTTATTTTATTTTTTCAGCCACGGTCGATGAAACCGTACTGCGAGAGATGGACTGGACCAGCAATCTCGATCCAATATTTGTCAGCAATTATGAAATGGACCCCGTGCTATCATGGCAATATTTCGGAAGTACAAAAGGGACCCTGAGACGGTTCCCAAGTAAGTTGCCGTTTTGGCCTAGCCCGGCGTTTTAAGTAGGCAATTTCGCTACATTCATGTCGTGAGTTCAAATCTAATAGACCGCAATGCAATAAGCCGGGACCAGGCGTTGCCAAGTGTAGACTTTTTTTTCTATTTTTGTATAAAAGCAATAATAATATTATATCAACCCTTCTTCATAACATTTTCATAAACGATTTGTTTGCGTGACATGTCCAATTCCGGGATCCCCAGCTTACATTTGTTTTATCATTTTAAATATATAAATTTTCTAATTCTTTGAATTTTAAAATACACATAGCAAAAAACATTATCCATGCAGCAGTAAAATTTGTTTACATTGTAGTTTAAAGAAAAAACAAATATGAGTTAAACGAATGTTTCAATAATATTTTGTAAATATTATTTTGAAAATCTTAATGAAAACATATGAAGGGCACAGGGGAAAAACGGGAGTAGCCACATTATGAATAATTTTTTTCTTCAATTTATTCCATTAATTTTTTTTATGTATGTCAATAGATTGTTTAAATAAATAAATTTTTATTAGAATTGCATTTAATGTGATTTTTTTTTAATCTTATGTAAGAGGAAGAGGAATTCACGGACTTTGTTTTTGCTATACTCTAAAATGTTCATAATGTGACTACTACCGTTTTTCCCCTGTGTCCTTCATATACATGATTTTGTTTTCTCGAAATTTAACACCAAACAAATACTATACTCTTAATATTATTGACCAAATCTCAACTAAACATTTATAAAATATTTACACTTTTAAATTACATTGTCGGTACTTCAGAATATTTACAAAAATAACACATTTTTAGTTTCTACTAAAATACTATAAAACATTTAAAACCCGTTTATTTTAATTCTTTACTGATTAATATCGATTTTTTTTTTATGTAATTTTTAAATATTAACTTAAGCTTAATAAAACAATTAACTAACAAAAACGAACGTCGGGTATGAGTTACATTATCCAAAAAAATAAGTATATAATTTTTTTAATTAAACAATGTGTTTTCAACAGCATTGAGGTGGCCCGCATACTCGGGACTCTCGCCAGCAGCATTGTACGATTTTCGGTTAAACCCTTGGTTTGTAGAGGCAGCAACTAGCTCCAAAGATATAGTTATCATAGCCGATTTCTCGATCGCACTGTCAGATTACAAACTTAGCCTGGTGAGGGCGACGGCTCTGGCCGCGCTGGATACCCTGGGAGCCAACGATTTTGTAAACGTTTTGTCTTTGGAGTCGATGAATTACGAAATAGTGCCGTGTTTCAAAGAAACCATCGTCCAGGTAATAATTTGAATTTATTTCATTAATTAAAAAAATAATATTATATATGTCTCGTATTCGTGTTTTCAGGCCAACGAGAAAAATCTAAGAGACTTGAGGTGGGCCATAGCGCAATCAAAGTTTACTGGTAGTTCCAATTTTACCGGTGCTCTAGCTCGTGCGTTTGACATACTACACAAAGTACATAATATATTAATTAATCAACTAACGGTTTACCCTTGAAACTGACAACTTATTCTTAGATAATACGTACAATATCATAACTATACACGTTTTTCTCTCGTGTTTATATTATAGTTTAATCGCACGGGACAGGGGAGCCAGTGTAATCAAGCCATACTGATTATTAGTGATGGACCATTTGGTCCATATAAAGAGATTTTACAGCACAATAAACCGCACATGCCAGTAAGAGTATTCACTTATTTAGTAGGCAAAGATGATTCGAACGCGCCTGACATGAAGTGGATTGCTTGTAACAATAAAGGTACAATATATTATAAATATAACTGAGTTATCTTAAAGTAAAATTAAGTCTTAAAGATGCGCAATGTTAATTTCTATTTGTATCTTTAACATTTCTGAACAACTTTTACGTTTAATTTTGGTATCTAACTTCATTTGTACTTAGCCCAGGCAGCAAAAATGTCTCCGAAATATTTTTTCAATGTTTTAAAATATTTAAAAAATATTTTATCATATTTTTTGGCCAAAAATATAATACTTTTAAAATTATTTTTATATAATATTATAAAAACATTTGAACTTGAGTAGTGTCTGGTAATGTATGTCCTCGTATTTATTTAAAACAATCCTTTATATTTCTATCACGTCTAATCATAATCAGGTTTCCAGTTAATCTTTATTTTCTTGGATTTAACGTCTTCTATGTTGATTATAGATTAATGATGTTTTTCATTCATTGTTTTAATAAAAATAATTGTGACACTGATTGTCTTTATAATTAAGAGAAATATACTTGTATGCGTTTCAGGTTATTTCGAACACATCGAAGATCAGAAGAATCTTCGCGAAAAAGTACTAAACCACGTGCTCGTAATGGCAAGACCTTTGGTCATGTATCAAAATGAACATCCGGTTTACTGGTCACCCGTTTACGTAGCAAGCAAAGTACTACTCGAATTGTACAAAACAAAAACGAATGTAACTTACTTATTATTCTTTATACAGGTAGACAACTTGAAGGCTACTGACAGCGTGGACAATAGACTCATGACAACTGTGTCTGCTCCCGTCTTTGATAAGAGAAACTATTCGGTAAGACAATGTTTTTACATTTACAAAGGTTTTTAACGTGTCAATAATTGAATTTGATTTCCACAGGAACGAGTGGCCAATTTATTGGGCGTGGTCGGTATGGACGTTTACATTTCTGACTTGAAAAAACTCGTACCGGCCTACAAGGTAATCATACCATTAATTATACAGTAATCAATAAACACTAACACAATTAAGGTCATTAATTTGTTATATCCGTTGTTTTTTAAATTTGTTTAGCTTGGCGCCAATGGTTACTCTTTTATAGTGGACAATAATGGACACGTCCTTTATCACCCAGATTTCCGTCCGACGGTAAGGTTTCTTATTAGTTATTAATGGTTGATGGATGATTTTAGATATTTTATATAATTAACTGTACATTTTATTTACATAGCCATCCGACTCGGTCAGACCTCAATATAAGACGGTCGACCTGAGTGAGATAGAGCTGCCGGACGCGGACATCAACAATAACACTCTGTTACTTGAAGTGAGCATACAATTTGTTTGTAAATAATGGTAGAACCATTTTGTTTACCAATTCAATGCTTGTTTTAGTTGAGACGAGAAATGATAGAACAGCGAGAAGGTGAAACCCAGATGAAAGTAAAAAACCATTTGGATAACATGGTAAAATCCATAAACTATATTTAAGGAGTTATATACTTTAAACTATATTATACATACCTATACGCTTACATATTTCTTATACACTTAACGCCTATGTAAAAGATAAATAAAAATTAACTCTAATAAACATTTTTAGAGGCGAGTTACCACAAGGAAATACAAATATTTCTACCATCCTATCGAAGACACTCCATTTACTTTAGGCATTGCTCTACCAGAAGGTTATGGAATGTACGAAGTGCTCGGAGAAGAGGAGATAAAGTTAACTCAGTTCAATAGTAAGTAAAACGCGATAACAGTATTACAAATAATACTATTTGTAATAAAAATATTTAATAATAAATTGTTTTAGTTACCGAATATTTTAAAGGAAAACATTGGAAAGTTCACCCGGATTGGTACGTAAAATAACAAACTACCAACTAATGTGTAGAAAGATCTTTATTTTCTATAATGATTGTAATTTAATTCAGGGTGTACTGCGAGTATAACTATGCAAATGACCACACTTTCAAAACTCCCGAAGATAGAGTTTTACACTTTTTGTCCAGGTCGAAAAAACCCGGTTGGAAATGGATGTCTTTGAGAACACGAATGACGCAAAAGGATATGAGTAATTATTTTAGTCAAAAACCCGTTGGCTGTTATAATATAATTTTTTTTAAACTTTTTAAGACACAAATCAAGCATACAACACTTGGCGAAAAGAAAAAGATTCACATTACTGTAAGTAGATCGTCGTTGTCGCGAAAAAAACTCCCATATGCTAAAACCTAATTGTTCAGGAGACACTAAAACGTGTAAAACGATTTATAGTAGGTAACACATAGGAGGTGTCATTATATATTTTTTTTTATTTATTCTACAATGGAGATAGAAAGTTGGAGATTTTATCATATGGTAGTTTATTTTTTCTTTATCCAGGGATACCAAAACCTCAAAATCGTGAAATTGGCACATGGGAGGTTTTTTCAAATTATAAATTCTTAGATGACATTGTTCTTTTTGACCACGTGCGTCGATTATTTTCAGGTGACAAGAATCTTTTGCAGTCGTTGGTATTTGATGCTCTTGTTACCGACAGTCTTGAACAACTAAACATTCAAATATCTAAAGCTGACAAACAGTAAGTTTTTGTTTGAAAAAAATGTCTCTTAATAACATTTGTCATAATTATAATTTTATTTTTATCTCGGTTATTACTTGAACGCCAAGTTAAAAATGAAAGTTATCACAAATAAAATGTTTATAATATTCATAAAATATAGTGATCTACAGCGTTTTAAAAATGTTATTTTCAGAAAATTTTCAAATTCGTTATTAAGAATGCAAAATTTAAAAAATAGGTAACTTATGTTTTGAAAACAGAATCTGTTTGATTAGGTACACGGATTTCGAACGCACATTTAAGCACAATATATTATTATTATATTTGTATGATAACTCTACAATCTACATATATATATATATATCACTATAATTATCGCTATGTTATACTAACTATTATATTTGTGTACTCTCACGTTTTTATGTTGAATTTGTATTATACTATGTACTTGCACCGATATATTTTTAACGCATGTTTACAATTATATATATATATTGACGAAAAATAGAATTTTCATTTTTAAATTTGAAGAAAAAATAAAATATTTGAAAAACAATATAATATATACATTATGGAGTAAACAATGCTGTGTTTATTACAGCATTAATTCATAACAGACAGAAGTAATAACAAACATTAGAATTGAACGTTGAAAATTCTATTTCTCGACTATATCTTTTATTTATATTTTTACTGGCATTATTTATGATAAATATGTATGTTTTAATCATTGTGTAATTGCACCTAATCAAAACTAATTGCACTAACCTTTATATTACATTTTATTAAAGCCCCATAGCCACACTAATGGCACTTCTGCACAGGTAAAGTAGATATGCGTGGTTCACACGCGCATATTGTTTGTGCTAAATCGTAGATGGATATTGTACATGTTTTTTGAAAAAAAAAAATATATTCCACTATATAGATATCGGCATATTATGTCGGTCACGCAATATATTTTTAACAGTGGAAAAATACACATAAATAAATGTATATGTATATAAATATATTATACATGTATATATATATATATATATATATATTTCACTATCAAATGATTTGTGTTTTTACTTGTATAAACCGTGTTCCTCCCCGATCAATTTATTTAATAATACTTACGCAGCGGATTAGGTAAGCCGGTATTATAGGGTATCCCTGATTATAAACACACGTTATACTTCTATAAGATTAAGTTGAACGTCAAGGAAGTAATTTAATATTTTTAAGGAATTAATATAATTTATATTTATAGTTTTGAAATCTATAAATCTTATAACAGAAAAACTATTGTTAAAATAAAGTTATCACATGGCTTCTTTGACAGTTCTTGTTTTATATACATAATTTTCAGTTTGTGTGTTAAATTGTATTATTTCTTTTGATATTAATTTGTTTATGTTTTTATTTTAATGCGTAACCTCAGCCAAGGCCATCACATGTTTGGCGTCACACTTACGTTTATTGCTACGAGAAGTGGTTTACTAAGGTGGCGAGACCACGGGATCAACACCAATAAGGGATCTGATCCGTAAGTCATGCCAATGGCTTATCGACCGAAAACTTTCTATAATAGTAACCTTTTCGAATTGACCGTTTTTCAGACATTTCAGCGAGACTAATCGCAGGGCCATCGATGAAGTGTGGTATAAACGAGCCATCGACCAGCACAACGTTGAACCAGAAAGCTTTACGTTTTCCGTGCCGTTTAATTCGGGTTATACATTTTTACACTTAACTCATTATATAGAAATAATTTCATTTTTATTTATTTTTATTGCAAATCTATAATACAATAATTGATCAATGACCGTTTAAACCTAATAAGTGGAGTAAAAAAATTGTAAAGGCTTGTCATTTTTAGGCGCGGGACTTGATCGACCACTGATCACAGCAACCCATGCAATGTTTGTAGAAAACAAAGGTCATCGAGCAGCGGCTGCTGTTGTTGGAATACAGTTTCAGCATTCTTCAATCGCATCACATTTTATCAACATAACCTCAGCCGTAAATATCGTTATTTCATACGAGATTTATAATATTCGTACATTGATTAAGCAAAATATACATAATATTTACTTCAATATTCGTATACAGTGTACGGGAATGACAGGATGCAAAAAGACTTGCGCTTCAGATGACCTAGATTGTTATGTGCTGGACAACAATGGATTCATCATAATATCTGAACAGTCACACCACACTGGTCAATTCTTTGGGCAAACCGACGGCACAATCATGGATTCGCTAGTCCAAGATGGCATTTACAAAAAAATAACAGTTGTCGACAACCAAGGCGCATGCCACAACGGAGTCGAACCGGAAAGCGATTCTGCTACTGGGCTTCGAGTAATTAAAAAAAAAAACAATAAACAGATGAAACGAGAATAAAATATTCGTTGCACTTACAATACAATTATATTTTAGCCTTTCCAACCAGTAGCCTGGATCGTAAAATGGCTACTAAGTCGTCTGACGTGGTTGGCCATCGAGAGTCACATCTATCACATTATGTTTCCCAACTGGATTTACGCACAGGGCGATGGTAAGAAGAGACTACTAAATAGCAATTTAAATCAAACTACATACAATACAAATCGTTAAATTTTAAAAGGGGATTGCTACATTTGTTCAAAAAACAATATTTTTTAATATTTTATCATAGATTTGTTTTATAGTTGATAGGAAAGGGAATCATTTTAAGTTGAATGGAGATTTTATCGATAACTATAAGGTTGAAATAGAATGGTATAAAATGTTCGTTGTTAAAAGGGAACTAAAACTATAGAGTCAAAAGAACGATTGTGTAAGACCACACTGTCATCTTAGTTCTTATCCACCTCGATCACACCGCCCTATACTCTTTGTGTTAATCCTTGTAAAATGTAATTTATCCACGAATTATCTCGACATATTTTAATTAATTTAATTTTTCTCGCTCTTCAAACATTTAATACCTATTTGTTTAGTGTCAATAATACTAAATTAACTTAAGCTTTAAACAATTACGTGTTAACTGTAATCAAATTATTAAGAGCCAGCGTATGCGGACTATGACGTGGGTCCAAACGAAGATGTGTTCCCGAACGAAGGAAAACCTGCGGACCAAGAGGAGAAACCTACTGTAAAAAGCGAGACCCAACAGAACGAAGATTCTGAAAATGACTATGAAGATAATATACCTTCGCATCCGCCTTTGTACGTTCCAAGTATGAAGAACACCGAACATTTTAGCCCCATATACAACTATACAAAGCCAGGGGTCACCAGGACATGCAAGAAGGCAGTCGATCTTTATGTTTTACAACCTAATAGACTTAACATGAGCGGATCGTTTAACCCGCTTAAAGGAAAACTGACCAACTGTCATGCGACTGGATGTGAACGGTACACAAAACTCGTTATTTCTGTAGCACAACAAATTGTACTTGATTTGTCAACAATGATTTAGATTTTAGTTATAAGAGTTGTTATGCATTTTCTGAAACATTTATCAACTAGTTTTTATTTTTTCTAGGCCATTCAGCGTACAAAAAATCCCACATAGCAATCTTATTTTGCTAGTAGTAGACACGCTGTGTCCATGTGGTAGTAAACAACTTAACATCGACCCGCAAGAAGTCCGGGAAACCGATGAGTCCGGACAGCCAGTATATAATTGTCAAGATCAAAACAAGTACAGGAGACGCACTGGGAAGTGCATTAACTACCATCCAGAAGTATGTACAGTGTACTAATATGTTTATTAAATATCTATAAAACACAAAATGTAATAAGAAAGTTGTGTTACATTTTGCAAAATTTATAATTATTGTAATTCCAGGAAATCGAGATAAAACAATGCGGTTCCAGCTCTATATTATTAGTTACTTCATACTTGGTCTTCCTATGTATGATTACTGCTATATGGTTAACGTGATCGTCGTACTATGGCTGAATCACGAGTTCAGCGCCACCATTTTTAACGATTTATATTTTTATGGAAAAAATGTATGTAATATATTCATATTTTTATTTAAAAAAACAATTAACAATAATTTGATGGTATAATAATTACATTTTTAAGATTCTTAACGCCTTCGATATTTTTTCTTTGACGCTCACAGAGCAGCCACGTTGCTATAATTTTGTAATGCATAAGTAACATAATTACCGGCTTGCGTGTTGATACATTTTTATGTTACTATGGGTCTTCCAATTTATTAAATACCAATACCCAACTACCAAAATATTTTTGTAAATACAAATTAATCAATAAGAAAATTAATTGAATTTAATGATAGATAAACTAGACAATAACTTTTTAATATGTATTTGCCCTATGGGTTTTCCGTTAGAAAAACTGTGTATTAGTGGGTATTGATGTTGTGAATATAATTGTTAAATTACGTTACTAATTATGATAATATTGGCATATGGATGTACGATTATCATTTAAATGGACATTATAAATAAATCAGTTGTTTTCCGGTTGTTCGGTCTAAAATGTAATACTACTATACTACATACATTTTAACTATAAACTATCTGTTTAATGAAATATTTTTTACTTGAGTAGCAAGATTATAAAGAGTCTGAAAATAATAGCTAAGTTTAGTAGTATATAGAGCGCATATCATTATGTAAGGAATTAAAATATTAAAATTACATAACTTGTAATAAATTATGTGGATATTTGAAAGTTGAAACCACATTTTTTTGTTTAATAATTTTATATAAGATAATATTCTTAACTGTTTAATACTTTATGAATATCATATGTCAATTTAAATTAAAACCCTTATACACAATATAAATGAATGTTTAAAAAAAAAAAAAAATGTCAAATTTGTATCTATATGCGCTTTGTAATCTACGTAAAACAAACTACTAAGATTATTGAAAAGACCGAACATATTTCTCACATTAAATTGTCAGATATCGATATTAGTTTTAAAAAAAGGATGTTTGACAAAAATGTATTTATTGATAAAATAATATTTTATTGTTATATTTTTATTCTGTCAAAATATGTATTTGCTAAAAGAAATTCCTCGCTTTATACTACATTTTGAATACATATTACTTTTCAACTTTCAAATTCTAACGAAAATTTAGTATGAAATTACACCATCGTTTTTTTTTTAATAAAGAGATTAATCTGAATATTTATAAATAATATACATATATACTATTACCTAAGTACTAGTTCATTATAAAATATAATTTTTTGTATATATGCCTAATGATTTTGATATTCGTAATAACGTTTTGTTATAAGTATAAGTACGGTATGTGTTTCTACGAGTTCCGCTTATAACAAATATACCCCAACAAAATTAAATAGTCCTCTTACATTAACCGTACAATAGTACACCACTTTTTTGTTTAACTTAGTATATTCAATGAAACGTTAGGAAAATTGTTTTTAACTAGTAGTTAAGTAGAATAATATCTATTAGTTATAGTTAATAATAATAAATTATTGTATGACCATAATAATTTAAAAAATGTTATGTTTACACGGATATTTGTTAGTAATTGTTTTATCACAGCCTTTAAACATTGTTTTTTCTTGAATTCGTTTTAGATTTCTGCATAATATAATTTCTCTATGTTACATGTTAGAATGTAAATACACTTATTACACTTTATTATACTTACCCTATAATATTTGCCCCTGTAATATTTTTTTTTTTTTTTTAATACCTATTGTACTGTTATATAAAATTTATGTATTAAGAATAAACAATTTTTAAAACTAACAATGTGTAAAACGGGAAACGAGTGTTATTGTACAAATGTTCACTATAAAATACCCAAGTATATATATATATATATCTATACGTGTGTATAACTTATGTCTTCCAGTAATATGTAATTTAATTTTAACATATAACGAATCTACCAAAATCTGTAAGATCTCTTATGTTTTTTTTTTTATAATAAATATTTATAATTATTATTTATTATCATATGTATATCATTTATTTTCGTTTCTCATCACTTGAAATATCAAGCACAATTAATTATACGACAAGAGGTAGAAATGATATAAAAGGTCCAATGATTGATTTTGCAACAATTTTATTTTATGTGCGTGTGTAAACGATACATACCTATTGTAAACCGTTCTCTTGAATCGGAAGATAAAGGAGTGGCAAATGAGTCTTTTTTAATATATAATAATATATATATATATAATGCACCGAAAAATAACATGGCAAAGCTTATACCTATTAGTTAGAAAACAGTTAAATATTGTATTTTTTTAATTTAATAGAGAACTGAAAATATTGTAAAAAAAATGTTTAACGTTTTTATCTAATATAAATTTAAAAAACAAAAATAGTAAAATCACAAAAAAACGTTTAATGGTTATCCTGAAAACTATGAAATATGTCGCTTAGACCCTTTTGCCGTGTCACCATCAATAATGTATACTGGATGATAATGGACATGTCTACCTGGGAACCGTGAGGGGTCGCAGTCTATTTTAGGAAAGAAAGAAGGTGTAAAATGTGTTACAACACGCCATAGGTAATCAATTATTCCAGTAATTTTCAATTAACGCAATTGCAGTTAAAAAAAAAAACTTCAAAAACACAATTTTGTAAAATATTGTATAATTCAACCTTGTCTAAAAAGTATTTTCTTTAAATAATAAATTTCCAAATATCCTTAGAAATCCAGATCCTTAGATCAATTCTAAGTAATTTTCGCATTCATTTTTACTTGCATATGATTAACAAGGGAAATTTTAATGTTTCATTTAAAAAATTCTACTTGAAAACTAATTACAAATTTTACAGTTTTAAAAAAAAAAAATTACACTTGAAAACACTTCTTTCGATACAAATTTTTTCTATCACGTTAGAGCCCATTTGAAACTGATAAAACTCCTAATTCGATAATTTGCCAAAAAAATATATTATTACGTAATAGCATAAAAGGATTTTCAAGTATCATACTTCAGCTTTAATCTTTTTTTTTTTTAAATTGTAAAAACGTTGATAAGTTTTCAAGTAAGAAATGTTTAAATTAATTATTAAAATGTCCCATATTGTATTCAAATAGAAAAATACAAATTTATGTGAAGTAGTCAAGAGTTGAGCAAGGGATATGAAATTGTGGGGATTCCTTATTTTAAGGTTCTTTTAAAGATAATTAAAGTGAATAGGAATGCTATATGATAAATAATTTTATATTTTATGAACTTGGATAGAAAAACAAATTTTAATAAATCACCAGTAATATAAATATATATATTTTTTTATAATAATAATAATAAAACCAAAAAATATAAGATATTAATTATCAATAAGAATTCATTAACATTTTTTTAATAAAAATAATTACAACATAACTGTTACAACCCTTCTAGATTGACATTATTTTGGTAAGTCATTTGGAGTAGAGTTTTAATTGAAGGTATAAAAGTTGATATTTTTGAAAATTCTGGGCCAGAAACTAATTGAGTATGTATATTGAATGCTTCATTGTAGTTTTGTTGCAATACCAAATCCAGCATGCTATGAAGACATTGAACCGTGTATGCTGATAACTGTATATTATATAAAATTAATATAATAAACAACAACAAAATGTATAATATAATGAGAATAGTGTCCAATGATAAAGGATAGAGTATGATAGTTAAGAGTGTCAAAAACTTTAGAGATAATACAACCAAAACTGTTTAAAATTAAAAAAAGCTATTTAAGGGACTTTAACATCTGTGTATATTTGTCAAAAACAATACATTCTAACGTTAACTGTAGTCTCAAAAATGTAATCCAACAATATTTTTGAAAACAGAAATTAATATTTCACTTCTTACTTATTGCGTTGATCTAAGTACATTTTTAATTTTCGTTTTTATTAATATAGTAAATATGATAACAAAATTTTAAAAATTGCAATTGTTTAAATACATTATTTTTTAAATTTTGCCATGATCAATGCAAAACTTAAATTGGAACATACTTAGGAAAATGAATTTAAATTAGTTAAATGAAGACTATTTGAATATCTAACTATAAAAAATCCAAATTAAAAAAATATTAGGATATTTGAAATTTTAATAATATTATTATTTAGAAACCTAGTCCTAGTCCAAAATTAACTGGATACAAAAAAGCATTTTTTATATTATTACCTAAATTTTATCCATTTTTAGACTTGTTTTCTCTAATGTACATTTACATTTTTATTACTAACAAATACTTACAGTATTGTCACATAAAGAATCGTATAACACATCCAATTTTTTTGATACATCAGCAACCCTTCTTTTGTTTTGCTAAAAAAATAATCATAAATAATTTAATTCATGAAAATTATACTAATTATATTAATTTTTCATTGGAAAAGATATTTATATACAACATTTGTTTAAATGAGTCGAGTTACTTACTGGACTAGGAGCTAATTCCAATAATCGTGACTGTATGCCATCTAAAATTAATTTTATTCTAATATGTTCTTGCGGAATTGGTTGCCTCGGTGTTGCTTCTATACCTTGTGATATTTCAGTAGTATTATTTTGTCCATTCAGATCGCCTCGAAGTGGAATGTATGTTCCAATTTCTTGTATTTGTGGCGGATTATTTGTATACATTGGATGTGTGATTGGAGCTGATGGCACAGGAGTTTGTGGTTTCTAAAAGTTATGAATACAATTTAAATCATAAAATACTATAAATTAAATTATTCTTACCTGTACTTTTTGTGAACTTGATAACATTGGTGGATCATTCCAGCCAGCTGGAGTTTGTTTTTTAACATAATTATTAGATACAGATGGATAGTGAGGTTCAACTGCAATAATTAAAAAATCATATAACATTAGAAAATAAAAACAATAGCTTTAAAGCATTTGATTATTACCTGATGAAACTCCAGAATTATATACTGTTGGTTGATTCAGAGAAGGTTGATTAAAACTGGGTGATGGAGGAATCGCTCTTTGGGAATAATTATGTAACGGGTTCTGAACAGGTTGAAACATAGGTTGCATTATTGATGACTGATTAATATGGTTAGATTGTACCAAAGGAGGATTAAAGTTGTTAGGCTGAATTGGATGACTTAATGGATCAGTAAAATTGTGTGATTGATCCAATGGTTGATTAAAAGTTATTGGTTGATTCAACTGATTATTATAGTTGGTTAGTGGTCTTAGTTGATTGTTCATATTATTCAGATGATTTGATGGTTGATTGTAATTATTAATAGGATGTGTTGTTCCGACTGAGTTATTGTTATAAACACCATAAGTGTTATTTCCTTTTACTGAAGGGTCAACTAAATACTTAGGTTTGCCTGTAAAAAAAAAGATAAATTAGATCTCAGTCTTAAATTGTGTTAAGTTTTAACACAAAAGTTAAATTAAATAATTACGAAAATATTTATTAGAAAATTGTAATGTTGCTTTAAAATCAATTTTACATATTTAATGACATGGAAATAAACAAAGGCTAGCTTATTTAAAAATATGAATTATATAAAATGTTTTTTTTCACCCACCACTAAAAATGTATCTTTATAGTAAATAAATAAGTATATCAAAATTTTGGGTCATTCAGTAAATTTTAACAGGTTGCTCAACGCGATTTAATACAAATTTTAGGCATTTTTCATTAATTTTCACAATTTGTTGTCTAAAACTAAAACTATTCAATATTCTCTGAATCTGACTGTTTTATTGAATCCTAAAAAATTACTTTATTGATTGATATATTAATCTATAAAATCTAAGCTCTTTTATTATGGTTTCACATAGTAGGTAGTTTTAACTATTAAATTTACGTTTTTTTATTATTTCCAAAGTCAAACTCAAAAAAATATTGAATATATTTTTTTTTAAATCACGATTTTTGGATATAATCCAAAATTGTATTCAATTTATAGTATTTTATAAATTAAAACTGTTTTGCATACTTATCATTTTACTACAACATTGAAATAGCAAAATACTAAAAAAAAATTATTTTATTGTACTATAAGTACTATATTTTAATAACATTCATATAAACTATTTTTATAAAGAAATCTTTTTTTATTACAATCTGGATATTTATTTCTATGATTCCCACTATGTTATAAAATCAATTACAGAAGTAGCTTCTGATTTACCTGAAGAATCAGGAAGCATAGGAACTTCCATAAGTTAAACGATCCAATTACTGGAGACTAGCACAACTAATCGCTCAACAGATATTTTAGAAGTTAAACTGGGTAACATTTTAACATCCCAATGGACTATTAACGGAATATTAGGTTTGAAGGAAGAATTTATATATTTTGACACAGTAGCAATATATATCACTGCTTTTTTCAGATTATATCCTAAAATTGTGAAGAAAAAAAAATATTCAATCTTTTTTTTGAGATTGACTTTGGAAATAATAAAAAAATATATATTTAATAATTAAAATTACTATGAAACCATAATAAACGAGCTTAGATTTTATAGATTATTATATCAAACGATAAAGTAACTTCTTAGGATTTGAACAAAACAGTCAGATTCAGATAATATTGAATAGTTTTGCTTTTAGATAACAAATTGTGTAAATTAATGAAAAATTCCTAGAATTTATATTAAACCTTTCGTTTCAGAAGTAAATTTAGAATTCTAATTATATTTCCAACGAACCAATGAGACGTATTATGTCAAATGCCAATGCCAACCCACTTTTTATACTACCCTAAATTATTTTTACTTTTATTTTGTTTAATTTTTACTGTAAATGTTGTATTATTACTTTTATTTTTTTTTTCTAATTTAAGTGTTGTAACATTGTAAAAGGGTTATACCCGTTAAAAATATAAAATTCTATCAATCTATACAAGAACTTGTGTTTAAAAACAATTTTGATAATGATAGTATGTTATTAATATTTTATTCGATTTTTTAAAGTTTAATCCTCGTACGAGGATATTAGTAACAAAAGGGTTAAATCGCGTTGAGCGACCTGTTAAACTTTACCGAATGACCCAACATTTTGACAAACTTATTTATTTACTGTGAAGATTAATTTTTAGTGGTAGGGAAAAAAACATTTTTATTTTTGCACCACCCTAGTGCACCTAACATGCCGGTTTTTTGTAAAACGCTTTTGTGTAACATTTTGACAATTCACCTAATTCTGTATTTAAAGGAACCTTTGATGTGTAGGTAATGTGCAAGAATAATGATAATTCTTAATTAAGTAATGTCTTTATCATTAAAAACAATGAAAAGTGATAAAAATATTTCAGCACGGCAGTATTATTGGCCATATGTAAAAACGGGTCATTTGTTATGGAGATTAAAACGACATTTTTTTGATATGCATACCTATATCACTGAATTGATACAATATTTTTACCGGATTGGAGTCAATGTGAAAACCATCCATTAAAAACCATTTAAATGTTGTTTAAATATACTTAGTTACATAATGAATAAAAAAATAAGAAATAAGATTTTACCTGACTTTAAACTACTTGGAGTTATAGATCTGTTGCTTTCAGAATTTAAAGGAGGTGTTAAAGGTACAGCATTAGGCTGTACACTTGTTTGATTATATAAAGCATTTCCCAACTGAGGTGGCATCATCGTTGTGGTATTATTATAGTTTGGTTGTTGAGAATTATTTGAGCTATAGAGTGGTTGAGGTGGAACAGATTGATAATTTAAAATTGGTTGTTTGTAGTTAAGATAAGTGTCTGGTTCTTGAATCATTTTCTTTGGATATGATGGAAAAGGTGGTTCTGGAGTTACAGTACTAGTAGCACTTGATATTGAATATTTTCTTAAATCTTGAATACCTATACTATCTCGCTTCTGAAAATAAAATAATTAAGTACAAGTTTTTTTTTAAATAATAAATTACTTAGCAGCAAGTATTAAGCAATTCTAATTACTTGTGGGATCTGATTTGTGTAATCTTTTATTGGCATTTTTCCAAGTGCTTTGAATATTTGTTCTTTCAGTGCCTTTGCAGCATCCTAAATATAATAGTATAGTAAGTATAGTACATAAGTATTAAGAATAGTTAAGAAAGGTAGAGCACAAAGATAAAGTAAGACGTTAGGGGCTTACTAGAGAGAGCACCTGAACTTAACCGTTTTTTAAAATATTAAAATTTGTTGATCATTAGACATCTTTATTTTTTTTAGGACCACACAAAAATTGTTTTGTAAGTAATGGCTGAATCTAATTAAGTAACAACCAACAATCGTTACTTTTAGCTTCAATGACAAGGTATTCATTTTAAATTGATTTTTTAAAATGTATTTGTCTTGTCCAAAAAAAAATATTTTAAGTTTAACTTACACTGTTTGCTAGCTCTAAAAATTCCAATGCTCCATTTAAGTTCCCTTGTGATACTAGATTCTCACAATATTTTACTATTAATTGACCAAAATTACATCCGGCTTCAAAATGTGATTTATTTGATAATAATGACTTGTACAATAGAATTGTCATTTCTACACATTCTTGTAATTTATCAACTGATTCAATATTATTTGTGTAGTCAATAAGAGACTCAATGTTCCCCGAGCAAACAAAGCAAAGTTTTGCATATTGTGAATAGTTCGAATCAACAGCAAGACGACAACCAAGTTTTTCAATGTTAGAAACAAAATTTGGCCCATTTGTGTAAGTGAGTAAGGCTGCCATTACTTCTTTCCATGAACTCAAATTGCAGTTTTCAACAAGATTCTGCCAATCATCTGTTACGATTGAATAGAGAAGTGCTGCAGAAGCTCCTTCAGTACTCTATGCAAATCAATACATTACATTTAACAAACATGTTTGTTCGTATTTATTTTATAAACAACTCACTTTAAAATACTTATTTTGCAATCTAGATAAAGTCTGAGGATCTGCAGTGAAAGCAAGTAATAGTGCTTCAACTGTTTTACCATTATCAAAAAGAATATCTGCAGCCATTGAAGTATTTCCAACCAAAAGTAATTGACAAATAGAATTTTGTAATACTGTAAAGATAATTTATAATAAAAAATGGAATTTTTTATTTGATTCGTTGCGTTGCAAAGTTGACAATCTCTAAGCGCAGTGAATTTTGGTAAATTTAAAAAATCTGATTTTCTTCTGCACTCTCTTTGCTGCAATTACCTATTTTTGAAACATTTGATCTCCATGGGGAATTATATGTGATAAAAATAAGTGTCCCCTGTCGATACAGAGTGAAAATATAATAAGAAAATGTTAAAAACATTTATTTCAAAGAAAGTGGAGATTCCTGACTTTGCCACACAACGCCTCATTTATTTATACATTATATTGAGTTATATATATATATATATACAAACAATTATTTCCAGTAGTTTGCAGGTTGATGTTCTTAAAATTATATACAGTACTATCATCTACATTTTTTTGAAGGTTTGACGTAGATAAATCGTTTTCTAACTACACAAAAACGGAGTTAAAATTAAATATAGATCAAATCAAAAATAACAAGAATATTTTTTATTTTATGACAAATATTTTACTTTGTTTAGTTCATGTTGGTTTTCTGTATTGACATTTTTTTTACTACAAAACTGTGTGGCAACATCAATAGCATTTTCTGCTGAATATCCAAGAATTTTTAACTGTGCTTCTTTAGGCTTTTCATGAAACATAGCTTCTAAAAAGTCCCAAACTTGCTTAAGAGCATTATCAGGAGTGATTTCACTTTTTTGCTTGCAAAATAATTCATAACTTTCATCCTGTAATGTTTTTCTGAGGTTATCGGACCACACAACTAAGTCTGGTTCAGTTATAGTATTGTTGATTTGTACTGTTTTGAGTGGACCGTCAAATGATACTAAATTACCTCCAAACTTCATAAAAGTATTAAAAAAAAAAAAAAATTTAATAATGATATGGTAAGTTTTTAATATGAAATATTTACTTACAGCAAATGAGGCACCACTATTTCTCCGCAGCCATTTAGGAGCATTTTTTAAACTGGGAGTGACGTTGGAGTGTTCCTGAAACAACAAAATATTATACAATTGTTTAAAAATTTCCAAAATTACAATTACAATAACAATGTCAACTATTGTAATGATTAGGATAAATATGTTAATAAAAAAGCACCTTAAATATGCTAAGAAATTATAAGTCATACTATCATAATATTGCGGAAAAAAATTAAATATTTATATACTTTATTTATACATAGTACCATACATGGTATATAAGAGGTATAGACTATAGTACTATTTACTATTCAGTTGATTAGTTATGTTTCAACATAATAATATTTAGGGGTATTTCACGGCAATTTGTAAACCTTGAATTTTGCATTCCGGATTTAACTGATTAGTTATATCCTTACAGCTTGTGACACCCAAAAAAAAGCACTCTTAATTTTCTTATTTATATACCTCAAACTAATTTTAAGATATGAAATTTGGAAAATAAGGCTAATATATCAAAAATGTTTCGTTGCTGAATTTTTTTGTAAAATTATTAAAACAAGTGGGTGAATACTTTGGTACTAATAAAAAAAAAGTCTTTTAAATCAGTTTTTTTAATTATAGATTTCATCTTAACGGTAAATATTATTTTTCACATTGTATGTAGCATACATTTTTTTTAATGTTTTCTTTTAAAGATTTTTAAAATTTTAAAAAAATATCTAAAAATGAATCACTAAAATAAAATGTAAATCAATTACTTAAAAAATTCTTACTTGATAATTTTGGATAGTTTTATGTTTTTGTAAGTCACTTAAAGAGTATATAGTTGTGTATCCATCAAAACTTGATGTTTCCAGTAATAATGGGTCTTTTGGACACCAGTTTACCTCAAAATTCCATTGATAATCATGTTCTAGATGACAGATTAACAAGTTTTCCTATGTATGTAATAAAATAATAATATAATACACACATTTTTCAATTCACTTATATGAAATTAAAAATTACCTCTGTTTCACTGCTTGGGTTCCATAAACATACTCGGTTATCTTTCCCACAACTGATTAATAAATTTGCATCATTAGAACACCATGCAATCGATAATACACCTCTGAGAAAATAAAAACAAATTTGTTATTTGCAACTAATAAAATATGAAGTTGTGTCAGTGGACACCTCCATCAGTCATCTAATCGCCGCTTATTACATGTACGTAGGGCAATCAAATAGTGAGTTGCATTGAGCCATGTATTTTTTGATGAAATTCGGTGACAACAACATTGTTCTTCCAAAGTATTAATAACAAAATTAAAATAAATTGTATAGTTTATCAGTTATTAGTTAACCATCATGGCTATTGTTGTAGTTACGTCATCCAGAGTTGACATTCGCGCAGTGATAAGATTTTCTTTCGATACAGATAAAACTTTCCGATACTCATGGTCTTCTGTGATAATTTGTTGAGCACTGCCAAAAGAAATACTCAGTTTCTCAAAAATTTCATCAACTATTACTCGCAAGTTAGTTTGAACATTTTTTATTCATGTGCGCGATGTTGTCATTTGTTGTTGTGGATGGTATTCCAGCAGTACACATTGGTGACATCTGAATGGCCATTCTTGAATATATTGCACCCCTTCCATATTGCCTACTTCGAAAACACTTTTTTGACATAAACTTCACACATCATCTTTGAATTTGTATCGGTTTACAATTTTTTAAATATAAAAATATGATAACAGCACAAAGTTCAATTTTGGACGATGTAACTGCAGTAGTAGCCATACGTTAACTAATAGCTGATAATCTTGTCAACTAGTTTTAATTTTGCTATTAATACTTTAGAACTTTTCAAACAGTGTTGCCAGCAAATTTCATAAAAAAATTATTCACTTTGAAAAAATATATGACCAAATGCAACTTACTTTTTGATTTCTCTAAGTAAATTCCATTTTTATCTATTGTATTATAATTTATACACATTGTAAAATCGTATTCAATAAAAAAACAGTAAAATTAAAAAATTAAAATTTTCTTACTTTTGATGACCAATTAAATTTTTAACAGGAGAAGATGCATATCTCAAATCCCACAGTTGAATAACTGGATATTGGTCATCTTCTGATGCAATGCACAGTTGAGTAGCAATATTGGGATTCCAAGACATGGATTTCCATCTGAACTATAACGTAACAAGAATTTATGTATGTTTACGTTATGATTAATATAGTTCTTGTTTAGTAAAATATATTATTTCATACTTTAGAGTTGTCAGTATCTGTTAATTTAATAATAGGTTCGTTTTTGCGTAGATCCCATACAACAGCATGTTTATGAAATAATGAACCAAGAATGTGTTGAACTGAAAACATAAAAGTTATAATAAAACATAATCTATTTTTATTAGTTACGAACTAGTCAAACCTAACTAATCACAGATAAAACTTAATTTTTTAGTAAACATCACTGTAATTTATTTTGGCTGTTATTTTTGTACAAATAGCATTTTAAATTTATTTATTTTGCATTTAGGAATACTGAATTAATTTCTTATTTATAATTTATAATGCCTTCTAATTAAACACATCTAAGAGTAAGTCGTCTAAGTAAGATGGGGGTTTAAAAATGCAGATGCGTATGCAATTAAAACCGTACAAGTGCCAAAAAGCTTATTTTGAGTTAATCACTTTTTTTTTTTTTAACTGAAAGCTCTGACTGACACTGCATACGCTATATATCCAAAAATGTTTCAACTATTGAAATACATCAAGGCAGAAGGCTTAGCTTTTAGTATACTATTACAACTTTAATTTAATTTTTTATTTTTAGGCACTTAGCACGTTATTGATATTAAGTCATCAGATGTAGAAATATATACAATCTATGTATTGGGTCTTTGGATACTGTATAAGATAAACATGATATATAATATGTAAAAATATAAGATTATAATAATTAAAAATGTAATGTACCTTCTTTATTCCAAGCTAAGTCAATTACATCTTCTAAAATGTCTGATTTTGACCCAGGAGTCATTGGAGTACTCATATTAAACAAATCCCAAATAAAGATTTCCGATTCTGATGCACCAGACGCCAATAAATTAGACTAAAAATAAAATAAAATTTAACGACCTTAAAATACCAAAAAGTTGCTTCAATTTACTTAAATAATACATTGTACTCAACACAATATTATATATATTTATACATTTTAGATCTATCTTCAGTAAAGTTTTAAGACCTTTAGCTTTAAAACTTCACCTAAAAAAAGTGAAATTAAAAAAAAGTAACCCCACCATCTAGGGGAAAGTGTTTGGATATTTTTTGGTTTGTCAATATTTATTGGTAAAGTAAACTCCATACAAATTTGAAATTAAGTCAACTATTTAAAAAAAAAGTTAATGACACCGCCGTAGTTTTAAGTTGAAGATTATGTAAATATTTTGGGTGTCTTCACAATTTTAAAGGGGTGAATTATTAATATTTTTGGACAAATTTCTATTTTATAGGCTTGCTATATGATGAAATTGGTTCAGCGGTTTAAAAGATATTGTGGGTCGACACAAAAAAAAAACATCATTCTAATAACAAAAGGTAAAAAAAAAATTTAATGCATATAAATCTGAATTTCTCTTCCATTTTTAAATAGAAATTAATGGTAATAATGTAAAAAAAATTACTTGAAACGAATTAAAATCAAGTGCTTTAACTGATCCAATATGACGATCACTCTTTGCTACTAAACTGTTGACATCCGATGCTAATTTTGAAGCATCATATAGACGAATTACACCATTGTCACATCCTCCAGCAATTACACCTGAACTCCATTCTTTAAAGCTCTCATATCCACCCCAAGCCAATTTATGGAACCTGATCATAAAAATATACTTATATTCAAGAATCTATCAATATGAAAAATTAACATACCGACAATCTGTTGATATTGATGAATTAAGTATCAAATCATTAGATTGAACCGTGTACAGTTCTAATTTAGATGATGTGTTAAAAGAAGCATCCAACTGCTGTGCAGCAGTGCCCATAGCTATTGTCAACGATTGATGTGGTTTTGGTGACCATGCTGACACGACAGTAGACTGTATTTGTTTAATTTTCATTTTAGTTGTATTATGTGTACTAGGTATACAGTGAAACTATAGTTAAAGTTTATAATATATAGACATTTGTAGCAACAGTCATTTGAAAATTATTCCAATACCAATTACCTACTCACAAAAATGAGAGTATAACTAAAAATCACAGCAACATTCAAAAATCACACTAAAAAAACATAGTAGTCAAACTTAAACATGATTTCTGTATAATTTGAAAACTCGTTCAAAAACACGTATATTGACTGACAATACTGTATGTTTTTAACTTATCAATTTTAAATCACCATGATATAGTAACTGAAGTAAGAAACGGTAGCCTCCAACGTGGCCAGCCGCCAGGAACCATAACAAGGTGCCTGGTATATTATATTAGTATTACCAGCTGCTCATCAAATGATAAGAAGTAAGGACTATTACTAATTATTATAACGAGTACTTATTTCAATTTTCAAACACGGCTAAATTAAAACAGATAGTTTATTATTGTCTATGGATAGTCAATAGACAACTATAATTCCTCATTATAAATAACTTTTATGTAGAACTACATAACTCATTAATCATTATTAACCAGTGTTTTATATCAAAATAAAAGAAAAAATTAATCTTTCCCTCGAAGAAAAGACATGAAATGTTGGACAATGAATACATTAGTTGAACAATTCAATGTCTCATCATTAATCATTCTCATTTATACATTTTCCAGGGTTATCGATTTATGCCTTATCCTCTCCTCCTAACATCATTTCTCGGTAGTCGGTATTTGTATTTCTCATTTCGGTAATAGATATTGAACTTCAATAACTGAAGCCTGTAGCCATTAGATACAATTTGTGACAAAAGTTGTCATGTCAATTTATGACAGACTTGATATAAAAAATGTATGCGTTTACTTTTTTTTTTTCATTAATATTGTTATATTATAAATAGTATTTTGTGTTCATTTCCTCTAAATAAATCCACACAAATTTTATATTCAAAAAAATATGTTGATTTTCTATCAAGAAGTAGCTGGGATATGGACTGACATATTTGGTGTGGTTTTAATAACAGAATAATGTTTAATTGTAAAACAATTCAAAAATGCAAAAAATAATAAATTAAAATAGTTATTTTAATTTTATCCACTTTATTTCTCTTTTTATAAAATTTACAACTAATATATTAAAGTAATATTTTTTAACTATATCAACCTATATTGATTACCGATTTAAATGAAGTGTTTAATAAGCTAAATACTTTATGCTAATAGCTTTAAATAATAGTAAAATTTTAAACTACAATGATTGAATCATACCACTTATTTTTTTAAGTGTATGACAGTTATTAATAAATATTAAATAGTCACTATATAGTATAGACTACATTTTTCTTTAAAATTATTATTTGCATTTTCAAAAGCAAACTGTAATCGAACTGAATTAATTTACACTTAAGGGCATAACTAGCTTGTATTGGTAGTGTCATAGCGATAATGAATAATAATAACATTAGGTAATTTATGTTTTATTATAAAAATAAATATTTTATATCAGTTAACAATACATTATTAAGAATACTAACTAACATATTACTTAAAAACAAAAATTTCTCGTTCAATATAAAGTTAAAATATCTTTTGAACATATGCTGATAATGGAGAGAAAAGGATATCTAGTTATCTTCTCTTGGCAATACAATTAGGTATATTATAAATTATAATACTAAAATTTAACATAAAATTATTTACAGTTTAAATGTATTATAAATGAATATGTTTAGTTTGTGATAATATATCTGATAACCTTTGTAAATCGCTCTGTAAATTATTTTTATCTTCAAAATTATTTTTACTTCTATGCACAATTTGTAATAAATTCATATATTCAAGTTCACTGAATATAGCTCCTTTTTCTAATATTTCTTCTAGAATATCCTGTAATAATTGCATCATTATTTCACACAAGTTTTTACAAAATAACATAATTATTATAAAGTATTTACTTTTGGTGTGCAGAGCAGTAACTCATAATAGCGAACAGTTTTTTCTAAAACACCTTGTGAAGCACCTAACATGGCAGCTAAGTTATACTTAAGCATTGTGACATCGCGTACCATTTTTCGAATAATCACCTCATCAACAGTTTCTATATTACGTGTTTGATTTACTAAACCTTTAGCCATAACTTCTCCGAGTCCTTCAAATATATATTTGGTTTTTCTACTTGACATTGCATTTAACATGGCTTCATGTAAAGCTGATATAGACTGATTAAGGTCCAAAACTTTTGGTTCTGCAGAATTCCCAACCGCAGATTCAAAACTGGGTAATAAGTAAAATATACATTGAGCTCGAATCTAAAAAAAATATATATATAAACACACACGCTCATATACAGGGTGATCCAACTAATGTAAGACACTCATTTTCTCTGAAAATATGAATATTTTGAGAATTTTTGTTTTGCTAAACTTGTAGGTATATATTTTACATTTTTCAATATTTTAAAATTTTTTATCACCAATCCTTATAAGCCAAAAAGGGGGATTTTTGGTTTTTTTAAATAGCAACATATTATGTTTTTAATTACATAAATTTGTAGACAAAAATAAAAAAATATGTTATCGTTTGAATTTTCATTTATTTGTTCATTTGTTATGACTTAATATAGATTTGATTTTTTGACTGTATTTCTTAATATTTTCAATTGTTACTACAAAGGCTGTAGTTTTATTATATCGCATAAAAATAATTTGGTGTGTTGCCGTACTCTGTATCATGATCAGATATAATAAATAACCTTTAATCTAAGAAATCGGTAGATAAGAACCGTTTGTCTATTATTATTTCAAAATCTTTTTAGTGACTTCCTAGTTAGAATGTTATCGCCAATTGGACAACGCGAACATAAATATGAATTTTATGTGCTACCAGTTTTGGAAAACCAAAGAAATATGATAATTATTAAGAGGAAATGTAGTATTTATATATAGTCATAGCTAATGAACAGATAAATGAAAATAAAAAATTCAAACGCTAACATATTTTTACATTTTTTGTCTACAAATTTATGTAATTAAAAACATAATATGTTGTCATTTAAAAAAAACAAAAATACCTCTTTTTGGCTTATAAGGATTGTTGATAACATTTTTTTAAATATTGAAAAATGTAATAAAATATGTACTTAAAAGTTTATGAACAAATTTTTTTCAAAATATTCATATTTACAGAGAAAATGAGTTCCTTACGTTAGTTGGATCACCCTGTATATATATATATATATATATATATATATAACTTAATAAACTACAACCTAACCAAAGTGAGTGTTAAAATAAATTTACTCACTATGGGTCTCAAAAAACTTACTACTACTTACCTCTAAGAACAGATACAAAAGAATATTGTCTGATATATCTAGATAGTCATTACTCAATTGTTGAAGAGTTTCAATAAGGGACAATGGTAAATTATTGTTATCTGTGTTGGGAGATTTGATTTTAGGAACTAAATATTGGCTAGAGTCGGGACCAGAAATCTCATTCAATCTTTTTGAAAACCATTCCTGTATAAAACCAATAAAAAGTAAAGCCATTACTACACTTGTTTAAATTCTTCTTCACTCAATATTATTATTATTTATCAAAATAATACAAATTAATAACTGTTATAATTTCTTAAAACTTACCATGCTCTCTGAGAGGTGTGCTAAACATCGAAGCTGATTGATGTCAGAAACACCCGATACCTTAAAATCATTACCTTCTAAGTTACCAAATAGTATATCAGCTTCAAGAGAGAAACGTTTCAGTTCTTCAATTGAACTCTTTTTAACCTTATTCTCTATGTCTTTCCGTACCCAATTATGAGATTCTCTAAAATAGGGTTTGTTCCAAAATTTAATTTAATTTAATTATTTATAAAAGAGTTATAAACTTACTTAAGATAATTAACTAAATCATTTTTTTGTATCCACAAATTACTAACTAATTTTGTAGTATTATCATTCGATTTTACAATTGAAGTAAACAAGCTATCACAAGTTTCTTTATAGCTTCTACTAACACTAACCATAACCATAAGAAAATGTGATGCATACTCTGGCATAGTAATAACTAATTTTTTTATTTCGCAAATATTATCCCACACATTAACTGTACTCTGAAAATGTTTGAATACATGCTATTAGTTAAACTAATTAACTAATATATATAAGTCTTTTTTAATTGTTGTAATGTTAATATATTAGTTGCTTACAGACAATAATGGTTTTTTAGAGTGAAGTTCTTGCATTTGTTCGGGTGTTGTTATTTGATGCCAAGCATCTGCTTGTTTTGTAATAGATTCAATAGTAGTAGCTACTTTACTGTGTTGTCGATCAAGAAAAACAGTCCTTATGTACTCATTTAACCATAAACTCAATGAACATGAATCCCTTAAACAAAATATGAGTTTTAATGTTAACATATTTCTAAAGTGGAAATATATTTTAAAAACTTTTATTAGTAAGCACTTTTTAATTAACATTTAATTACCAACATGTAAAAACCGCTTTTAAAAATAAATATTGAATTATCAATGACTAAAAAAAAAAAAACGAAGACTATTAAATATTACTAACTTAACTACAACTCGACTATTTAAAGGTACCTTAAAGCAAATACAGTTCAAACACTGTATCAAAAATTAATTGTAAAACAAATATTTGTTGGTCTAATAGACCACACGTTGATAGTTAAGTGTTAATAATGATTTCTTACGTATTTACTGATTGTTCAATTTGTTGAATGAACATTGTCAGAGGTTCATAAATGTGTACAATGTTATCTGAGCTGGGAGTACATATCATTGATTGTGGTTGAGATAAACTGGTAAAAGGCCTCTAAAGAATTGTAAATTAGAAATTATTAATAAAATGTTATAAGATTTTTAATTCAAAGTTCTAGCTCACATCTAATATATCTGTAGAACATTCCAAAGCATTTGAAAACTTGAAAAGGCTTTGTTTTGGCCTAAATCATAATAAAATTCATAATTATTGTTTGTATTAATACTTATATTATAACTCAAAATATTTTTCACTTAGGGTTAACATTTTAAAAACATACCTTTGAGGTTTCCTTTTTGAAAAAAAAACATTTAAATCTATATTACTAAAAATTGGTGCTGATGTCACTACTAGATCTGAATGACTATTAACATCCAAGTAGTTGCTTAAAAACATTTGTACCTAAACATAAATAATATAAAAATACATTCTCAACTTCCCATCAAAGTTAAAATTATGTAGCAAGGGGAGGTTATAATATTATTAATGGATCACTGAAAACTATGAAACTTTAGCCGGTTGATCAGTATTTTGCTGTTTATGTCTAGAGTTCTTAAAATCGACTAGAAAGTCAATGTAATACATGGAAAATGCTTATTGTCAGTCTTTTGCATGCTTGCCTCGCCATTCATTTAGACGCCCCTACGTTTTTACTATTGATAGTTTGATAAGTACTCTCTTTCAGTCACTAATTTTGTTGCGCAAAAGAAATAACCTTTAGTTATGTCAGTCCATAGAACTGGGTGATCAAAATCATTGACAAAAATGGCAAAATATCTAACCTTTAATTTTAATTTTAAATTAAAGTTTATGAAATTAGCCCTCGATGTTATAATGTCCCCTAGTAATTTAAATACAATCCATTCCTTTAGGATAATAATTAGAATTTTCAAGTTTTAACTTTGACTGGAAAAAGACAGATATAATTAAAAATTAATTCTCGACTAGAAGTCTATAGAAATTAAGCTTTTAAATAAAATACAATTTAAGAAAACTAAATACAACAAACAAATAATTTATAAAATTTAAATTAACTTACAATAGACTCGATGCTCTCCCAAACATATTTAAGATCATATTTATTTACATTTAGTAATAGTTTCTGATCAACCTTTTCCAAGCTTGTTAAAAACAATTGATGTGCATCAACTACTGAATAAAATTGTAAAATAACTCCATTTATTAATGCCACTAGTTGATCTTTTGAGTTTTTAGTATGATTTATCATGGATAGTTGTTTAGTAGTTTTTTCCACAATCTCTACTAGTTGGGTCTGCATTGTAGATTTCAATTTCTTATAACCAAATAAAAATAAATAATACATTATGATGATGAAATGATCAATACATTGAAGAAAAAGTGCAAAATTGTAAGAGAAAGCTTAGAGCCTCCTAAAAATTTGAAGTTAATAATGTATAAAGTGAGTATTATACAAAAAAGTTGAGAAAATATTTACTTCAATAGCGTCATTAAGTTTTAAGAGTAGAGCAAAACATTCTACTGCTATTGGAATAAATGTTTCAGTATCAAACTCCACAATTTCATTGTCATTCGTTTCATTTAAAATATCCCTGTAATTTAATTTAATGTTAATAAATACAATAACAATACAACTTTTTATGAATGAAATAAAATTCTATATACTTTGTTGTGACTGTGGCCATATTATATTTAAACGATCGCCGTGTATTTTGTCCAAATGAAGAGTTATGTCCATCAGATCCAATACGACGAAATGGTTTTGCCGCTTGTGGCGAAATAACATAAATATGATTTATCAATTCATCCAGCAATTTATTATAAAAAGTCTAAGGAAATTTATTAAAAAAATTAGCATCAATATTAGGATATACTTTTTTATTTTATATTCTTTCGACCAACTATTATTAATATAATACCTGTAAATGAATACAGGTATTAATAAGAGTTCATCTCAACTTTTTAAATGAATAAAATTAAATAGTCATTTTATACATTTCTTATTAAAATATTCCTTATTTCATAGCATAGTAGCATAGTAGTTAAGCAAGTTTATACTACTTACACAAATGTACTTAATCAGTAACCAATATAGAAACTAGTATTACTTATAAATTTTAAATCATTTTGTGAAATTTTAAGAAACAAATTATATGTGATTACCTGTTTTTTGAAACTTAATTCTTTTCTTAACTCATTTAAAGCATCAATATTCTTCAAATCATTATTACTTATTTTTAAAGTTTCCATTAATAACTTAGTGCACTGTATGTATTGATTTTTTGTGTCTAACATGTTTAGTTGAGATGGTACTTCTTTAATTTGTTCACTAAAATATTAATAATGTCTAATATTATTTATTATTATAAATATATTTACAATAGGTCCGAATTTGGTACATTAAGTTGTACCTAACAAAAACGAGTAAACAAACGACAGCCATTCCATTCACCTTAACAAGCGCTTAATAATTTAGAGGACTATTAATTATGAAATAAAAATTCCATTCATTGGTAACGACATTCAGGTGAATAAATAATGTAAGCAGTGCAGGCAAATTTGCATTCAGACCTTAATGTAAACCTACCTAAACACTCTTTCTCAACTTCATATAAAAACAAATTATAATAATAATAATATAATATTATAATAACATAATTGTATGTGTAAGTTTATCAATGAGGTTAGATAATTACTTACATTTGGGACAGAAGTGTAAGCATATGATGCTGCTCAATACTTTCAACATAAAATTTTCTTAACTCATCACGTCTACAACGCAATAAGCTTTTACATGCGACTAATTTTTGTTTAGCTGCTTGAACTTTTTCCCTAGAAATATTTATTGCACTTGACACAGAAGTGAATAATTGCATTACTCGTGCAAGATTTTGATGTTCCATAGAGATTAATTCTTCCAATTTTTGGTCACATCGTTTGTATTCTCGTTCCAAAGCTGTCTTTTCAATTTCACGGTGTTCATTTGATTCAGTGGCAGACAACGCACGGATCATGGTCATTAATAATCCACTCTAAAAAAATTAAAAATATGTATATTATAATATATATATATTATGCAAGAAAATTTTTTTGCTACCCTGGAATAGTTTTTATTTGCTGAAAAGAATAAACTTTATAAAATGTCAGCCTTCTGGGACAACTCTTAAGTGGTTTCTATAGAGCCATATTTTCCCCATTTGATTAACACATAAAAATGTATTTTTTATTAAAATCGCCATAACTTCAAAACTTAAAAATAATTTTTTAATTAAAAAAATATCTAAAAGCTACACTTACACCTTCAAAATGCTTTAGGAGACATTTAGTCTTATTAATTTTTATAGAGAGAAATAATGGTTTATAGATACATACATTTTTAGTCATTGTTTATTGTTAAACTGACTAACTTTAAGTATGTGTATACCATATTTATTGGTGTTAATTATATTCATAAATGTATTAATGAGTAAATAATACTATCTCCAGTGGAATATATATACATTGGAATTTTTATTAAAACAAATATGTTTTATTTGAGTCATTAAAACAATTAATTTTTTTTTTTTTAATTATACTTATAATTTAATAATATAAACCAGATATTTTTCTGAAGTGCCAACTCAGTATTTTCTGTGTTACACTCTATACTTACAGTTTCTTTTTGAGTTTTAACACCTCTAGGTGGTTTACTCGGTGGATTAGCCATACTGGATATTTAATTTATAATATAAAATTACATAAAACAAGATATCTATTATAATATTTATAAAACTAATATGAGTTGTAGTTTAGATTTTTGAAATAAAAAATTGTTTTTAGTTTTTTAAAAATGAGATAATTGATAAGACCACAGAAGTCTTGTATTTATCATTTCATAACAACTTCTTATCTATAGCAAACTCTTAATAAACGTACAGGACTCAAACATATTGAAGCTAGCAATTTCATTCTAGTAATTTATGATAACGTATTTCCGCGGACTCGTCCTGGGAATTTATAGCATAGCCGAAATACCACTGCCAAGTCGCATAACTCAGGTGAATTTTAAACTATAGCCAAAAAATATCAAATTTTATAAGGTTTCTGATGATAGTTTATTTACTGGACTCGTCCTGGAACACTGTAGTCTAGCACGAATAACCACGACCGGGTCGCAATAGAATTTTCGCAACGACCAGTTCTTATATCGCGTTCAACAAAATATTAAAAATATATTACCTGAAGAGTGCATTTTTGCACCCGAGGAGGGGGGGAGGTTGAAGATAGCCAAAAAAGGTGGTTTCATTGTTTGCCAAGAAAAATAATTACTTCATTTCTGTTACCAAAATTGAATCTACAAGAAAAAGGTTTTCTTTGGTGTTTTAAGGTAAAACTTATGAAATAAATAAATAATCAAGACTTATGTAATAATGAAACTTGTTTATTTCAAAATATGAAATAAATGTTTAAAGCATTTCTATTTATAAAACATTTGAATTTTAATACTTGTTTCCAATAAAAATGTTTCTTTTACAATGCAAAGTTATAAAGAATTAGAGAAAATACTTAAAAACATCTAAGATGTCGATAATAGCATTTTAACAAAAAACAAATTAATAAAATTAGAAGTTTTACAAGTATAAGCTGAAAAGTTTAACATATTATATAATAACCTTAAAAATTTTAATTCTACATTTGTTGATGTAGAATATATTAAAAAGTAAAAGTTATTTTTGTTTGTAATAGTCACATATCAATTGTTATGCTATACATTTATAATGGCTAATTTTTGTTTAGTGATAAAAATTAATTTTAAGTTGTACCTAGAACCTATGTTGAACAACTAAATTGCATGTTTAATCAAACTATACAAGCTCCTAACAATATACAACTATTAAAGAAGGGTAAACTTAAAAGTCAGTCTTAATAAATTAAAATAATAAACTTAATCAAATTTTATAAACAGTTAAAAATGACCTTAATATTAACATACATACTAAGTAATTGCAGTTTTAGATAAAACAATTTTTTAACAAGAGAATTTAGTAAGGTTTATATCCATATTATTCGTGAGCTATGGAATTTTGCTCCTCATAGTTAGTTTGAAAATCTTTATGGTGATTATATAAATCAGAGACAGTTTTTTGTAACTCATTTAAGAATTTTAAAGGATTAGGTGCATTTACACGCTTATTTTGAAAATCTGATACAATATTTTCTAGATTTCTTTTCCTTGATGCCTCCATTTCGAAATGAGCAATATGTTGGACTGAACACTTAATATCTAAATCTTGGAATTTGTTTATAACTGAAGTCAGACTTTGAAAAAATGTATCAAATTCTTTAGTGTCTGGATAGATTTCTGTGGCTAATACATCTAATAGGTCATTCATATTTGGTATATATGAATTTTCTAAACTTAAATCAACAGACTTGTTTGTAATACCATTAGTTATCAATTTGTCATTATTATTTATAATATTACTATCTAAGTTCATAAAAGTATCAGACATCTTTTTGTGATTTGTTGATTTGTCGTCTTCAGAAAATTTAGATGGATTTATTTCTAAAGTATTTTTACTTCCAATATGTCCATTGGTATCCTCAGTTGATTTTTGGTAATTTGCATTGATATTTGAACTATTTAATCGAGTATTACCATATTCTAAATTGTCTGCAACAAATTATAAGATAATCATTTTATTTTAAGGTATTATCAGATCTGAAAGTAATAAAATCACTTGAAAAAATACCCTTGATGGAAATTTGTAGATTATAATAAAAAATTATCAGTAAAAATCAGTAGGCATTATATACCATTATACCGGGTGATTCTTCTAACTCCCTCCAGTTTTCTTTTAAAATAATTTATACTTTGTAGTTTTTCTTTTTGAAAACATTTTTATTTAAATTATGCTATACTAAAATATTAGATAATAATCGGATTTTTATCTTTTTTAGTATTTGCTAGTATTTTATCAACTTATAAAACTTAAATAGCAACGTATATATTTAATTAGCTTTTTAAATTAAGAATATTTACTGAAAATTTTAACTGCTTAATAAACCAGTTTTGAATAAATAGTTTTAAAGTTTAAAATTTAGGACGGGAGGTGGAGTGCGATTAGATAAATGCGCGCAGATAAAAATAACTCTACTTTCCACGCTTCCTCTCGTCCTAAATTTTAAACTTTAATGGCTTTAATACTATTTAACAAAAACTGGTTATCGAGCAGTCAATTTTTTTTAGTAAATTATTCATAATTTAAAAAAGCTATTTAAATATATATGTTGCCATTTAAGTTTTATAAATTTATAAAGCTCTAGTAAATAATTTAAAATTTAAAAATCTGAATATTATCTAATATTGTAGTATAGCATAAACAAAAATGTTTTCAAAAAGAAAAACTACAAAATATCAATTATTTTAAAAGGAAACTAGCGATGCAGGGTGTTAGAAGAATCACCTGGTAAAGGAAATAAAAAATATACATATAATCAGATTATTAGGCTATTTGGGTGTCATCAATACATTTTTAAAAAAATATACAAAAAAGCAATTAACTCAATTAAGAAGTAGTTCTTTACAGGCCACGAGTTAAATTATTTATAATAGTTGTAATATTGCAATTAAAAAAAAAGGATTTAAACTTTTGCAGGACTACAAAATATTGTAGTCAATAAAAAAAAATTTATATATATAATATATAGGTTTAGTTTCAACTCACTTTCACTATTAGTTACCGAAGAGGACAGTAAACAATCAATTCGCTCAATTTCATTTTTTGCTTTAAAGAAATTTGATGTTTCTATGTCCATTATATCAAGTATATATGTATTAATTAGTTCTCGATATTGCTTCATTAAAGCTAATATATCACTCAAATGTTGTAATTGTTTTGAATCTTCATCTTTATTGTCAAATGAAAGTTTTATTTTTTTAGACAAACTTGTAAATAGTGGCTTTAACCATGAAAAACAAGCGTAGCATATATATGCTTTTATGGTTTTTTTAAGATTATCATCATGTTCAAATATTTTGAAATTGTCTGCTGATAGCGGGCCTATGATTAATATAAAGAGACATTAGTGTGATACATCTAATATACCAGTTAATGAGGTCTGTCCAAGTAAAAATATACATAATCCTAATCTTTTGTAGCGTGTTTAATCAAAAATTGTGTTACTATTTAAAGATAATACAAAAAGGTTTAAATCTACACTATTTTCATATTTCGGGGTTACTGCCACTTGAATAGATTGACTGATTTCCCAACGTTTCGGAATTTTTAACAGCCTTTAATATTAATGATAATAATAGTGCATTTTTACTTGGATAGTCCTTTTATAAACATAATATAACAGAAATAAACCTTTAGGAAAAAACCACATCATTATTTTTGATAGAGGCTTATTAAATTTTGAAATAGAGTCTGGAAAGGCTATTTCATAGTCGTAAGCCGCTGCAAAGCATTTTATTAAACATTTTTGGCTATCAATTGTTATCTTCCCAGTTTTAATGTATTGTAGAGCCATTAGACAAAACTGTCCCGCTATGAATATTGTCATCTAAGTAAATAATTTAATTAGTTCATAGAGTATAAGCCAATGATTAGGATTAATAGAATATAATGGATTCTTAGATTACAGTGCATAAGTTAGGAAATTTACACACTTAAATTATAATAAATAAAATATAAAATTGTGTTTGTTATACATAGGTAAATTTATCAAAACAGGACATTATGTGATTTATAAATTATAATGAAAATAATAAAGGACATTTGTAAAATAAATAATTTATTAAATTTTCAGTAAGCGTTCAAATAATTTATACTGATTGAAAAAACAATGATACTTACTTTGGGCATAACAAGATTAGTGTCCAATATAAATTCTGGTTCAACTGTATTAATTAATTTGTCATAGAACTCAGGTTTCCATGTAATTTTCTTTAGAATATGATCTAATAAAACGTACTTGTCTTCATTGTTGATATTAAAAATCCAGTTTTTAACAACTTCATATGTAGTTTTTTCACCTAATTCAAATAGTAACTCGTGAACACCAACCCACATTTCTAAGTACTGCAAAAAAAAAGTATTAATATGTTATCATATATTACTTCTATGTTTAACCCAATAAAAAACAAACAATTTTCAATGGTAACACATTTTTGGCAAAAACATGTTTCGTGAGTCAATAATTTTCCGCTATATAAACATCTAAAATACTTATATATAAATGGTTTTATACATTAAACCACATTTTTGGAACATATTATATTTTGAAACATAATAACTAACATTAAGTTTTGGATGATCTTTTAATAATGCTCTAGCTTCATTCCACTTGTGATGTTTAAAGTATTCCGTTTTTAGTAAATTTACTACTAAAGATAATTCCATATCTTCATCTATACGACTGGCTAATTTAGCAGCCAATATTAACTCTTTGGGTTGTTTAATCTTAGTTAAACATGAAACAGCATTCCATGGATCTTTTATGCTCAAGTAACTAGAATAATATTATGTAATGAATAATAAATATTTAAATACAATTAAATTTAAAAACAATTATCTAACCAGTGTGCAGCTTCTTTAGGATGTCCATGATATACATTATACTCGGCCCATTTTTTGGTGATTTCAAAAATTAATTCATCATCCTGTTTTTCTTGACACCTAGCAATTGCTAAAGCTTCTCTAAATAAATTATTTTTAAGTAACATTAAAGCAGCTTCACTATATTTTTTTAAAGCTACTAAAAACGTTGAGCTTTTGGTTACTTCACCCGCATCTTCTAACTGAAATGCATATGCAGCACACATTTTGAGCCATAACCTAAACATATACTATATTTATATATATATATATATTTAATGTTGACATGTTTTACAATATAAGTCTGGATTTAGTTTCTGAAAATTAAATAAGTGTGGTACACTATACACATTTTTTAAAAACCTGTAGTCAAAAACTTTTTTTTATCTAGGCTAACGAAAAAACCAAATATGATTACACTTTGGGGGATTGAAACCAATTTTGTCTTAAAGTTGTTGAAAACCAATTTTACATTTAAAAAAATTAGTTTTTGTAATTAAATGAAAATCAGAAAACTAACAGACTAAGGATGAACCTAAAAATAATCTGTGATATGCTGGCAGGTTAAAACACTTAAGACACTCGAAGCTCCTTTCACCAATACCAAAATAGCAAAAGATATTAAGTCTTGTATTGAACAGAATATCGCCGCAGATAGATGAAAAACTGATTAAAGAACAAGACGGCTTCCGACCGAGGACAATTTGCACAAGTCAGATACTGAGTCTAACTTGGCATATTGAAAATGGTTTCGAAATAAAACAGATAACTGGAACGGCTTTTGTAGACGTAAGCTCAGCATAAGACACAGTAAATCGCGGGGAACTAAAACAAAAAATATATTAGGTGACTCTATACGTTAACTAAAATAATCAAAATGCTGCTGAGTAACTGGCGATACTAAGTTATTCTACAAGGAAATAACAGCAGATGGAGAAGACAGTTAAATGGCCTGGTATCGTCCTGACACCCACACTGTTCAATATTAATACCAACATTAGAAACTGTGTCAAAGCAACAATAAGCACTTGATGTATAGATAAAATCTCTTAAGGAGAAGACTTAAATCAAGAAAAAGTTTTCTACGTTCAAACCGGCAGATCACGATGACAGAAGAAGAGGAAAAACAAAAATAATGGAAAAAAATACTAGAAGACAAATATGAAATAATATGGAAACGTAAGAAACACATCCCTCAAGAAAAAAAATTCTAAATTATGGCTCATGGAAGACCTTAAACTGGTTGAGGATAAAGATAGCCAGAATTAAGAAGAATTTAGTATTTTGGGAAAAGGAAACATACAGCAGTTATGAATATAGGAAGGAACAGGATGTCAATAATTTGTTGGCATGCAACCTTGGAGCCTCATGTGAGAGAAATGATCTTTTTAAACCACCAAATGACAATGTCGTTAGACTAATTTAATATTAATTTTGTACAAAAATCTACATTTATAACATTATTGAGTGTAAGTTATTAATCATAAATTGATACTCACTCGTAACTAATACTTGGAGCAACTGCTATCATCCAATCATTAATAGTTTTTGTATCTATAGCATCATTTAAGTACGATTCTAAATTATGACCCCATATGTTAATATTATTTAGACAAGGAACCATTGGTGCAGACATTTTTTTTTTTAACGATTTACCTAAAAAAAAGGTTAATAGAATAAGTTTACTAGAATGTCATAAAAATAACAAAATTATCTTTTTATTATTATATAGACGCAAAGATATTATCTCAAGATGGCAACGATGGGCCCTTTAAGACCTGTTCAGCTACATGATGATAAGGCTATAGACAAAATTTACCTCTTTTATTTCTTTAATAAGTGATTAAATTAGTAAATATACATTTTTTAATTGTGGTATTATACACGTGGTATACACTTTAATGTGATGTGCACTCGAATTTTAAGTGCATATCACATTAAATTTTAAGAAAAAAAAGTAATAACTATTGCGTCAGTTATTATTTTGTAAGCATTATTATGACTCAAAGTAATGAAAAAATGCTTTAACCTGAATCCGTACAGAAAAAAAAAAATTGGTAAAAACATGATGTCGATAATAAGTTTACGGTCTTGATAACTTGATTTATTTTACTAATAAAATAATATCATTCAATTCTAAATAGAAGCTAAAAAACGTTCTAAAAATATTAAGTTTATTTAGAGAAACTTACTTTCCTCCACCATTAGTTTTCTCATTTTTTCAGTTGAACCAAAAAATGATAAATAATTAACCTCTTGAGAAGTGTCAACTTCATTATTAGGGCTCAAATACATATCAACAGCATTTTCTAAATATTTCCCCATAAACAAATCATAACTAGATAATGGGAACTGTTGCTTTCTATTGGTAGGTTCTTTATTATTTGCATTAATATTTCCTATAATATAAGAACAATATTAATAGTATTCAACAGTTTTTAGAAGACACGGTATTCATCCATTACATGTGATAAATACTAGATATAAAATAAAGTCACTGAAACGATTGTAATACTTAATTAGTAATTACAATGAAAGTAAAAATATTACCTGTCTGGCTGAGATTATCAAGATCTTCTGTATCAGATTTTTTCTTTATTATTGTTGGATTAGTTTCTGAAATTTAATTTATATACAGGGTAATCAACTAAACATAAGACACTCATTTTCTCTTAAAATAATTACAATTATTCTTTTAGGAGACACACGTTTATATTATTTTTAAATATTAGACAATATTCAAATTTTTATCAACAATTTTAATTTTCAAAAATAATTTGCCGAACATTTTGACTGGTCGATTTATATTATTGGATAATTACCTTTAATGTTATTACAGTTTAAAATGTAGAAAGGTGAAGTGTAGTATTATTTTTATCTGCGCGCATTACTCTACCACACTCTACTTCCCTTCCTAAAATTAAAACTTTAAAAGTAATTATTTAAAACTTGTTAATTAAGTATATTTATACACCATTACATATAATACCATTTAAATTTCAAAAGTTGATAGAGCCTTAACAATAGATTCAAAACGATTAACTACAAAATTGCAATTTTTTTCCGAAAAAATTATTGTCTTATGTTAGTTTGATCACCCTGTGATCAAATTATGAATTTATTAAATATTTTAATAAAGTGTTAATAGCTTACTTATAGTTGCCAAAACATCATTTTGTAAATCCTTTGACACTCGCCATGAATGAATTGAATGGTCAGCAGAACCTGTGAAGACTATATCAGAATCTAATGGCGAAAACATTCCGCACAATACAGTACATAAATGTTTAGAATAAACACCAATAAGAGCACATTTTTGAACATCCCAGATCTAGAATACATAAAATAATATTTTTTTATTTTTACATTCAATTTATTTAATTTTTTTACAATGTTATACAAAAATTGCAAGTATAAAAATGTTTTAGTACTTCATGAAAAAAAAAAAAAAAGAATTAATTTAATAATTATTTTAGTATACATTTTTTTTTTTTAAGTCGAGCCGACCTTGTGTGGTCATTTTTAACAAATTTCAATGTTGTGCTCAGACACGTATTATGATATTATGACTGTCCCAAATGAAGTTTTCACTCTCAGTAAAGGAGAAAAAAGGAAAATTGGCCACATTGCTAATTTTTGCATGACAGTAGGAATCGATTAGATGACCCTATTAGAACCATTGCACCAATTCACTCCAAACAAAAACATATTTACTTATTTTTTATACAAACCTTAGCTGTGAAATCATTAGAACAACTTAAAAGCAATAGATTACGATGAGGACTCCAAGCAAGTTCATTGATTTTTTCTTTATGGCCATTAAACTCGGCAACTAGTACTGGAGTTCCATCTAAATAATTATTTTATACTTGATAAAATAATGATTTCATCAAATGCAATAGTTAATAACAAAAAGAATAGTTACCTTCTTCTAATTTATGTACTTTAATAGAATGTGAGCATGATGCAAAATAATTTTTAAACTTGGATTCTTCACTAAAATCACAAGTTACATGAGTAGGATGCCAAATAATACATTCAACAGATTGATCATGACCAAGTACTACATGCTTTAATTTTAATGTACGCCCATCTAATAAATAAATGCTCCTACACAAAAACATTTTAAATATGTCAAAAGCGGAATTAAGTATTATAAAGTCGGATAACATACCCATTAGAATTTCCTATCGCAACTGTATCATAACTTGGTTTCCATGCCATTTCAATACGTTTAACAGGTGTAACAAGTTTATCTTCAATGTGATTAAATGATGCAAATTCTTTTAAATTGTGTGGATCTAATAACAGAATAAGTGAAATGAAAGAGAAGTTAAAAATTTTTCTGGAGAAAAGGGTTAGTGATATTTTCTTGGTTTTTTGCTGTTATTGGTAATTTGAAGAATCTTACTAATTAGACAATTATTCAAGAAGTCATTTTTAGTATCTTTCTCGATTTTGAAAGAAATGGGTTAAATTTTTTTAATTTTAGGCTTTAAAAGTACCTTTTGGGTATAATTTTAGATCTTAAGACTTGTAACATGAATAATCGGTCCATTAATTTAAAAGATATCCATACATCCACATGAAAAAATTATATTATATATATAAAAAAAACACATATTTATAAAAGCAATATCATAAATACCCAATGGTTCTTTAAACCTTTTTTCATTATTTAACTTTTTTGATATTTTTTACACAACAGGATAGTCCAATTAATTTTCTATACATTTTTTTTTAATGAATAGTTCACTTTAATTTACTTATGATTGAAGAAGTTTAGTAGAGCAGGATAAATTTAATTTGAGAATATTAAAAAAAACACTGCAGAATCAAGGAAACTTGTGCCATTGATTACAATGAGTAAAATTAGGAATATTTGTGAAAATATAATAGCTGCAAATAGAATAAAACTATTATATCGGGACGGAAAATAACTAACTTTTACTATTGATTACAAAAAGTATTTATAAGCAATGCTTTTACTAGACATTTGATGGGTAATCAAGAAAATTAAAACAAATGTTTATAAAAGAGTTTAAAACGAAGGCAGACCATTATAAAAAGGGTAGAAGCACATTTTAAATAACAGACTTAGCTCAGTCTGCCATTAAAGCTGAAGATGACAACATTGTTGCCGAAATACATTTACGTAGAGAATATATTATTTTTATGGTTAAGGGTTTTAAATAATCATTTTTTTATTATATATAACCATACGTTGCCAAGATTTTTCTAGAATAGTATGCTTCTAACCTTTTCCTCTTTATCTTAACTTCTCATTTATGTTAGCATCCTACTTCAATCTATCAACTTTAGAAAGAGTATCATAACTTAATACTGAAGTCTTACCTTTCCATAAACTCATTTCATTATAAATCAAAATTTGACCATTACCAACAGCATATAATGAATATTTGTTTTCATGGGTAATATCAGTATCTGGAGGTGGTGCCCAACATAAGCGATAAATTGAATGAGCTAGTACAGTTTTTAATAGGTTCATATTGTTTCTTTTTTTGGTAAGATTAAAAATACCAACACGACCATCACTAGTACCAAATGCTAATAAACCTTCATCGCTTGGATGGAAAGCCAACTTGGAAAAAAAAAACATTATTTAACAACTATACAAAATAACTTAAAAATATTTTCCAATGAATATAAAACTTACAGATAAAACTTTAGCATCAACAGAATGACTTAAAGTTATTAATTCTAACTGGCGTCTATTTGATACATTCCAATAATACATTTTACCATCTCCAAGACCAAATGCAAAACTAATAAAAGTTTTTAGTGATTAATACCAAGTGCTTTAACTGTCTAAAAATTTTATTCTTAACTTACTCAGCAGAATTGACAGGAGATAAAGCGAAACAATATACAAATCCACCTAGAGTAGGTATTTCTAAAGGTAATTCTCCATTAACTGAGGTGTCAAATAAAGGGGTTCGAATTAATTTTCTTCCCATGCACGATGACCACAAATATGGTTTAGAAGCTTCCCTAGACATTTAATAATCAATTTAAGATGGTTTTCCTAAAATTATTTTTAATAAATACCAATAAATATATATATATAAATATAAAACTATACTGTATGTATATAATATATAAAGCTGTACTTTGGGTCTAAAAGATCTAGTCTTATTTAATGTAAATTTTAGAAAAGGAACTAAGCAGTTTTTATTTTCTATAAGGCTCTGTAATACATTTTGTACAAAACTTCTTAGACTTTTATTCTAGGAAGCACTCTTATTTCATCTCTCATTTTATACACAATAATATGTAGGATGTTTTAATTTACATGTTTTAGTGGTTAACTTAAAACAAAAATGTACGTGTCTAGGTATGTTGTAGGCTGTACAAACATGAAACACACTCGACTCCGCTCAAGCCCATTTTTACTAGTTAATTTAATTTCTGAATTTGCACAAATAAGCAGAGCTCGTGCAAGAGAAGGGGAGAGAGTAGACAATATCCGTTTCAAAGTGGTTCAGGAATTAAGCCCGCCACCTAAAACTGGCTGTTTCAGACCCAACATACATACTAATTATCTTAATATATATTTTACATTTTGAGTAATCCATAAAAAAAACTATTGTATTTTAACCCTTAAATAGTGACGTGTGGTATTATATATATTTCTGATTATTCTTTTATCAATTTCGTTCTTATGAGTTGAAACAAAACATTGATTGCAGTTAGTATATAAAATGTTGTAGAATCTTTAGTATACATATTTGTTTGATTATACCCAAAAACTTAAGGAGATTGGATACAAATTATTCTCGTTTCTTTCTATCTCACGTGCAACATAGGAAATTTAGGCAAATATTTTGCCGAAAACAGATTTGAATTTGTCATAAGTTTACTTGAGATCCTACAGAGTACTATTTTTGGTATATTTTTCCTACTACAAATAAGACACTTTTGAACATTTTAACAAATTTCAAATCTTAAAATCAAATTTAGAAAAAGTTAAAACTGAAAATTGAAAAAGTACTCCATAGGATCTCAAGTAAATTTCATAATAAATTGAAATCTGTTTTCAAATTCCTTATCAGATCACTATAGGCAGATCGGGGCGTTTGATAAAATCTACATCTAAACGTCTATGTTGCGCATGAGATAAACAGAGACGGAAATAATCGGTATCTAATCCCCTTAAATTACAGCCAAAATTAAATAAGTAGTGGTACTGCAGGTCACTAATTAAACAAAAATACATAGAGTAAATATATACTCACACAGGACTGGCTATAGAAAAAATAACGTCTTTATGCATATCATTAATTAATGTTATAACTGGCGCCATATCTTTATTTAGTTGGAAATCAACTTTAAGAATTTCACCAAAACCAGATGTCACAATTATTGAGGTAGGTTGTATCCATTTAATGCAACTCCAAACTAAGTTTGTCTTATTTCTATCAAACAAACAATTAAAAAATCAAATGAAGTGTTCTCATCGAAATTAACATCTAAAATATATAAATTGACTAAGTTGATAGCAAGAAACAATAATTAAATTTATTATGCTTAAAAAAGCAAACTTAAAATATTACTTTGCTTTAAATCATTTTTTAGGTATGATACATTTAATAATTGGTTTTATTCTTGATGCTAACAACTAATCAATGTATAATTTATGTTAAATAATTTTAAACATTACTTGAAAATGGTTTTCCTCATTGGTCTCATTGGTAAAGGTACTGTAACCTCACAATACATGTCAGTACCAGCACGACATATGTATAAACCAGTTCTATCACAAGCAGTTGAAGCTAGTAATAATGGTTGAGAAGACTTATCCAAAGTTAGTGGATTATGAGAAACTGGACACCATGCCAATGATACAACATTTCTTTCATGATATCGTAATTTATGTAATACTCGACCATCGCCTAATAAACAAACAGTTGTATACTTTAGATAGAAATGAGTATTGTAGTACATTATTATTATATGAAACAAATGCTAAAAGACTACTAAAGTTTTATATTGGTTATAAAAATCATTTATTTCCTATTTTTATTTTACAAGTTGTTCAAGTTGCAATTTTCAAAGCCAATATTGACTTTATTTAAATGTAAACTTCTATATGTAACAAGATGAAACAAAATACAAATTTTCCAATTTGTTATTATGTTTTAAAAAAGTATGATAGCACCCTAAGATCAATAAGTTAAAAGAGGCTTTGCAAATTGCAACAAATCAAACTAGTTGTGCATCCTGTGTTTACATACCAGTTACATCATAAACTATAACACTGCCACTTTTACAACCAATAGCAATTAGGTTTGTCTTGTGGGGACAAGCTGCTAAAGTTAAAGGTGAAAGTTTTAAGTCTAATGTGTAATTTCGCATTTTCAATGCTTGAACATCCCATTTATGTAAGCTTCCTGCATCAGATATTGCCACAACAGTTAAACAACCATACAGCCAAACTATATCCAATAATCCTATGTTTTTATTTTTTTTGCTCTAGAAAGGTATTCAAAATAATTAATTATTTATTTAAAATCATATATAATACAGGGTGCGACAAAAAGAACTCTCGAATTTCCAGTGGCTGTAATATGGGCAGTAAATAGTAATGGTATAAAATAAATAAAAACTATATAAGTAGTATTGTCATTGACTATAGTTTTTTTTAACTATCTTAAATAAACAATACAATTTGTTATGTCTACAGTAACCATCATGTCCTGGCCAGGGCAACACCGAGCAATTCACCATGGTGATGTTTTCGTTATTCCGAACTTTATGAGATCGGTCCATCGCGTTTCTTTTCACTATGAAACTAGTAGTCCTAAATTTTGCAACCCATGTCAAAATTATTCTTCTGTTCGGAACTAAATCATTAGGACTTAAAGAAAAATGCTTACAAAATGCTCTTTGGGTGGAGATAACAGTTTTGCCACTTTAACCAAACTAATGCACTGTGTTGCGGTAACCAGGATATAAAGGCTTTTGTAATCAAAGGAAATTTTCTCTGCACACACTATGTCTAGCCCCGTATTAAAGATAGTCAAAATAAAACTATTTTCAATTACAATTCTATTTATTTTTTTTTTATTACTGCCCATACTACAGCTCCTAGAAATTAAGAGTTTTTTTCCATACCTAGCATTTAATTGTCAACTTACCCCAAGAGAATATACATGTTCACAAATTGTGTTTTTTACTTTCCAAATATAAATATTTACTTCATCTATTGAAGCTAAATAGTACGCATCTTCATGTGTATCAGTTTCATGAGAGAATGAAACTGCTCCGATGCGACCACTAGATACTTTGGCATTAAACCGAAGACGACTGTACTGGAGATCATAAATACTATTCCCATTTAAGCCCTTAACCAGTACTACGACAGTTCTTGAACCGTATGCCAAGAGTGTGCCATATTTATCCATAGTCATTACATTAGATTTGTACCAGTTAGACGACTGAGTTATTTCAAACGTATTCATGGTTCTACACTGAAAACTGAACATACCAAATTCATATTTATACAAATTTGACTAACATATAATATATTAAAAATATATCTCCTACAACCTCAACTGAAATTTATATAATTGCTCAGGAAGTTATACTTACGTGTGATTATTCAACGAAATTAATGTATTAATTAAAAAAAAAAAACCTTTTTTAAGTTATAACTGTCATTAATATTAGAAAATAATAATCAAGGAATGAGACAATTATATTCTATGCAGTGGTGTATAAAAAAAAGTTAATCGGTAGATAAAAGAAATTTAAAAATAATACTCAATTTCTTACCTACATTTAATTTTTTGAACATACAGTCGCATCACTCGACACTCATGTGCTCATTGCTCAGTACTATCCGTGTTATCAGCATATCAAGGTCCTGCTTGACGGCGATTTGTTTGTTGCCGGTTTACCGGTTACAATCACAAACATCGGAGCAGCTGCTGCTGGTAGATGTTGGTACGACTATCCCAGTTAAGTGATAACTATGTATTGTTACGTTGTCACATCTGCTATTTGCGCCTGGTCCTTTTGTTTAGTGCGCCATCTTGTTCGCGTGTGACGCCTGTGTTGACGACTACAGATAGTTTAAGGGGCTATGTGGTTTGGTTTCAACGGCTTACACGCGTACATTATAACATATTGTTGAGACTTACGTTTCTTGTCCGTTGACAACTTTTGTAATACTATTCCCAGTGTAACGTTATAAAAAATCACTTAATTTTATCTTAAAAAGTTTATTATTTTGTGTATTTGTGTTTTAGAAGAACAATTACTTTATAACCGTAAGTAAATAAACTAAAACAAGTCATTATTTATATATATATATATATATACAATACTGATGAGATCGAGGCCTGCCGTATAGGCAATGTATTTAATGGCGTTGAACGGTTGTGACGACACCCGTGTTTGATATGTTGCATGCTAATAAACCTTAAATTAATAATTGATTATTCAAAAAAATAAATTTCGTTATTTTATTGCATTACAAGCGAAGTACAAAATATTTAAGTTTTTGTGCACGCGAGTACAATTTTCTATTAAATAAGTACAACCGACTTTACAGTTCTATTGAGATATTATTAAAAGTAAATATTTATTTATTAGATACCATAATATAATAATTCTTCCAGATGTATATTATGTTTTTTTCTGATAACAAACCGTGAAAAAAATGTACTTTTACGAGTTTATATTATTTTATAATCATTATATAGTATAATAATACTTGATAACTGAGTATTTCATTAATATAATCTAAACGAATAATAAATTGTTGACTTGTCAAAATCGATCGTTATTAGCTCAGTTTTTGGCAATGGTGTGTTAAAAATAAAATTTGTTCTAAGTATGTTGTTATATTGCTATAATATTAATAATTTTTTTGTTTTTCCTTTAAGTTTATAATATATATATATATATATATTATCTATAGTAAAGAAAATGTTTGATTGGTATGAAAATGTATGGAAGTTTTTTAAAACCGATTTGGATAGTCACTTTATTTTTGTTCTCTTATAATTTGGCAACTATAACGATCCTAGTTTTAAGAAAATCGAATTATAAACTTAAGGCTAAAAGTTACAGTAAGGACTAGGTTTGATATTACACACTAAGGATAATATTATTTTTCAGTAATTCAATCATGCAAATTTTTCAGAATATTGTATATTTTATAACCCTACTAGATATACTTTCAGTCTAATTTTCATATTTTGAGTACTAAACCTTTACTTAAATATGATATTAATTATTTGGTATTTTCCGTTTGCTATCTATTTTAGATTATGGAAAAGTCGCCAAAAAAACGTGGCCGTCCTCGCATTGTCAAAGTAGAGAAACATAGTCCAGAACCTGAAGATTTAGAAGAAATATTACAAGAAATAGATGAAGAATCTATTGGGAATTATGACTACATCCCTAATGGAATAACTGATTATGTTGTGATAAGAAACAATAAGAAAAAAATTAATAATAATGAAGATGTTTATGACTTTGATGTTGAGAAGGAAGATGGACCGAGCATGAGTATAATAGTCAAATTATTTATATGTTTTATTTTACTACTATATAATTTCTAATTTGTATTACTAGAGAATGAAAAACAAGAAGCTAAGGTAGAATCGGAATCAGCAGAACATTCTTGTGATATTTGTTCCAGATCATTTAAAACTATACCGGGTTTAAAACGTCATAAAGCATCACATGACCGTAAACGTCAAGATACTAATGGTAATAAACTAAATTATAAATTTGTCATTATTTATATTAAATTATGTAAACATACATACTTTAAGGAACTGAAAGTGAAAATGTAAAAGTTGAAACCAAAAGTTGCGATTGTTGTGGTGAGGATTTAGCCACTGCTCATACGGTATGAAATATTAAAACGATTATTTATCTATTATAATTAACTCACTTTTTATTTAATTAACCTTTTTTTATTTTTAGAATGGAGAATATGAGTGTTTTGACTGTGGAAATTTTTTTAAATTAAAAGCTAATATGGAACGTCATCAATTGATGGTGCACTGTTCAGATGAAGTTTTGAATTGCCCAACTTGTGAATTTAGTTGCACAGATAAGGAAACCTTGTCTCAGCATTTGTATTCTCATGCGGGTTAGTTAAAATTATTTTTATTATCTAGGTTCTGAGTTAATCTTTTTTTTTTTTTTAACAGGTACATCAAAACCGTATTCATGTCCTGTATGTTTTACATCATTTAGTCGAAAATATCATCTTGTTCGTCATAACATGCAAACTGGTTGTGATGGTTCTGAAAAACCAAAATTTCCATGTCAAGTAAGTTAGAATTGTTTTTAATTTCTCTAGTAATGTTCTTATATGTAAATAAACAAATATATTTTATATTAGGTCTGTGGTAAAATATTTAATCGCAAAGATAATCTTCGAGAACATTTACGTGCACATGCCGGCCAGACTAAGAAAAAACGTACTTACAACTGTGAATATTGTAACAAAGAATTTGTTGGATCAGCATTATTGACTGTACATCGCAGAAGTCACTTAGGTAAGTCAATTGTATTTGTTATTTAATGTATACTAGTTATATCTCTAAATTAGATTGAGTTAAGTATGCCAATAACAACAAAGCTGGTGTGAAATAGTATGGTAGAGGAAATGTGTCGATTTGAAATTTCATTCTGTTTTCTTTAACTATCCAGCGGGCATGTTTTTTAATAGGCTTTTTGATTTTGTACTTTTTACAACATCGCGCCCAACGGAAGGTTCAGTATAACAACAACAATTATATTATATATTAAATTAACTTTTTATTATAAATTTTATATTGTAATTATTTTATGAAAAAATTAGGGTCTTAAGTTAAATGTGCCATTAGTACATTATTTTTTCCACATTGTTTTATCGAGGTTCAAACTTAAAGATATATTAAAATTGTTGAAACTGTCAGTCTATCTTATTTAACACTATGTTTGTATTATATATTATTTGCTGTATATATTTTACTAATATATTGATCTATTTTAAATGTATAACATTATTTTTATGCTAACACAAAATCTGTAGGATTTATAACAAAGGTAATTTCCATACACTTTATACTGTATTTAAAATATAAATTTATTGTAACATTTTAATGTTTTAGGATATAGACCATATCAATGTGACTTATGTCCAAAACGATTTCCATCTAGCGGAGCCATGAAAAAGCATCGTAGAATACATACTGGTGAACGTCCCTATGAATGTCAACAGGTTGAGCAAAAATCTGTTTAATTTTTCTAAAAAAAATGTCATCATATGATTAATATTTTTCTTGTAGGAGTAGTAAAATTAAATTTTATGTTTATTTGTTTTTAGTGTTTTGCAAAATTTGCTGCCAAAGAAACTCTTAATCGGCACATTAAAACTCATACTGCACTTAAACCTCATTCTTGTGGGTTCTGTGGCAAAACATTCATACAAATTTCACAACTTCGTGCTCATTTGTTCCATCACACAGGTATGAGGATAATTTATCTTTTTTTTTATAATTTTTACAAACTATTTATATATATATGATAATTAAGATGATTACAATGTCTTTTTTTTTTAAATTTTAGGTGAAAATGGCTTTACTTGTGATACATGTGGCAAATCATTTAATCGCCGATCCCGTTTAACATTACATATCAGGTACGTTCATGAAGGTGCTGAGCCATTTATGTGTACTGTTTGTAACAAAGCATTGCTTAGAAAAGAAGATGTACAACGTCACCATATTGTACACTCTGGAATAAAAGCACATGCTTGTCCTATTTGTGATAAAAGATTTGCAATGAAATCGTCACTCAAAATACACTTGTTAACACATACTAAAGAGCCTCCACGAGCATGTGATGAATGTGGTCGTGCGTTTATTCGCCAAGATTGTCTACTGCGTCATATGCGTTCTAAGCATAGAGACATGTTGGCCGAAATCATGGCGGACGCTGAAAAGAAAAAACTTGAAGCTCAACTATTGGGAATGGTCAAGAATGATGATAAGTCTAATGATGATGGCCGCGATGATGATAATGATGATGAAGAAGATGATAATGAGAGTATTGATGAACTAGCATCAAATGATGATAGCTCTTCAAGTGATATGTCTAAAAGTGACACACTAGCCGACTCTTTGATGGAATTATTGACTGTACTTGTAGATGAGAGTACACTCAAAGAATTTGGATGGCCAAAGTCATCAGTTGATCATTTAATTGAATCTGTTATAAAGTAAGTTAGATCAACATTTAGTACTTTAACACTATAGATACGAGGATGTTTTCCAGAAAGATTAAATCACGCATTAGCGTGAGATTGATCTTCAAAGTGTTAATTGATATTTTTAGATAATTCATACTTTTCGAGTTATCGATAAAATAAAACAACTTCATTGTTCAATAAGATATTCAACAATGCAATTATATTTTATATCATTAGTGTTTTAATGTTTAATTTTTTTCTTTATTAAATAGAGCCTTAGCATTTCTCTATGTTTTATTTAGTTATATTGTGCAATGTGTTGCCTAGTATCAATAGTGATATCTTCTTTTATTAATGAAGTTTGCCCTTTAAAATAAGTAGAGAATGTAGTACAACAATTTCAGTGGGGCATATGATTGATTTAATGTAAATAGGGATTTTAGGAAATATTTTTAGGTATCTGCAATCGCCTTACATCTATATTCACCTGTGTATGCATATTAGCTGTTGCTCTTTTAATAATCTCCAACAATCTGTTAATTATAAAATAATGGCTTTAGGAGATTGGAAGTGGGTAGTTTATAAGGAAGTTTATAAAGGCAATATTTAAGAAAAAAGTGGTTTAAATACAATTCGACCATGTCAATTAATTTACTGGTTAATTTGTGTAAGCTTCAAGGTTTCTATTTTTAGTTTATATAATTTGTTTTATGAGTAAAAGGCATTTTGGTTTATTTTAGACCTAAAAGCCTGACAAAATTATGCCTACTTAAAATAATCAGATTGTAATTTAGTAAAAAGATTTGTGTTCTTTGACTCATTACGTTATGTAAGAAACTGATTTTTATTTAAAAAATATCTTCCAATTAAATTAAATTTGTCACTTTTTCAATATTAAAAAACTATATTTTTTTACAAAAAAAAAAAACAAAAATTCAATCATCTGTTTCCCGACATATCTTAGTAAAGTAGCCAAAGAACTTATCTCTTTACAGATTTGAAATGGGACTATCCTAAATAGTCAAAATTTAGACTTTTTGGTCTAAAATTAAAAACCGATACTTTTCAATCTCCTTAAGTGTGTTTCAATAGGCTGAAATCTAGATTTAAAAAATAACTGCCACTATAAATAATTTTAATTTTTAATTTACAAGTGTGATTTATTTGTTTGCTAAATAGGAGATGTGGCCATATGCCAATAGCACCTGAAGAAGCGTCTTACATGACAAAGCTTAGAGACAATTCAAAACAACTATTTTCAATCATTATTGACGACTCTGCTATTCAAACATTACTCAGCAACCAAACTATTGAAGAAGTAATTGAGCATGTATTAAAACTAGCTAAAGCTTAAGCTATATTTCAAACCTTTTTTTTTTTAATATTCATATTGTTTCCATTATATTATTTAGTACTACGTTTACTTTAAATGTTATGTATACTCTTGTATCCTAAATTTATATTAAGTACTATTTTTTTTTTTTTAGTTAACTGTTATTATTACTTATCTAATTATTTGAAAGTGTAATTAATCCATGTTTAGTTTACATTAATTAGTTTTGTTAAATGCATTTCTGTTCTATATTTTAAATATTATAGATAAGGAAATTACTATAAAAAAAAAGCTTAGATGTACTTGTTTTACGTACAGTAAGAATATTACGTTTATTATGTATTATTGACTTCCATTGGCATTACTGACAAATAAAAGGTTAATCTGTGTAAAAAAAGTCTAATTTAATTAAATAATTTTAGCTTATAATGTTCTACATTATAAGCAAAAACACATATTATGAAAGATGAAAAAATGTTGGAGACAATGAGATATTATTTTTTTAATATGTTCAATAATTAGTTTAGTTCTTAATGTTAAAAAAAGTATTTACTATTTAATACTTCTTAAAACTAGGATAACTTTTTTTCAAAAATAAATGAATGTAAAAGGACCGTAATAATGTTAAATTCTTAACTTCTTCCGTTTTTCTCTCCTTTAATCCTAATTATTATTATCGCATTTATTGCTATTTAAACACATTTCTTAAACACTATCGACAATTGAAGTTTAATTGTATTTGCTTCGTTTGAATTTCAATCCGCAAACGCTTCATAACAAATTCTGATTTAAGTTAGTTAACGTGACCGTAATGTTTCCATTGTATTATTCTCTTCAATACAAAAACAGCTATCCAAAACAAGTAAATAAATCTGTGGTGTTGAGTTAATAATAGGCGTGTAATTAACGAAAAATATGACATTTCAAAATTAATCAAATAGTAAAAGTTTATTATGATTTAGTGAAATATTTAATTTTGGTTTTTGAAAAATTGTATACCTACAATTTGATAATTGATTATATTGGATTTGAAAGAAACTGGAGATTCTTGTGACACCTTTGGATCCTTTTAGTTAAATCATATATTCAACAGAAATATACACTAGGCTATTAATTTCTGAAGACAATACATATGTGGTGGCTTTTGTGTGTATGTATGTTCTCAAATTGCTTAGATTTTTTTAATAAAAAAAGTTTATATTTTTACAAAAAGTAACTATGGGGATGTTAAATTTTTTTAATTACGTGTTGTATTCACAACGATCAAACTATAAATGAAAAATAAATTCAATAATTTAACAGGTCATATTTCCTATGAATAATAATTGTTTTGGCCAGATATTATGAAAACACTAAAATATTAGCCAGAAACTTGATATGTTTACTAGCCATCTTAGATACTAGCTTGTTACTGCTTGTTAATATACTATTTCATTATCTATAATTCCACCACTACCTAAATTTATTCGGTACTTCAACGAAACATGAAAATGTTCTTTTGTGGTTGCTGACTCGTTTGAAAAATGCTAATTTTTTACATACCTTAACACATTTTGTTGTATTATATTTTGTTCGCTATTTAATTCTTTGTTCAATTCATTATTTACGAATAAAATTATTGTTTGCAGATTTTTTACTTATAATTGGAAATACATTATTAAAAAAAGGTTGTCATGATATTAACATGAGTAGACTTTACAACTGGGTCGCTTTTTCATACAACCTTTTTTTTTTCGTTTATTACTTATAGACCGTTTACTAAATTTTGAAATTTTAGTAATTTTTTAAAAAATTATTTTTTTATGATTATCCATTTTTTGGTAATTAATTTGTTTGTCTATTTCTACGTTTTTTGTTGTATATATTTTTTCCATACATAGATAATAATATATATAAATATATATATATTTATCACTTTCTTTTATATTGTATTTCGTTCTATATATATATATTATCTTGTAAACCCATGTCTTATTTTTGTATTTATGAGTAACTATTTCGTTATTATTTGAATAAACTACTTTTGTAGACAAAATCGAATTATATAACATATAATATTTTACAAAATTGTGTTTTTGAATAAAATGTTTTTTTAAATCGCAATTGTGTTTATTGAAAGTTACTTATATAATTGATTATTTGGAAAACATTTTATTTGAAATATAACGCACATATTTTCCATAAAGAAAAACAGGATTATGAGGGGAATATTTTCTAGATAATAAACTAGTGTTAAATTTTTAATTGATATTCACCATCCTTGCTCGAAAAAAACATTAACCTCATTAGTTAAAATCAAAATTTTTACACCTGGAATTTCCAGGCTGGAAATGTAGTGCTTAAACACCCTCAAATTTGGTTCTGAAATTGCGCCTTTTTGTTTGATGAAAGTTATTTCTTCGTATATTTTTTCCAAAATAATTAATTTTATGACCATTTTTTTTACTTTTAGTTTCGCAACATGGCTTAAAATGCAACTATATTACTTATATGATAAAAACACAAAGTACAGTGTACAGTTTACCTTATTATAAAAACTACTAAAAGAACTGCAATGTCAGCGGAGCGATGGTTTATAAAATGTATATCTACTCTACTAAATAATAATAAAACTTTCCGTTGTCTCGTCAAAAATGAATTGTTAATACAAATTGAACAGTAGGAAAGATAGAATACACACCCTTGATGAACATCATGTTTAATAAGAATATCTTCCAAGTCTTTGTTTTCAGTTCTGATAGTTTTTTGATTATAGGTTAGCTATAACTCTAATGTCCTAATTATATTCCTATAGTCCTCTATTTTTCCAATAAAGGCTTTATTTGTCTATATTGGCATCCAACATAAATGTGTTCTACCCCATCGTTAGGTAGTCTTTTCGTAGTCCATGAAACGGCAATACACCTGTTTTTACTCTAGAGTACAGCGCCAGGACATTAGATGTCTACACAAAAAAGGCTTCTCGAATTCCAAACCCTTCTCGGAACCCAAACTGTATGTTATTGATACCTTGCTCGCATATTTTTTTATAAAACCTATTGTGAATTATTTTCACGAATGTTTTTACAACATGGCTCATTATACTCATTGTACAATACTGAGAACACGTCTTGTCTACGGTAGAAACGTTTGGAAAAGGAATAAATATTGACCTTAACAAATGGTTAGGAATACTTCCGGAGCGGTAAACTTCATTAAACGTATGTAACTCCATCCTCTCTCATTATTTTGAACATATGTAAATTGTACATGAACGTTGTCTGAAAATTTGCTTTTCTATTTTTAATTTTCTCGAGGGCACGTTCAACTTCACTTACTTAGATGGAAAGTCCGTTGGCTCTAACACCGGGTCTGTGGTCGGTTATTAGTCATAAGATAAATAGATAATAGAATATAGATCATTTTTTCATACTACTAACAACTATAAACTATTCCCCAACACCAATTGTCAAGCTGCCATCATTATTCCTAATTGTATTACTTATTGTTTTTTTTTTACTAATATACAATTAGGCATTTACTTGTCTAGGTGCACTTGAAAGTCATCTTATTGGTTCTGTGTTTCTTCTATCTGCACATTTTCCTGAATCACATTATGCTTTTTCTTCTAAGACTAGGCCTTAAAAGTGGGGGGGCGGTTACCCCCCAAAAAAAAGAAAAATTAATTTCTGGCTACTGTCATGTGAGTTTTTATGGTTACATACGTTCATACGTACATCCATTTATATTTCTTTTTTACGGTCTTTTAATAATCAGTGTGTGTGGTAAGGATACACGACGTCTGATTTGTAGTGAACTGCAATCACGAGATAGCAGCAGTTATATATTATGTGATATTCTCTTGTTTATGTCGTTGTAAGGTTTTCACGACTGTCGTTTGCCAACATTTGTCAAGTACTATCTTTTTCTTTGACATTTACCATATTACACTTGCAAAAGTTGAAATATAAATATATAATTAAAATTGATTAGGTACCTACGAGCTACGACGCAACGTCTCTAACATAGAATAGTTAATTAACCTGCAATTATTATTATTTAATTATATAAAACATTGTTTACGCAATATATGTTACGTACACTTGAACCGGTATTTCAAAAACCATATAGGTCATTAAATTTTCATTTTACATGAACCATAAAAAACCTAATTACTCCAGAAACGTAACTAATTTTGCATCACCTATTTAAGCATTTTTCTCAGGGTCTGTGGTATTCATAAATTCATAGTCTATCTTTGACCTTAGTTCAATAACTCAATATAAAAATATTCGACTTACGTTGTTTCAAGGAATAAAAATGTATTTATAATTAGGGCGTAAAAACAAAATTTGTACGGGTAACAGAAGTAATTACGTTCATTTTTATTAATGACAACCAGCAACTTACCTAAAGGGTTTAGAGGGTCATACCAAAAAAATGTACTATACAGGGTGATCCGTCAAGAATAAGACACTCATTTATTCTTAAAATAATTACAACTTTGTAGTTTTTCTTTTTGGAGACACTTTAGTTTATGTTACGAGTATTGTACAATATTAGAAAAATATTCAAATTTGTATTTTTTCAAGAGCGCTATCCACTATTGAAATTTTAAAAGGAACGTATATATTCAATTTAATTATAATAACGCAAAATTAACAAAACAGAAAATTAAAATATACAAACATATTATTATTTACATAATATTCATGTTGCTACGTCGCATTTAGAGTTTTTGTTGAATGTAAATATTTGATATGTAACATGTTGTGTACTTGAACGTACGATATATATTTTTTTAAAGTTAAATATCCGTTTAGTTACAATATTGTCAGCTTTTATGTTGTTGACATACCAGTACCAAAACTTCGTTAGTTAAAGCTTATTATAATTTTGTACGTCCGGCAATACATTTGTATACAATCTCAAAAAAGGTTGTGCTGAGACACGTGCAGTGTAAGCGATTATTATGCATAAATAGTCGATCAACTCGATAACCATAGTATGGATTCGGCGATTATGCTGTTTTGGGTATTATTTTCTAAATACTTTGGCGTATTGAAATGGACTGTAGTGGCAAGCTCAGAAATCATAAAATCAAATCCGTCGGTAAGTCTTGCTTGTATAGACATTTTTACATAGTAATTCTTCATACTATTAAGGGCCGGAGATCAAAATAATTAAGTAGTCAGAGCAATGCATTTCGTTTATGTTAATTTATTTATAATATTACCTTTGCGATTTTATTTTTAACGTATGATTTATTGTATACTAGTTTTAGTCTTTTATATGAACAAACATTTTTTAACGCAAAATGTGTCACGACTTGTGGTGTGGTCGGATTATGATAATTTGGTCTGAAAATAAAAGACGGTT